CGAGGAAGATTATTCCAAGCTACTGCTCCGCGATACGAGAAACTATATTTTTAAGAAAGTTAGTGTTTGGCTTTGGTAAAGTGAGTTTCCGATCGTTGCTTCTCAGAGTATAGCAAGTATTTTGACAGGTACTAAACAGTTCAGTTAAATATGTTGGTGCCATGGTCGAATTAGCCGGAAAACGACTAACTCGACCATGGTCGAGTTCGCCGGAAAACGACTAACTCGACCATGGTCGAGTTCGCCGGAAAACGACTAACTCGACCATGGTCGAGTTCGCCGGAAAACGACTAACTCGACCATGGTCGAGTTCGCCGGAAAACGACTAACTCGACCATGGTCGAGTTCGCCGGAAAACGACTAATTCGACCATGGTCGAGTTCGCCGGAAAACGACTAACTCGACCATGGTCGAGTTCGCCGGAAAACGACTAACTCGACCATGGTCGAGTTCGCCGGAAAACGACTAACTCGACCATGGTCGAGTTCGCCGGAAAACGACTAATTCGACCATGGTCGAGTTCGCCGGAAAACGACTAACTCGACCATGGTCGAGTTCGCCGGAAAACGACTAACTCGACCATGGTCGAGTTCGCCGGAAAACGACTAACTCGACCATGGTCGAGTTCGCCGGAAAACGACTAACTCGACTATTATTATTATTATTATTATTATTTAAACATATTTATGCACGGTAGCCTTTCAGTGACCTGTTTTTCAAAGGGCCGTGCTCCACACGCATGCAATAAAAATCTAAAAATATTTCAAAATCATGCAAGTCCTAAGCTTAATATTATATTCATGCATTATATACAAAGTGACAACAGCCAAAATGCTACAATATGTCTCCGCCACAAATAAATTTTGCACGGTTGTTCGGAGTTTTTCATTTCGTGTCTTTGACTATTTGAATGAATTCAATGAAAGAGACTCATAATTGTCAAGAATTTCACGAGGAAGATTATTCCAAGCTACTGCTCCGCGATACGAGAAACTATATTTTTAAGAAAGTTAGTGTTTGGCTTTGGTAAAGTGAGTTTCCGATCGTTGCTTCTCAGAGTATAGCAAGTATTTTGACAGGTACTAAACAGTTCAGTTAAATATGTTGGTGCCATGGTCGAATTAGCCGGAAAACGACTAACTCGACCATGGTCGAGTTCGCCGGAAAACGGCTAATTCGACCATGGTCGAATTAGGCGGAAAACGACTAACTCGACCATGGTCGAGTTCGCCGGAAAACGACTAACTCGACCATGGTCGAGTTCGCCGGAAAACGACTAACTCGACCATGGTCGAGTTCGCCGGAAAACGACTAACTCGACCATGGTCGTGTTCGCCGGAAAACGACTAATTCGACCATGGTCGAATTAGCCGGAAAACGACTAACTCGACCATGGTCGAGTTCGCCGGAAAACGACTAACTCGACCATGGTCGAGTTCGCCGGAAAACGACTAACTCGACCATGGTCGAGTTCGCCGGAAAACGACTAACTCGACCATGGTCGAGTTCGCCGGAAAACGACTAATTCGACCATGGTAGAGTTCGCCGGTAAACGACTAATTCGACCATGGTCGAGTTCGCCGGAAAACGACTAACTCGACCATGGTCGAGTTCGCCGGAAAACGACTAACTCGACCATGGTCGAGTTCGCCGGAAAACGACTAATTCGACCATGGTAGAGTTCGCCGGAAAACGACTAATTCGACCATGGTCGAGTTCGCCGGTAAACGACTAATTCGACCATGGTCGAGTTCGCCGGAAAACGACTAATTCGACCATGGTCGAGTTCGCCGGTAAACGACTAATTCGACCATGGTAGAGTTCGCCGGAAAACGACTAATTCGACCATGGTAGAGTTCGCCGGAAAACGACTAATTCGACCATTGTCGAGTTCGCCGGAAAACGTCTCAGCCGGCGAACTCAGCCATGGTCGAGGTAGTCGTTTTCCGGCGAACTCGACCATGGCAGATGTTATGGTGTTTGATCATTGATTATGGAGCACTTCCGACTCATGGAACGACCATGGTCATATTCGCCGGAAAATGGCAAATATACGACCATGGTCATATATTCGCCGTAAATGGCCAATTCAACCAATATCATATATTCGCCGGAAAATGGATTATTCGACAATGGTCGAGTATACCGTTTTCCAGCAATATCGACCATGGTCCAGTATACCGTTTTCCGGTCATATTCGATGCTTGCAAGGTGCAACTTTATTTAGATGTTTGTATATGAGCACTAAACATGCTTGAAATTTTACATAGCACGAGAATGAGACCATTTAACCTACGTGGTTATCCATAGCAAAATATTTGACATCATAACCAAAGCATGGTTGTATTGTTTAATGTTTGTATATCACCACAAAATATGCTTGCAACTTTTCATAGGAAAAGAATTTGACAACTAAAACAACGTGGCCTGAATTAGACCATGGACGAGTGTACCATTCTCCAATACATTCGACCACGGGTTATGGTTAGGGTTACGGTTAGGGTTACGGATAGGGTTAGGGTTAGGGTTATGGTTAGGGTTTCTGTTACGATTAGGGTTATGATTAGGGTAGGGTTTTCCTCATGTTCGACCAGGGTCGAGTATACCGTTTTCCGGCGTATTCATAAGCATGGTGGTATTGTTTAATGTTTGTATATCACCACAAAATATGCTTGCAACCAGGAACGTAGCCAGGGGGGGAGTTGTGGGAGCCGCAGCTCCACCCCTCTGAGAAGTTTATTGCTCTAATATTCTTACCTTGAAATGAGATATATTAATTAAGAAGAATTAAATCTACTCAGTCTTCAAGTATGCTTTTTTTTTTCGTCCGGGGTAAAGGTCAGTGTTGACTGTTGTTGCCATGTAAGACACGTTGAAACTCTAGCCTAAAGCCTCCCCTGTCCCATGTTCAAGGTCTGGCTACGTCCCTGCACTAGACCATAAGCTCTTGACGTTGAAGACTGTCTTTTATTATTTAAACTAAATATTTTCTTAATTTATATTCACTGATGAAAAACATTTAGCCCGGGATTCGAAACATAGACTTACCACTTGCGAGACCATTATCTCCACCACTAGACCATCAGCGCTTGAGGTTGATGGCTGTGTTTTATTTTTTTAACTAAATCATTTCTTTAAAGTCATAATGAAAAACATATCACCCATAAAGGATTCGAACCATAGGGTTAACACTTGCGAGACCATTATCTTTACCACTAGACCATCAGCGCTTGAGGTTGAAGGCTGTGTTTTATTGTTTTAATTATAAATCATTTCTTAAAGTCATAATGAAAAATATTTCACCTAGGATTCGAACCATAGACTTACCACTTGGGAAATCATTATCTTCATTACTAGACCGTCAGCGCTTTAGGTTGCAGACTGTCTTTTTTTTAACTAAATCATTTCTTTAAAGTCATATAATGAAAAACATATCACCCATGAAGGATTCGAACCATAGGCTTAACACTTGCGAGACCATTATCTTCACCACTAGACCATCAGTGCTTGAGGTTGATGACTGTCTTTTACTATTTCAAATGAATCTTTTTCATTTTTTTTAAGTTATAAATGAAAAATACATCACCAATGCGGGATTCGAACCATAGACTTAGCACTTGCGAGACTATCATTTTCACCACTAGACCATCAGCGCTTGAGGTTGATGACTGTCTTTTTTTTAACTAAATCATTTCTTTAAAGTCATATAACGAAAAATATTTCACCCATGCAGGATTCGAACCATAGGCTTACTGCTTGCGAGACGATTATCTTCACCACTTGACCACGAGCGCTTGAGATTGATAACTGTCTTTTATTGTTTTAACTAAATCATTTCTTAAAGTCATAATGAAAAATATTTCACCCAGGATTTGAACCATAGACTTACCACTAGGTAGATCATTATCTTCACCACTAGACCATCAGCGCTTGAGGTTGCTGACTGTATTTCATTATTTCAACTGAATTTTTTTTTTAGGTATGAATGAAAAAAATTTCACCCATGCAGGATTCGAACCGTAGACTTACAATTGCGAGACCATTATCTTCACCATTAGACCATCAGCGCTTCAGGTTAATGATTGTCTTTTATTGTTTTAATTCAAAGTCAATGAATTTTTTCAAAGTCATAATGAAAAATATTTCACCAATGCAGGATTCGAACCATAGACTTACCACTTGCGAGACCATTATCTTCACCACTTGACCATCAGCGCTTGAGGTGGATGACTGCTTTTTATTATTAACCATTTTCATATCTGGAACAAGAGATTTACCTTAAATAAAAGTATTGTCGTTCGCTTCAAGAGCTTGTAGTGTGGTGGTTAAAACGGTGGTTTTGCAAGAGGTAAGTTAATGTTTGGAATCAGGCGAATATTTTTTCATTATGGCTATAAAGAAAAGCGTTAGGTATATAAATTATGATAACCTGATAGTTCAACACAAGCTGCCTGGACTAGTGGTGAAAGAAATTGTTTTACAAACAGTAAGTCGGTAGTTTAATTGTTCAAGTCCAGAACGTAACCTTTTTCACTATGACCTAATAGAATAGAAAATAAATAGAAAATAAAAAAACACGATCCTTCACTAGGAACGTCTAACGGTAAATTTTTGTGGAGTAGTCGTGAACTGTCATTAGCTGGTTCAAATCCGAAAACGAATGTTTTTTATTATGATCTGAATGATCAAACAACTAACAAAAAAACTATTCGACCATGGTCGAGTATACGGTTTTAAGGTATATTTTTCGACCATGGTCGTTTTTTCGGTATATTCGACCATGGTCTAGTGTACCGTTTTATCAGAGATCTATGGAGGCCTATGGTGTGTTATGGAGGCCAATGGATGTCTATGGAGGCCTATGAACTATGACGATCTAAGGAGTAAGGAGGTCTATGAATAATGAAGGCATGTGGAGGCATATGGAGGGATATGGGGGGATATGGGGGGATATGGAGGGTTGTGGCCTGTGGGTGAGGGAATTTAGGAAAATTTGGAAACGGAGGAAAACACGGAGGAAAACGGGAAGAAAATTGTCTTTTTGTTATTTTTTTACGATATTTCATAGTTTTTGAACGGTTTTCAAAGGGAAACTAACCAGCTTCGTTGGTTATTCGACTTATATCGACGTGCCTGCAGCTGCACAGTCCGTTTAAGTTGAAAAATGGCGAATGAACATCTTACTGTCACTGTTAGAAGGGGAAAATTTTGTTTGTTCCTTATCGTTTTAACAGTTACTATAAAAAATTCTGCTGGATCAGTCCGAATTTCTGCGTCAGGTATGCTTATGTAGTTAACAAACAGTTTATTTAGATTTTGAACTGCTATAATTCTTTAAATATGATGTACTTTTTGCTCTAACACATTGGTTTGCTAAATTCCCTTTCAATTAAATAAATGTATTACTGAGTTATGAAGTGAAAGAGAATTTCTATATAAGTGAAAGAGCATTTTCTATAAAAACTTTATACTGTTATGGGCTGAACTCATATACAGAAGCTGCTGTCATATCCCTTTCATGTGTTGCAAACACAGGTTGCATTTTGTTGGTATAAGCATACTGTATGAGGTAACGAAAATAATAAATTGTTTGACTTGTAGATCAGAAGTGTCTTGGTCAGTACTGTGGAAGACTTAATGGAACTGAATGTGGGGTTAGTATTTGTCTATTATATGGATGATGTTTAAAGCTGGTTTTCCACTAGCGATATTTTTCTCGTCAAGCGAATTTATTCCTTTGTATTTGAGCAATTTGTTCCAGATGGTTGCAGTTGAGAGCTCTGAAACAAAAGTAAAATGTTGCTTTGCGCGAAAAATATCGCTAGTGGAAAACCAGCTTAATGCCGGCAGGAGGAGGTGAAATATCCAGCGCCATGAGGTACTCAGAAAGGATTGATAAGGGAGTGACTCCCAATCTTTTTTCCTGTATTTGCAACCTGCATTGTTTGTCATATTTATGTTTTCACATAACATATTGAAGTTCAAACTATATTTTTATTACACAGCGTTGCCCTAGAGGATATCGGACAGATGGATACTTTTGCAGAGAATGTTTAAACAATCCTACCCTGTATGACTGGCTATACCTGGGTTTCATGGCTCTTGTGACAACCCTGATGCATTACACATTTAACTACCAATATTCCCGAACACAAAAGCAGTAAGCATCTTCAAATATACTGTTGCTAAATGCAGTACTGGTTTTCAGACAGTGGTGATTTAACTTAGTTTCCTTCATTTCAGCATGGTGATAATGCAAATCTCAGCTACGCTAGAATCACTGCTTTCCGGGCTATTTACACTTCTTGTCACAGAACCAAAAGGTAAAGTATTGTATCAAGAATAAAATACTATGTTCTATTAGTTGATTAATGATTTTTCTCAATTTCTTCTCTCAATTTTTCCTTAATCAGGTTCGCTTTTGATACATACTTGTGAAGTGAAGAAGCTTTCAGACTGGTACACTGTGTTCTTCAATCCCAAACCTGACCACGTCAATGAAATTCGATGCACACAGGAGGCTGTTTATCCACTGTAAGTTACACAAATAAACATTGTTTTGTGTTTAGTTCTGAATTTTCTTCAGCCATAATTATCTTCTCACACTCATCCAGTACCACTAAACATTAGAGATCAGTATTTATGTTATCCATGTTACACTGTAGTTAATTGTATACTTATATTTTTTTCTTTTTAGCTATTCCATGGTGCTATACTACTATGCATTTTGTGTTCTGTTATTGCTTGTTTTTCGGCCATTAATTTCTATGAAACTGTGCGAAAGCCAAGGTTCAAAATGCATTTATGCGGCATTGTATTTCCTGCCGATCACAGCTATGATTCATGCAACTTGTGCTGGATTATTATGTAAGATATCATTTTAATATATTGCCACTTGTCTTACATTAATTAGCGTATAAAAAAGATATATATTTCACTATTTCGTTTATAGATTATTCATATCCGTATCTGCTATTAATTGGATCTATTTTGAGTACAGCTATTTTGCTCGCAATGAAAAAGATTGCAGTAAGTAATCTATCAGTTTGATTTTTCCCTAAAAGACTATGAGAAAATGCACAGTTTTGTTATATACTCTAGTGTCTGAAATGTAAACTTCTGTTTCTTTAGAATTTCAAAGACCTGCTGGCTAAGAAAGATGTTATTGTCATACTTATTGGCCACTGGATTCTACATGCTTTTTCCCTAATTGCATTGACAGAATGGTCTGAACCTAGTGTCAATGGTCCGCTATTTCTTATGGTGTTCTTTCCTTCTGTGTTCTACATTATGACAGTCAAATTGTCCAGTCCAAACAAGTTCACAGGACCATGAGCTCAACAGCAATTCATGGTGTCATAAGGTAGGGTTGGTACATTCATAATTGGTACTATATATGGGCAGATGACCAGTGAAGTAGGGCTGGGATGGGGTTAGGGTGTTCAATATTGGAGAGGGTGAGGGGACTGTTGTGATTAGGAGGGGGGGGTTGTGATGATCTAGGAAGGTAGGGGGTTGATAATAAAGCAAGGGTTTGTGATAATCAAAGAGGTTGAAGGATTGTGATGATTGAAAAGAGAGGGATAAGAGAGGGTTGTGATGATTAAAAATGGGAGGGGGGTGATCAAAGAGGGGAGGGGGGGGGGGGCTGGAATGCAATCATGTTTTCTAGCAACCAGAAACAACTTTCATTTTTTCACAATATGTGAAGCAATATATTGTAATAATAATGATAAGAATACTTTGTCTTCATGCAATAGCTGTCTATATTATTTATTCCATTAAGAGTGCGGCATCTTGCTTTGCAAGTGTTCTCAATTCGAATGATACATTCCTATATTATATTCTTTTATGCTTTCCCATCTTTACTTGTCTAGTCCAGGCCTGAAAAACAATGAAAAAAATATTTGAAAAATCCCGTAAAAATCGCTCACCTTGCACGGGCCATATACATATAGTTATAGACAATACGGCGGCTGGCTTGGTTGTCATTGCCAAATTTTCTATGATTGAGTTGAAATTTTGTATTACGTAAATCCTGTGTATATGTTACTGTTTGTGGGACTAAATTCACTTAAACATTGATGAACCCTAGGATGTTTTGCTATGATAGAGTTCTGGGGCCAGAGATAGGATGTTAAAGTATGTATATAGATGACACACGCATTTTGGGACATGCGCACGAGAAATCCAGCCCACCAGACTTACCTCGTTTTAAAGAACCCCCTAATTCTCGTTTTATAGCGTTTGTACCAAGTCCTGTTCATAATGGGTTTTTCTACACGAGTGTCCCCCCAAAACCTGCGATGCCTGTTTTGAAATTTCCACGATGCTGTGTAGCTTTTGTCTAATGTCTTCTTCTTTTTCCCCGAACACATATCTTGGCCGAGACACATCAAACTTCCCGATGAAATACTTGTTAGGTCTAACACAACAAGCGTTATAACAAGCCCAAGAATGATAAATTTCATAACGTCCTATATAGATAAATATATTAGAAAATGTTATCAGAGAAGTTCAGCATTGGTAGTATAGATATATAGTGGAATCATCTTAGTCTTTCTATTAGAATACATGATGATCGTTGACTTTGCGCAAGATTCCTAGGGCTGGGAAGAATAGTTTATCGTCTTTACTTTAGTATCGAAAGATATAAATGGGATTCGTTTAATTACCCTATTTATGAAACTAAAGAAACGGAGATTTTCCTGTAGTTTGAATCACGAAGGCCAAATACGTACAAAAACCTCTCAATTTTTTAAACAGCCGTCCTGGTGTTTAATTATAAGTCTAACTTACCTAATTTTCGGCGGCGAGATTATAACTTCTTTTAAACCAGCTGTATGTAATCTTAAAATGAAATGAAATGCGACCTCCGAAGACTGTTTATATATCTTCCTCAAAACCAGGACAGCGTCAGAAGCCAAGCTTAAACATCAAAAAACAATTAATCTTCATATGAGGATCCTTTTAGTTTTGTCACCGAGGCAGATGCATCCCAAGTGCTTGCCATTTGCACGCCGAACATTATAATAAACACTTTCCAAAAATGATTATCTTTGTTAAGCCCCAGATGCGGGGCAAGCTCTATAACTGAACAAACTTGAAAGGCGGTTATTATTTCAATGGATAATACGCAAATACGCGTGAAAAGTCATTAGTAAATATATCAGAATGCCTATAATTTTACTTCAATTTTCACAACTTTTTATAGGTCAAAAACTACAACTATACGGTTATGACGAGAATGCAAAATTAAGTTGGGAGTCAAGATTGGAGATATTATTTTTAGTTTTCTATAGTGAATATTGTTTCTGCATGCATGGATATTAATTGATCAATGAACGCGCGCAGCATATAATAACATATTGACAATGAACTTGCACTGTCTGTTGTGACGCTGGTTAAATCCCACGCGTTTATCGTTTTTATAACAATATCCTCTGCTAAATCGCCTATTCACGGGTAATATCTGTGCTTTGAGATTGGTTTCCAAGTTTATTTTTGCATGGATAATTGTAAAAGAAAGGGAAAATTAAAAGGTTATATCAATATATGGAATATAAAAGAACGTGCTTTTTGTATAATAGGCTGTATTATTCCTTTTTTGTGAATCGTAACAATCTCAATGGGAATATAATCAATATATATTTCGCCATTTATGTCGCTCATCTCACGTCGCTCATCTCATGTGCTTCGTTGCCCAGTGCTCGAGTTTACTGCATGCATGTTTTCAATCGCTTTTCGCCATGAAGCCCGATGAAGGAAGTTCAAATTCCCGAATTAAATTCCCGAAAACTCCCAAAATTCTTTTATTAGTTTATAAAGACTCATACGTTATCAGTCCTTTATAAAGACTTATGTTATAAGTTAAATAAATACTTGTTATAAATATAGGGAATATTACATTCATTACCAGCATTTGTCATAAAACTAAATCGCCACTTTAAGCATACCGTAATGCATTAGATTTATTAGATTTTGAGAAAGAGGAGTTTTTTACCTTTCTAACAATATTTTCTTGCTAAAAAAGAATTAAATCATAAATAAATTCAACCCTAACACCATATGTTTGAGTTTCGATTGACTAATTTCCATTTTGAAAATATTTGATAATTTCTTGCTGAAGAAAGGTATTATTGGGAAGCTAAATAACAGCTCTTTCATACGTCATAACTAGGACTATATCATCGACTTCAATATATCCTTGCTTTGTAAAGGTCTGCTAATTTCACTGACTTTTTTTTATTTACACAACAAGCAGTTTATAGTGAGTTTGACAATAAACCGACACACGTTTGCCAAGAAAAAGTTCACAACTGAACAGTTCACAAGATATATTTGCTATTAATATAGACACTACTACTAATAGTGCCTATATTAGTTCGACTACCAGGAGATGAGATGAGGACATCTGTTCTGTTTGAAATGTTGACAGAGGTTTAATTCCGCTTTCCAGTTATCGCGATGGGAAAAATATCTGACTTTAGACTTTACTTTAGTATACATAGCCATAGGCATAGCATCCTTGCTTTCAGAAAGATCAGTACTCGTCATCAGTTTGTGGGGACAAACGAGAAAGTCATATATACCCCAATTTGTTATTATAAATCATAATTATATACTATATCATATACTCCGTATCATCTTTCATTCTCTCCATCTTCATTAAAATCTATCACCGAATCCTTTCCCAAATGATCTCTCGTATCGACGTGTCCATTGGGTATTCTCACCTCGACGTTCAAAGCGTGATCAGGCATATAATCTTCTAGTAGTTTTTGCCGCACTTGCTCGCTGTACTTTGTGTAGAAATATAGAATCCCTCCTGAAGTATTGAGAATTATACCAGATATCGTGTATAAGTTTATTGCAACACCACCGAACGTAAAAAATCCAATAATTGTCGTAATGATGCCCTTGATAACTCCCACCAGACTAAAAAATAAAAACTATTTCAGTATTCTTGTTTATATTTCTTTTTTTCATGCTCAATTTAGTAGTTCAACCAAACTCTTGATGGTGGTTCTAAGGAATTGGTCATATGAGAAGCCGATACTGTGCATTAGGTAGTGATACCAAGACATGGTTTATCACCACTAACCAGAGGTGATCTAATGAAGGTGGTCTACAGAAGTGATTCTATGGACGTTTTAGATGGTTTGTCTCTTAACTACCCGAGAAAGATATCCCAAACACTGGTGATCTGATAAAGTCAGTATTCTCTAATAATACATCATTAAACTAACTGAGAAAGAAATCTCATGTAGTGATATAAATGGACATGGTATGCTGTCCACTTTTCCAAGGTAGTAGGGATGTACCAGTTAGAAGACTTAGTCATGATATAAGGTTGTGACTACAACTGTGCTTTATGAGTCTCTTATAAGTGACACATTACTATTGTGCATATGGATGTTTACCTTGTTGTTAATGCACTATTCATAGTTGCACAGAGAAATAGAGAGTAGTTCAACACACATCCCATGAAAACATCCACAATTAAAACAGGCTGAAAGTAAAAACAATGTAATCAACTGAATGTATTCTGCACATAACTGTATTCCCACAAAGGTCTAGTATAGATCATCTCTTTACCAAAGCTCAAACAATGGCATACCAGGCCACATCTCTTTTTGACGAGATGAAGCGAGGTGATCTATGCTCATATTTTAGCCACTCAGCGCTAATAGAAATAGAAATCCATTCCATTATATCTTTTGAAATTCTTTATGAAACTTGTTGAAATTTTGTGATTATCTTTATTTATAAGAACTATAGCTCTGATATAAATTTGAAATGGAAATAAAGTATATTTCAAGAGATATTAAGTTGCTTCAACTGAGAAATGGATTTTATTTCACAACTAGTCCCAGTCATTTCTAGCCATTTGAGATCACACAGTACTTACAAAGAAGCCTTTTGAGGTAACTTCGATACTGTTAATAGAGTTGACTAACTGACCATTGTACAGGGTGTAAATAATCAACAAAGGAATACAGTTGATACTATTCAGATGCAGAACATCCAATGTCGAGTGTCCAGTTTCTACTCCAGTTTTTTGAACAAAAACTAGATAGAAAGCCTGACTGAACACACTCATTATTGCTGCAAGATAGCCACCAATATGGAAAGAAATATCACCAAATCCTAAAAATGATTGTAAAAAAACTGTAGAAAAGCATTTAAACCTTTATTGCACAAGCTCTTAAGTTGCGATGAGTTATGAAACGGTTACAAAATTTTACTCACCAGCAGTTACACAGCCAAACACAACCAATATGATGGAGCAGGTCAGTTGAATTGATGGACGCTTGCTCAAAAAAAATGCTCCCAGAATCAGTGTTGAGAGGGGTAAGAGACGTCTAAGTATATTGTACCTAATAGTAAACAGAACAAAAACCTTAGCTATAAATATCACAACATATCCAACCCAACAATTTCTTTTCAATGTTCAATATACCATTAGAACTTACATTGGAATTGAAAGATCACCTAACGCTTTCAGGGCTAAAATTGTGTGCAGAGCAAAACATATCGAAGGAAGCAGAAATTTCTTAGCCCTAAAAATAAGACGTGCCACATGAAGAAGTTGCTAATAAGATAAACACAAGAATTCATAGAAATCAGTACCCACACCTTTCTAAGGTATAAGCATGAATATTGACAAGATTTAATCTGCGGCAAATTTCTAGCATGGCAGCAGTACATGTGACTTGGGCTAACATAATCACTTCAGGATAACGGAAATCCATTGTGGTCAAAACAATCTAAAGATTTTGTAGTGTGTCAATGTTCATTCAACTGATCTACATTTAGTACATTGTACAATGTATCCTAAATAGTCACATCAAATTAGGTCAAGAACTGTGAAACTGTTCATGACATCAGCAATTATAGTTATGTAGATACTAACTTTGTTCAGAAATGACATGGATCCAGATACAAGTCCGTAGAACAAAGCTGCAGCCACCCCATGGTAAATGTGAAGACTTTCAATACTTGTATTAATGTTTTGCAAACTTGGAACCTTCATTGTTATCACCACTTGATTTTGGCAAATGTTTTTATCTGATTAAAAAAATCATATGTAGCTGCAGACACTGCAGGCTGCAGTATTGTTTCAATGTCAGCTCTTTTCTGCTTATCTGAAGTCATCTCTGAAGTTCATCCAGACATATTAGAAATAAGTAAATTAGCTTGTAGGTACACCACATAAGTATTTAATACTGCAAAGCTTTCGTTCAATAACCTGGGTCTTCATCAGTGCAATTAAAAAAACAACACTTTATTTTAATATAGACACAAATAAATAGGCACTAATATTAAAACACTATTCTTATTGAACTGATGAACTGACGCGTGTACCTAGAAGCTAAATTACTTATTGATGTCACGATGCAAACATACAAGAATATTATATTAGAAATAACCAGGCAAAAGTAAAGATTTTTTATTCAGATCTTCGACAGCAATCTTTTTCTTCTGCTCCTAATATAGTATCTATATATTTTATATATCTTTAATTCTAATGTCATATATCTTTAATTTTAATGTCAAATAACGATGTTATATTTCATAGAAATTACGGACAACATGCTTCAGCTCTTAACATTAAAGTAGTTTAAAAAACAGTCAAACAGGATTAATGTATGTTTGTAGAAGCACTTTGATTTTTTAACAAACAAGTCAAATATATCATTAAATAAATAAACAATAATTTCGGCAAACTGCCTAAAATTTATGTATTTATGTATTTAAAATTTATGTCCTTACCTGAATTACCAGTGTCAGTTGCTTGTGAAAATATTACATAAATCAAACTCAGAGAACTGGGGTTGTTTGGACATCACTCTCGTTTGTTTTGAAAACTTGACCAATAACACATGCCACGTCCCAGTGGGAAAAATGTATATATTATAAATTGATATTTATTGTCTCTAATTGTTCGAGAATATTATAAGGAATGAGTAATTGTCACGATTGTCGTACTTTCCTTCTCATAAAACATTTTTTATTTATTTTTTACTTTGTAAAACTGAAGAAATTAAGAAAGTAAGATTATGCGGGCCAAGGAGTTTGAAAAAAACACATTTTTTTACAATTTGCAAATTTTTAGCGTGTTTTTAGTTATCATTTGTACAAGTTGGAGCAACTTTGCACTAAAGGGGGCAAGTATGGATTTTGATGGACACATGTGATTCACGAAGGACATTGGCATACGGATGCGAATATCTATGGCTATATAAGAACTTTAACGAGTAGATAGCGTCTTATATGGATAAAACAAACACCAAAGGGTGAATGATGGTTAAATCTGGATATTGGTATATAACTATTGATATATTTGGTTGGCAAAATAGCGGGATCGGCGGGAAATTTCTTGCCCGGGTGGTGGTGTTTGCTTCGGCGAAAGTTTAAAATTTTCTTCTTCCTTTCCCGACTTTTCATTCAAACCGGACGAAATACTCGTGTTTTAGCGACAGTTACATTATGGAACTTTCAACAATCTTAGAAGCAACAGTTTCGCAAGGTAAGGCGCCGAAATAGCGCGGAACTTTTAAGCTATAAGTCCACTACGTTGAGGTTTCTGAGATGAATTTCGAACCCACATGGAAAACGAAAGAGACGTTTCGCAAGTGTTTATATTTACTCTTTTTAGACAAGGTTAAACTTGATCAAGCAGAGAAATTCTTACAAGATGCAGCTCAAAATAACTTAGTAAGTTACAAGTGTATGCTTGTTTAACAATGAAGTGTACAAGATTAAATTTTGTACAAAGTCGAATAAACACAAGGTTAATGATATAATTTATCAATGAATGGTGTAAAAATATTTCTTTTTATGGTTTTCTACAGCCGCAGTTCTTAGTAGCTTTAGCAATTGAGCTAGTAGATTCAAGCAAAAGTCAAGTATGTCGTATGGCTGCAGCCTTGCAGTTAAAAAACCAACTTACATCAAAAGACGATCGTGTCAAATTGGCTTACCAACAGAGATGGTTAGGTTTGGAAGATACCATCAAAAATGCTGTTAAAACAAGGGCAAGTACTTCGATGTCGCATCAAAACTAGATGCTGTTGAGGCAGTATATAATTTGTGTATTGTTCCAAACCATTCATGGAATGTCATTGTGAAAAATTTCTAAATTTAATTGCTTTAAAGCATCTAAGTGGGAATACTAGACATCTCAAATTCGAGCCAGGAACATTTAAGAAGAATGGTGAACTATCATCCTCTGGCAAAAACCTATACCTTACAATGTTGGTGCAATAGCGTAGGTCAATTCCTGCAAGAGGACTGATAGTTGACGATTTTCTGAACGCTTCCTGGCTTGAATTTAAGATGTGTATGATTTCCAGTAAAAATTAACACCCTTTAAGCCTTAACATCCTACTTCTAGTGGAGTACCACAATTGAATAATTGATGCTGAAATTGCAATATTTAGGTTGTAGCTACACTTGGAACAGAGAGTACCAGACCAGCTATAGGGCCACAGGTAGGGAATAAAATGATACTTTTGGAACAATCTGTGTACCACTTAAATGGTGTGTCAACATATCATTTACTATCTGTGAGTGAAAGCCATTATCCTAAGTTGTTAGTAGATCACCTTTCTTCTTGATCCTAGCCAAAGAAGGACCTCTGAGAATTTCTAGAAAGTGTTTAGTAATCAGGAAGTTTGTTTATCATCAATTTAACAGAGATTTTAATTTTGAAATGTAGAACAATTTTTTGACAGTCCTGTTTATTTGAAAATTCAGAGTGATTCTCTTTCCATCATAACATTAACCCCCAAGAAAGAGAAACTGTGGCAATCTATGTTTCAGTTTTACCAGTGCAGGTTCTTAATCTCATAACCAATGACTAAAACCTAACCAAACCCTTCTACATGTCAAGCATTCATCTCTGAAACTATTTTTTTTTCATATTTTACCCAGTGTATAGCAGCTATTGCTTGTACAGAGCTTCCTGTCCAGCAATGGCCAGATCTGATCCCAACATTGGTTCAAAATGTTACCAATGGTACTGCGACAGAGAGTTTGAAGGAACAGACCTTAGAAGCTATTGGATATATTTGTCAAGATATAGTATGTCCAACATAATTTTCTGTCATGAAATGGTGTTCAATTTAATTAAGATAATAAAACCTTGTGTGGGTTGGAGACAGGAATAATGGCTATAAATTGTTGTTGTGTGAATTTATAAATCTATTTCCTCCTAAATATGTTTTAATACAAAATAACTGAAAATGTGATGTGTGATGTCAAATATCATTGGTCTCATAAACATTATGCAAGATATGTTCTGTAGTTGGTCATTTATATGTAGTTTGTGAAGTTGATTATGTTTCTGAATGAATATAATTTTTAGGATCCTAAGCACTTAGCAATGGAAGCCAACAGCATTTTGACAGCAATTGTACAGGGAATGAGGAAAGAAGAACCCAGGTGAGAAGAGCCATAGTCCATCACATGCAAGTCCACTCTAGTCTTACATTTACAGGAAGTTTTCCTTGAGCAGCTAGTAGAAAGTAATATTGTGATGGTGCTACTCTGAATTATCTACCAGGCAAGCTAAAAAATTAGCTTGTCCATGGTGGGGACTTGTATGCATGAGTCATATGCACTATCACTAGTTCTGAAGGTGTCTATGTATAAAGTTTCCCTCCACTAAGAATAAATTCCCCTATTTTTTATTTTCAGCGACAATGTCAGACTGGCTGCCACTACAGCCCTTTACAATTCCTTAGAATTTACAAAGGGAAATTTTGACAAAGAGGTTGTTCGCTTCTTATCTTTAGAGCCATGCTTAAAAAACTATTCTATAACTCAAATTTAATATTTTTTTGAATTTTTTTTTAGAATGAGAGGCATTTCATAATGCAAGTTGTATGTGAGGCTACCCAGTGTACTAATACTCAAGTAAGGGTAACACCACTATAAAATGACTAATTGACTAGCTCTGTTATGCCAAAATAAAATACTATGTTTTCATTCCAGGTCAAAATTGCATCTCTTCAAAATTTAGTCAAAATTATGTCCTTATATTATGACCACATGGTGGCTTATATGGGTCCTGCTTTGTTTGCTGTAAGTATATTGTTATATTCTAATATCACCTTCGGAATGATGGTGTTTTTTAATGGATATTGCTCCCATTATTTTCCCAGATAAGTCTTGATGCAATAAAAAGTGATATCCCAGAAGTGTCCCTGCAAGGCATCGAATTTTGGTCCACTGTTTGTGATGAGGAAATTGACCTGGATCTTGAGGCTGAAGAGGTTGGGGATAACTTGTTCTGAACGTTTTATATTTGGTGGAAAAAATGCAAATTTGTGAAACTCTTGAAACAGAATCTCATGCCCAATTCCTCTGGAGTCTCTCTACGTTTCATATTCTCAATTCTCACTATTTTTTAGGCTGCACAAGTGGGTCAGCCCCCAGAGAGAAGCAGCAAGAAGTATGCCAAGGGTGCATTACAATACCTGGTGCCTCTTATCTTGGAAACCTTGTGTAAACAGGTGTAGTATTATGCACTGTATTACCAAGTTATTGTTCCAGGTTTCAAACTTGTTTCTACAATGTTTTTGTGTTTTCTTTTAACAGGAGGAATTTGATGACGAAGATGATTGGAATCCATCAAAAGCCGCTGGTGTCTGCCTCATGCTCCTAGCACAGTGCTGTGAAAACGATGTCGTTCCCTATGTTCTTCCTTTTGTTGAGTCAACTATCGGCGATGAGATGTGGCAAAGACGTGATGCTGCAGTCATGGCCTTTGGTAAGACATTTTGCTTCTCCGTGGAAACCACTCTACCGGGGGATAGTTACCATGTCTTTGACGATAGTTTTATGTCGAGGCTTTCTGGCAGAATAGGGATCATCATTAAAAGCTGTAGAATCAAGTCACACCTGTTCTAACTCCCTGTCTGTCGGGGGACTCCAAATCCATACTCTGCTGGTAGAAGATTGCAAAAAGAGTGCCGTGAAGAGTGGCTGCAGTCTTTTGGCAGATGTTGGTGAAAAGTTACGAATGCTCTTGTGTATAAGTGCTCTTATTTGAACATCAGTAACTTTCCCGCTCGTTCACATTTACCAAAAGAAGAGAATGGCAAATGAGACTATGGCAATGGAATTGTGATTCTTGTAGCTCCTCTCTGCAACTTCATGTAACTGTTTTATTCATCTTTCAGGATCAGTTCTTGGAGGACCAGACCCGGAGGCTCTAAAACATGTCGTCGTTAAGGTAGACGTGTGCAGTTTTAGAAAGAATCTCAAACGAAAACAGAATTTCTTGTCTCAAACGCACGACTCTGTTATCTTTAGGCAATGCCGTTGATCATCGAGCTGATGCACGATCCTAGCACGGTCGTTCGTGATTCTGCTGCATGGACCGTGGGTCGTGTGTGTGAACTGCTACCAGATGAAGCAATCAACCCAGCGTACCTCAACCGTCTTCTTGAACAAATGTTGACATGCCTCTCTGCTGAACCGCGGGTTGCTGCAAACAGCTGCTGGGTACGTTAGGCTGCTTTATGGTCGTAAATTACAAATCGAAAACTGGTCCTGCGATGCACATTTACCTGGATATGTTATGATATACACGCCATATTTGTTTTCGGTTTAAAATATAACATTTTTTTGTTGATTAGGCTTTTTCATCGCTCGCCGAAGCTGCGCTGGAAAATGCCAAGAATCAATGTGGAACTGACGAGCCAAACACTTTCGCACTGTCAGAATCGTTCACCAAAATTATCAACGATTTATTTATAGTTACAAACAGGTAGGTCAACATATCAAAACAATGATACTACATTTACAGTATCGGGAAATATCCAACGGTTTCAAATAAATTCATGGAGTACATCCTATCAATCGTCACACGATCCAATTTGTTGGATCCACTTCACTTGTGAAGGATGTTTTATAGTCAGTTGACTTGCAATGTATAGGGGCATCAAATCAACTAAAGCCAATTCTCTTTTTCTTAGACCTGATGGTAACCAGGCGAATCTTCGTAGCGCGGCGTATGAAGCCATAATGGAAATGATCAAGAATTCTCCAAAAGTAAATCCTTTCTCCCAATTGTACCGCCCTCCAAGAATTGACATGTCAAAAGTTTAAAAATCTTTCTTTTTTTCTTATGTAGGATTGTTATATGTGTGTTCAGTCAACAACGCTGGTGATCTTGGAAAGATTACAACAAGTCCTTCAACTGGAGGTTCGTATATTCACCATATTTCACATCTGTTTAATCGTTCACAAAGATTCAGCCGTTGTATCTAACGTGGCACTCTCGTGTATTTCACACAGGGTCAAATAACCTCCACAGATGATCGTTCTCAATACATAGATTTACAGGCCTTGATATGCGCAACTCTACAGGTAATCTCACTTCTTGTACGTATGGGATAACGATTTCACATGCAGGTAGAAAAAATATCATCTCTAATCATGTTATTTTGTTTTCAGAGTGTTTTGCGCAAGGTTGAACCCGATGACGCCCTAAAGATTTCTGATGCGGTCATGAGCGCTTTACTACAACTACTGATTACACAGTCTGGTCAGGGGGGTGGCGCAAAGGAAGATGCTTTATTGGCAGTCGCTATTCTCGTGGAAGGTAATGTCCGAATCTAGACACACAACCGTACACAATCAGGGTATTCTCGCGTTTTTTCAGCATGCACTCAGCCTGTTTTTAATGAAACCCAAAAAAATTGTGGCTGTAATTAGCCTGCTAGCGGCCTGGAATGTGGAACCTCCGCCCCCCTTACCACCGAGGCATAATTCCAACCTGCTAGCAGGCTAGGGTGTGAGCTGCCCGTTGAAACATAGGTTTTTTCATTTCATAGTGATCGGAGTTAGTTTCATGAAGTATATGGAAGCATTTAAACCAATGTTGACTCTGGCACTGAGGAACACAGAAGAACACCAGGTATGGACTATGCAAGTTTTCAGTTAATTTTCAGCAAGTTAGTTTCCAGTTGAACAGGCTACAGACAAACGATATTAATTCACCTGAATCATATACCACAGTCTCTATAACTTTAGGCTATAGACCCATCCCGTTTAAAAGAATAGGCCATTCCTTAACTTTTCTTGATAATATTTCCTCTTGTTAAAGGCGTGTATAGCTGCTGTTGGTATTGTGGGTGATCTCTGCCGCGCATTCGGTGAACAAGTTTCGCCGTTTTGTGATGAATTCATGAAGCTACTCATGGAAAATCTTGCAGTAAGTCAGATGTGGTCAGATTCATCAACGATCTATGGGTGCATTTTATTGCCATAGCTTTGACTTTAACATTGACTTTTTTCCCTTGTGTCGATATATTTTCGTTTCATCTATATACATCTTGCTGTATCTGCAGTTATGACTCTGTTTTCGATGATCTTTATATATTTACATCTAGCAATGATCTGTTTAGAAATCTTTATATATCTGTTCTCCTTTGTCGTGATGTTTGATGTTTGTTGCATTCCTTAGAATCAGACAGTGCATCGCTCTGTGAAACCACAAGTCATCTCCGCCCTGGGCGATATTGCTCTGGCAATTGGAGCTAATTTTGTAAACTATCTTGAGCCAGTGATGCTTACGCTGGAACAGGCTGCGTCTTTACAAATAGAAACAGTAAGTTTGAGATCGTTTTGTTTGAGCAACGATCTAATTTTGTCCGATTCAATTCACTTCTGACGTATGGAATGTAGTGTGTTGTTGATAAGCAGCACTGCATTGGCTTTCGTTGATTTTCTGTCCAAATACAATGCAAGTCAACAGGCTAAAAACATCCATCAGAAGTCAATTGGATCCGACAAAACAACCATATCTTAATCGATCATGTTTTGTGTGATGGTGATTTAATAATGATGATTTTGCTGTGACCATTTAATAAACCATTCATTTGTTCTGTCTTGCAGGATGATTACGACACGATCGATTACCTGAATGAGCTTCGCGAGGCGTGCCTAGAAGCCTACACCGGTATCATACAAGGCTTCAAGGGTGATGGGAATGTTCCTAGCGGTCAGTGCTAGACTCGTCTACGAGCTCAGCTGTTTTTTTTACGTATCACTTTCAGATCAACATTTTCTAATTTGATCTTTCTCTTTTTATGCAGCCGAGGTGCAGAATGTATGGCCCAGTGTTCCAAGCATTGTCACTTTCTTAGAAAAAATTTCGGTGGATAAAGATCATTCTGAAGCTGTTGTTGCGGCTGCCTGTGGACTAGTAGGGTGGGTATTCACTATGTTTGCTAACGTCTAGTGGGTGTAGCACCGTGTTATCTCATCTATAACCCACATCCCAAAGAGGAAGAAAGGAATCAATTATGTGTGAATAGAGTAAACAGATAGATTTCTGATGATGGTATGACACTCTTATTGCCCAAGTGACAGACACGCACACACGTGGCCACCAACAGGCCGACATTCCTAACAACATGGTTCCATTGTTCTATTTCAGGGATATGTGCTCAGCTTTTGGTACGCCAGTACAACAACACTTGGAGAAACCAACAATTCTGGAACTACTGCAAGAAGGACGCAGGTCCAAAGGAGGAAAAACGAAGAGCGTTGCGACGTGGGCGACGAAAGAATTACGAAAATTAAAGCAAGCATAGGTTGGTTTATTAACTTGTTTCTATATATACAAAGTAAAAGTTTAGTTAGGAACAATCCAGTTATATACTTAGTTCGTTGTTTGGACTGATCTGTATATACAATGGGATAACTGGAGTGAGAGCTATATTCAGAGTAAAAATCGCGACGATTTCCCAGTTCTCTCTCCGTAGCGCGTGGTCAAATATAGCGTGTCCTGGCACTGGGTATTAATTAACTCCTCACTCCAGATATGTGTGTAGTTCAGGTGGTTTTTCATAATGGGGGTGATTTTCTCTTAGACCGTCGAAAGGAGGGATAATCTACGAAAGACGAATGGAAATGAAATGTGAGTACGACTGTCTGAGTGGTTTAACGAGAGCCTGACAATGAATGCCTGAATGAAAAGCCTGTGAGATGAAAGGAATGAACCGATCTTACGTCACGCTGCGCAAAATATACAAAAGGAAATTATGCAAATTTCATAGCGATATGGAATACGTAAATCGTCGTGGAAATGCCAAAAATCCAAGGTTCGAAATCAAGAGATTCTCGCCACACAAAAGAAGAGTGTAGGACGCGCCATATCTTTAGACAATATTGTGGTGTTCAAGGTTTCATGGAGGAACGTCTTGGAAATCTTGGCTCATTATCTTCATGAATGGCATTGAAGCCTCAGAGTGAATTGCAAAATGAAAGACTGGCATCTTTCGGCTTTCTGTCAACGCGTAAATTCGTACGTTTTTTTTATTTTTGCTTATTGTAAGAAAGCTAGTTTTTCTCCTTTGGGCTGACAGATGTATGTGTTTGGAAAAGTTGCATTGGAATTTCAACCTTCTTGCATGAAAGAACTTGATCATACATATGGCTTTACCTGCCTTCATATCGGCGCTGAGAAAATGTAATTGAATGGTTGAGATTGAACGTGCATCTTTGGAACTCTGCGACTTCATTGAAGCCAACAAGCTGGTCTGTCAAAAATGTATTTATTTACAGACTGTTTGGTAAAATGTTTCGAGAAGAGAATTTATGTCAGCAATGATTAATTTTTTCCACAAAGCGCTTGAATAATTTGATCTTGTGGAACGGCATCGCAGGCGATTTCGAACCTAACTTGATGCACACTTCACGTGTTTACACATTTGGCTGAAGGAGCGATAAGAGAGAATTATTATATTAAACTTTATTTTGACAGAAAGAAAGAGAGACGTGAGATGTGAATGTATGTGAGAAATAGATCTAGCCTAAAATATACAATCTGATTGTATGCAATAAATAAATATAAAACATTTTCTTTATTACTCGCATGAAAACGCGTTATTTTAAGACATGTCCTGACTGCTGACCTCGGCGTGTCAATCAATCCCAAAGTTTGGAAATCTATTGTATTGTTTTTAAGCAAAGAAGTTTTCCTTTAATTGATAAACCGCAAAAAGAAATATTGTTTCCATTCCGTTTTCCAAATGTGGACAAACGCGGAACATGTTTTGCAAAAGTGGAGCTTACGTCCCTTATTCGAAATATGAGATGATACAACCCCGAAACAATGAAAGAATCTAGGAATGAATTGCCGATTAGGTTTAAAAATATTTGTGGAGGCATTTAGATTTTATCGATTATGCCCGCACAACTTTAGTCTTTACCATTCTTAGCTTCACTTTCAGCGTGAGCGATGTCTTAAAAATTCTTTTGTCGGCTGGTGTGCATTTTTAATTTCATTCATGCTCAAATAGTCCATGCTCAAATATTTGAATTGCCCAAGGCTATCATAGAGTGATAATCATGTGTAATAATATCCGGTGTGTAACTCAACATGAATAAGCCTGCCGATTAAGCAAAGTTATCTTTGAACTCCTTATTGTTTGAATTTCAATGACATAGTTTGGGTATAATTTGTCAACAATAGCCAGAAATACCATGGTATATTTTGTTTAGATTGCAATCACATGGTGTCAGGCTTTGTCATTCAATTTTGACCTTAATGTAAACTACATCCAACTTAAAAACGCAGATGTTTTAAAGGAGAGGTGTCCTTTTCCCCCATGTCCTTCTCTCTTAACAAAAGAGAGACGATATTGAAAGCGAGGTAAAACGGAAGCCATCTCTCCGCAGAAGTGGCCTGTTGAGTCAAGCCTGAAGTTTAATTACAAAAAAAATCCTCTCATAGATCCAATTTCCTTGGCTTTCTCTATATTCCCACTGGATTGCCCCTCAAACCTCATTCTAAAAGATACAACTGGGAGCTAGCTTGTGCAGTTCTAAATTCCAAACCGTATTCTAATCCGGTAGAGATGGGACTATCCTTATCTATCCGGTGTTGAATTAGGAAGATTATCTGAAGGTGTTATATTCTGAACGGAAGGTCGCTTACAGTACTGGTTTTCTAACGTAATATATTTTATCAAAGCATTTCACATAAGCGGTATAATTCCTTTTAAACAGTTGGGCACTCCAGGGGACAAGCATTGATCCCAATTGCGCTGGTAAAAATCTGAAGAAATATAGAACAGACTCTCCTCATCTTCCATAGTTATCATTTGATCTTTGGAATGGGATTTCGTTCGCCAGATTGGAAGGAAAAAAAACACATAAAATAACTTTAAATTTTTGTGTGGGCATCTCCATAAAATTAACCAGGAATACAAATATTCTAAAATTCCACTACCAGCATGACATACATTTTGTTTAGTTGTAAACCAATTATCTCACTCAAGCACCTTTGTCCTGTCTGTGGTCCTATAGGATTTACAAATTTGCTATCTGAGTCATCTGTACTTATGAAGAACATGTTTGGCCGAATGTCACTCGTGCCTCTGTGCGCAAAAGTAAACTCAAGTTTTTCTCTTCATTATGTCGTTCGGTGTTATTTAATAAAGCCAATAATTTCACGCGTGGTTGGTGTTGAAAGGGAGCGTTCAGTTGGAACTGGGAGTGCGTTTATATGATGGCATTTGTACAATTTTAATAATCGTTATAAAGTTGTCAAATTCGTCTTACTCAACCTTCAGCATTCTTGCTCATATCCTTAAAAAACTAACTAGTATTAGCATAACTTGTGGGGCAATATCGTACCTGCTGCCGGAATATGACCTATTTGTTAAAAATAACTATGTTTTGTTGATAAACTGTCGATTTCATTTCGTTGCTAGTTCGGATTCTCACGATCTCATTGGCTAAAACTAATCATCTTTTTGCAATGTATATTATGATCTTATCGCGCGTCCTGATTGGCTCAAGCTATCTGTGTTTTGTGCGCTCTGGCCAATCAGAGAAGACGCTTTTGAAAAGCAATCGTATTTAGAAACACATGTGAGTCAAATGTATTGAAATCATCGCTGTAATAATAAAGAAGCGTTTCTGATTAAAAACGCTCTGCTATTCTGCATAACTTTATTTACCAAAATCCTTGAATACACAACGGCAGACAATTTAATCCCGTGTGGACTTGGCGCCTTTTTCAGAACTTGTCTGCTTATTTGCTCGTGAAAACTCTGCCTCTACAAGCATGGACGTGCAAACAGCGATGCCGTCTGTGAATATCTTCAACGAACTTCAAACGGTACACGAGAAAGGATATTTCTACGTCTTGCCATCGCTGGAGGAAGATTGGCAGCAGGTCGGTAGTGCAAGTGAAAAGATACCATCTTAAATATCGGCAAAATAGTTGCAATTATTTACTATATAGCGTATGGAATTTTGTAGTAGGCTTGTAGTAAATGTCCATATAGACTAATTGCTACATTGTATTTGGGTTATATATCCCCTCGGAATGACTATCCTTTCTCACTCGCTTCGTTTTAAAGATCACAGTATTACTAGAATATCCCTTCATAGAAACATGTTTTATACAAGTTCTTGGTCTTAGAATGATTTCATATTTGTAGTATTGTCAGTTTTAGATAAATCGCTTTCTACATGCTTGGGTTATTACTGTTCGCTGGGGTCTAATGATAATGATATTAACACACTCAGAACGTTTGCCAAATGAAAGTATTCCCACAATATCCTGAAATAGAAAGCATGTTTTCGAGATGGACTAAATCTGTATCACCTATATTAGGGATACTTCGATTGCACTCGACTCAGTTGAAAATGAAAGCTTTTATTAATTCATAAATAACATATGTCATATTCTTTGTCCCTTTGTCTCGTACAGACTAGATTGGAAATGGATCGTTATTTATGTCCGGAGACAAGCAAGACTGATGCTACCATCCACAGTAATGCTCCATGGAATGACATCCCTTTGACATTCGATGTGGATTGTCTTACATTACCCGATGATTTTAATAGTATAAACTCGAATGGGCTCACTTACTCTCATACGGCATTCACGCAAGAGCTACCTGCCAGTCAACCTGTATCATACGAAGAAAATAGCAGCCTAGGTCAGAGCTTCGAATTCAAGCTAAAACCTTTGTCCGTACAGTTGCCAGAATGCCAGGAGGATGGCTCGACGAAAATCACACACAATGTTCTTCCACTGACCCCTCCAAGTTCCCCAGAATCAAATAACACTACGACAAAAGGTGATGGGAATAGGCCAAAACCTAAGCCATCTCGACTGAACTTGAAGCCAAATACGTTTATAGTGAATAAGGATTTAACGGAATCAAAACGGAGAGTCCATAGATGCCCTTTCACAGGCTGTAGAAAGGTATACACCAAGAGTTCTCATCTAAAGGCTCACCAAAGGACACATACTGGCGAAAAACCATACTGCTGCTCCTGGGATGGATGTCACTGGAGGTTTGCGCGTTCAGACGAACTCACAAGGCATTTCAGAAAACATACTGGAGCTAAGCCGTTTAAATGTTCCCACTGCGAGCGGTGCTTCGCTAGATCTGACCATCTCGCTTTGCACATGAAACGACACGTTTAAGGATCGTGTATTCTTAGTTTTTGTGTTCTGTCAAAGAAGAAGATCAAGACCAGACTACCTCGCTTTGCACTAACGTAGGCTCAGGTTTCTTTGCAAAATGAACGACAGGACTTGTGGGAATTGTGTATAATGGACTATGGAATGCTTCTTTGCAGGGTGAAATAGCGTAATTTGGCTTTGTTTCCTGATTACCAAAATAGATCAGCAGTGTGTTGACTTAGGCTTATTCCTGATACATTCGAATGCTATTTTCATCTCGTTCGTAACGACCTAAATCGGTTGCTATGATCCTTTATGGCGATCGAAAAACAAGCAGGCACACGTTGTTTTGTGGGGCGAATGCGGTACAAGGCTAAATACGGCCGTGTTTACTCACAAGACATAAATGTGACCGTAATACGATACGAGCAATTGCAACATGTTGTCAACAGTTACAACAGGGCGAGATATGCCCACTTCACAACAGGCAGTATTGGTATTACTGGAATTCAACCTCGAATGCTATTTAAAGTCTAAACTGTGATAGCAGAATCACGTCGTGAAAAAACGCTCGTGTGCGCTCAAATGTTACAATATTGCGTGCCCAGAATTTTTGCATTTTTCACGTTCCAGAGTTCTGTGAGAAATGCGAAAATCTAGCATTGACTGAAGAAATAATCTGGTGTGATATCGACTGTGTAATTCTATGCTATGAGAAAGCTAACTCTGGTATTGAAATTGCTCTATGCAAACAAAGCCGTACACAATGCGTGATATAGAATATTAAATATTTAATAGGTCTAGGTTACCAAGAGGAGGTTACTTGAATTGAAATAGAAGCAGAATGTGTGTGTGTTTCATTCGGTCAGCTGTGAACTACTTCCATTTGACGGAGTGATTACCACAACTCGTATACATAAATCATTTTCGTTGATGCGCGTTCGACTTTTAACGTCTCAACGAAAATGATTTACATCAATTGATACTTGGTTATTTTTATAAATTCGTATGTAAATAGTGCATGCCTTGAATATGAGATATGATTCAAATACAAGCAAGCTTTGAGTAAACAAAAGTGGTGGATGAATTAAACCTGGGTATTTTAAGTAAGGGAGTAAGTTCAGGTAGAAAGATGAATTTTTTTTAAACCTTTTAAGCAGATTTTGAGCTGTCAAAGTTGAGTCTTTGAACGTGATAAAGAACTTCGGTCATAGCATGAAATTTTTGTTGGAGTTCTTGATCTTTTGGAGTTTTGGTGTGGTGGGTGGTTTTTAGGCTCGTTGAACGAATTCAACATTAGACAAACTATTTAAAGGAGATCTTTTAAAAACTCCTGAAATGAGTCTGTTTCGTGTGGGGTGGAGGGAGTGTGAGCAAGTGTCGTAAACATATTGGACATAACCTTTTGGAGAAGACGTTTGAATCCGACAGATGGTTAGCGTTGACCAAAGGTGGTCTTTTGGTGACGGATATTCGTGACATCTGTTGACATCATAACGAAACTACTTTAAATACAGTTTTCGACAGTTTTTATGCGACTTTGATTAGTTTGTGAGATATGTGTAAGATATTGCTCTCGTTGTCAGCGTTTTAGCAAAAAGAGGGACAATGATTTTGACGTGTCACCTTGAATAAATGAATCTGAAATATTTCAAGTACATTTTTTGCATGTCTAGGAAGACAAGGCTCTTGAGAATATGGAATTTTGCCCAATGTCAGAAAAACAATACAAGCCTATTAGCCTACAGTATTAACTAAATATAAACAGAAAAACTGCATGTGTTCCCTAATATCCAGGCCACCTCGGCAAAAGTTTTAGTCCCTTCGGAGATTTAGGTACTGTGTATCAAATTTCGCTATCCAGTTAGATTTGCATACCAGTGGCCAACCTCCACTGATCTATATATAATCCAATTACCCAGTTGTCGTTGTCAAGACAACCGCGTCTCTTGGATAAAAATATAAACATTGAGAGTCGTGGAGTTCGCAACTTTCAATGTGTTTCATTCAAAGTTCAATTTCAACATAATACTGGACGGGATTTTGAATTTAAATTTATAGCTTTATATCTTAAGTCCAGCTCAAGAGATGGCTACTAATTCAGGCAAATTTACAGACAGAAATCCTGATATTTTAGCGGTATGTTCGAGGCACATCATCGTGTATTTTTCGGCAATGCTTTCTGTATCGGAATTTCATCATATGAAATATCAGTCTCAAGCTCTTAGACCTTATTTTTTAGGCAGGAAAATTGGTGGGCAGTGGAGACTCGACTAGTGATTGTTTTGCTGTTCAACACAAGGTAAAAAATTTTTTAGAGATATATATAAACTGATTTGCATATATATGGCTCGGTTTCCCACTTTGTTTTGTTTTGTTTTTGAGAATTTATTTTGTGTTCAAGGCAACCTTTAATTATTGATGATATTTTATAAACACTTAGAATAAATGTTGTGTAGAAATTATGTTAAAATTATGTCAATGTCCTTGTAGTTGTAGCCATGGCATCCCCCATCTCTTTGCTCCTAGCCCCGAACATTATTACCCATGCAGTAAACTTTATGCACCAGGTGAACTGTTAATTGAATTCCCCACAATGTCAAAATATTTTCGGATCCCAGACGATTTCATCTGTCAGGTGAAAGTGAACTAAACTTCTATGTAGATGACCCTTATTCAATTACGGTGACATATTTCTATCATATTTGTGTACCCTAGGATTCAGTCCCACCAATGATACAGAAATTTTACAACACAACCAGACCAGAACCAGGGAAAGAAAGGATCCATTACGGTAAAGCTGATGACAGCAAGATTGCATATGAAATAACTCATGGTGTTAATACAAGACCATCACTTGTGGTAAGTCTTCTTTTAGAATATGGATTACTACCAGGTTAATGGTTAGTGAACAGAGCTCTGCACCCTCCTTTGGGTGAGACATATAGTTGAGCCAGTAACAATGGCAATGTTCTTGGCAGAAAAGTACTTCCAGTTATGGGGTTAGTCAATTAATCTATCATTGTATAAATTTACAGGCAGGCGACTTAGTGAATCCTTCCCCAAAGACCGCTTTCCGCCAAACAATGGAGGATAAAAGAGAAAGTCAATATCTCAGTAAGAAGAAAGCACCTCTAGGTATGGTATCCTTAGTGTATACAAGGTTTGGTATGGTTCCTTTAGTACACATGAGGTTACCTATGGTACCCTTAGTATGTACAAGGTTAGGTATATGGTACCCTGAGAATGTACAAGGTTAGGTATGGTACCCTTCATACATATGAGGTTAGGTATGCTACCCTAAGTACATACGAGGTTAAGAATTGTGTAACCAGTTTCTCCTGTGAAAGCCCTAGCTGTTCCTGTTTGGTGGGAAAATTTATGTTAAACAAGCCCTCTTTTATATCCTTGCTTTCCATCTTTCATAAATAATCGTTTCTTTCAATGGTTTGCTTCTTTCTTCAGGCAAATGCCATGATCAAAGGCCAGGGTTGCCTGAAGGTGTGGGGCTCTACGACGTCGCGTATGGGATACCCACGTTAAGAGAAGGTAAAGCTGGAGATATCATTAACCCACCCAAATCAAGAAAACAAGTTGATGTTGAGTCGGGCGATGGTAAGGATTTGTATAAAGTCAGCCACCATGCTTATGATGTTGCGGAAACTTACGACAGGAAATATAACTGGGAAAAAGTACCAAAGACGAGTACGTTTGGAGTGGAGACCCCACATGACAACGATGGAATTCACGTAAAAAAGAGCTTAAAATGGCTTTACGATACTCAAAGGTATCATAAATGGCAAAATGATTTATCATCAGATCACTTAGTAATTTGCTGCACTTCAGATATTAGTTCCGAACTCTGCTCCAAAGAGAATCTTTTATTGATCCAGTGTTGCATGCCAACGGAGGAACCCCAACTGGCTAGCTCAGTTCTAAACTGTTCTTCCTAGAGGTCCAGTAAGGATCATCTCTTATTGATCCAGTGAATTTATTTATACTGAATATTGGACTTCACTCGATTCTTCACCATAGCGCTTCTTCACTCCATATATTTTTCTTTCTTTCAGTGCGAAAGCAGCACACATCGTTCCCAAACGTCTGGAGGAATTTCGTGAGCGCACGCAGCCACAACTTGGTAAAGTGCACGACCCAATCAAAGATACGATGAACGTACCCCCGGATCACACATTCGGCGTTCTCTTTAAGCCAGACGAATTTGGCGCGGGCGACCTCATTCATGGCCGCACACCTGATAGATATCAGAAAGGAAGCGAACATCAACGAGCTGTCTTAGCCGCAATACGGCAGCACTTGAAGAAATCAAATTACCACAGCTTTAAAGACCTCAAGTCCGCGTTCCTCTATTATGACAAGGTACTGTATGAGAAACCCAAATATTGATCTACGGCTCCTCCCAGGGCCTTTCTCTGAAAATTTTACCGGGGGATCTGCAAAACGGACTACCTACACTCCTACAGGTATGTCTTTCCCCCCAGAGTTGCAAAAAAGCTGCGGGTACGCGGGTGCCACCCGGAGGAAGGTTTGCTTTGAATGAGGTTTGTGAGGAAGGTTCAAAGTTTGAAAATCTAATTGATCACATGCATGCACTAAAAAACCAAATATTTCTTTATGCTGGTTGCTACTTGACTCAGTGTCGTAACGTCATTTTGAGGAAGGTTTTCAAAATTTGAAATCCTACCGGAGGAAGTTTGAACTCTTTTTGCAACTCTGTTTCCCCCGGTCGTGAAGGATATAAAATCTCATATGTCGTTATTCCGCCCTCCAGGATAAATCAGGCAAGATCAGCATCGATGAACTGCAAACAATTTGCGAGTATCTACGACTGCCAGTTGAGGAGGAACTATTGCATGCTCTGATCTTATACTGCGACGTGGATGGTGATAGGCAAATAGATTACGAGGAATTCTGCAAGTTTCTGAACTGGGAAAACGCTTTTGAAGATGAACTGGAATATAACCAGAAGGCATGGCCAAAGGTTTGTCGAATGTTGTCAGGTTGTCTCTATACAACCAGGGCTAAGGTTATCCATTCCGGTGGACCCATTTTCATCCATTCCGGTGGCCCCATATTCAGTTCTCAAGAAGCAGAAAACATGTTTCTATAGCGTGTTTTAGAACAAAAGTTCTAAGTGTAGCGGGAGTCCCCCCCACAAGATAGAGGCCCACCACCCACGGTGAACAATAGTTCCCCTCTATATCTGCAGCTTCACCCAAGATTGTGGATAAGGTGCATGTTCAACACTCTCGTATCTCACCTCCCTCCAATGCGGAACGATTGGCAAGCTATAAACTGTCCCGCGATTCGTGCATGGTCTAGCTTGATAAAGTTTATTTCTGTGCACATCCAGGCGCAAGAGAAGAACAAGACAGAAGATGGAGTGGAATTACCAGATATTCATAAAACAACAAGACAGATTGATAAAGCTGTTGGCGGATGGAAGACATCTTCTTCAACCATTAATGCAACTGTTGGACGTCATAATACGCAAGGTATGGTCCTGACCAGTTTTGACAGCTTAAGAACCTTTCTCAATCTCATTGAGAATCCCTGTTTAGTGTTCAGTGTGGACTATGAGTTATGGTAGCACAAACTAAAGTGTGTCATCTGTAAGGCCTGATTCCTATTGACACCGAGAGTTTGCGATGTATCAATAGCAAGTGACGAAGAAAATTTATTAAAAATAACAAGCCAGTCAAAGGACTTTATTCTCTATTGATCACCAACAATAGCCATCGCTGACTGCAGTGAATTATGAGAATCACAGGGCTTCAAAAATTCTTACACTCCTCACTCTCCAGTGGCCTACTCGCTAGCTCAGCCGATGGATAGACTGGTGGATTAATTACCTGAGTAACTGGTTTATTTGTACATGAGATAGTTCTCGTTTTCATACCCTGTACAATTGATGCTTTTTAGACTGGAAATCATTTGGTGTGCCGACCATAAGAAGTGATCTCGCAGCTCCACGCATCAGAAGGATTTCAGACAGAACTGTGAGCACATCGATCTTCTTTGTATAATTCTTGAGGAAAGATATGAAAGTGTTTATACGCAGGTCGAGGTTCTAGCTTGCATGCAAGGTGTACTCATCATTGTTGGTTTTACCTCTTGTAGAATTACGGCGATGAATCTGATGCTTATGGTCTCATTAATCCTTCCGTGTACAGCAATCACGGCGTTCATGAGAAAGATTTCTTTCAACATAGAACTCCTAACGAGGTACGACACTCTAGAGCTTTGGTGGTGGCATCTGATCTCGCAGTTCTGATCAAGAACTTAAGCTAAACTATCTTCCGTAGTAGCGTCCTTGATAATTGGAAATATCGTTTAAGATTTGCGGGAATAGGCACATATGAATACGTGTGTTTGTAAGTCACTTTTAACTTGCGGACTGACCTCCACTATACCTCCACTAGCCACGATGTGTCCCGTGTGGAGAGTGGTGTGGCTTGAGGCTAGTTCAGGCAGTTTCACCTCTGCATATATAGGCCATAGGGTAAATATTCTTTTCAAACCATATTCTAGGTACACCGTGTCATAGATAGCGTTGGTATTCGAATGTCCCCAGAAATGTTTGATGAATTATGGAAGAAAGCTGCTTCTGAGAATCCACAGGGCTTGGTAAGTTCACACTTAAGATTACTAATACATTCACTCAACATATGCCCTACAGCTATATGCCTAGCCTGAGCTAATGGGCACTCTCTGAGTTTCTGGATAGATTCACTTTACTATACTTATTTCTAAAATTGGCAAGTCAAATCTTCCAGGATTGGACAGAGTAAAATATGAAGGTTGTTATCTTCTAAGAACAGCAATTACTTTGCAAGCTCAATGGTTTAATTAACCTGTATATTTATTTTCTACACATTTCAGGTTAGCGTAAATTCTTTCAAAAAAGCAATGGACATGCATGCTGATGAACGATTGCATGCACCACAGTTGCAGGAAGCTTGAATGGACAACATGAAAATACTGTGTATTTCAAAAGGTATTTTTTACAATCTAACAAAGTATTATAGATATTTAATATTCTTAATGCTAATTTAAATGCTTAAGGATAATGTACAGCTATTGAGGATAAAATCATTGTTGATTTAGAAATTATATTTTTAGAATAAAAAAATTATTGTGTTAAAAAGACTGTTTGAATTTCCGATTTTTAAAATCATCTAAGCTAAAATACATACGGTATTCGTCTGAATAGTAAATAATGTGGCCAATGCAGCCATTGTCATAATGCAACCATTGTCATAATTCAGTTCTTGCAGTTATACTGAACACATGCCAAGCACAGCAACCACCGAAGATCTTAGTTGCATGGCAGACTGACATTTAGGTAAATATTCCACATGTAAGCTGGAGTCCTTCCTAACGAGGTCCAGACCAAGGCTTCTTAGGAATCTTGCCACAGCGTGTTCTTCGGTAAAAGAATCCGAAAAATCGATAGCATTTTCAGGTGAACCTGCTGATTCTATGGCTTTTTGTAACTACATATAACATAGCAAAAAGAAATTATGTTTTACCATTGCCAATAGTAAAATTGGGACATTTTATTTGAATACTTACTGCTGAAAGTATGCCATCTCTATGTGAGATATCACACTCTGTGAGTATCTGGATTTGGAAATTGCCCATTTCTAAATAATTTAAGATAAATAATTTAAGATAAATAATTTAGTACTTATTAAATTGAACAGCTGGATCTCCACTGCTCTTTTCTAGTGGTATAGTGAAGACTGACACCCATTGTATAGCTGCTAGTCCGTATTATTTTTAAGTTAACAAACACCACTAACACATTTTTATACCAACCAGATAAGCAGTCCAACAAAAGATTGAGAGATATCAACAGATCTAGTTTGTCTTCTGGAAAAACTAGCTTGTTATTCTCCTGGTCAACTTGAGCACCAGCAATTTCTAGGAACTTGAAACAGTCTGGGAAACAATCTTCAGTGAATATTTTCTTCAAATGAGGGATTGTAATTGTGCATAGAACAGATTCTCCTTGCAAAATATCTATGGCATTTTCAACCTAGAATAAATGAGTGAGGTTATACTAAAAAAAATAAATAATCAAAATAATAAAAAAATCCCTTTTTTAGTATCTAAGCTGTAATCTGATTAGATTAAAAAACTGCATGCACACTTACAACAATGTTCAATTTGAATGCACATGCTGGTCTACAATTTAGAATTTTTCTCAGCAATATGATCAGGTCATCGTTAGCTTCATTTGTAAGTAACCCACTCAAGGCTTGCTGTATACTTTCCACTAAATAAAACATAAACTTCACATTAACCTGTCCTTATAATATGTTGGAATTGTGATAGTAATATATATACCTTCAAAGATTTTCTCTTTAGCTGGAAGTGGTGCGTCAGTTAGGTCATCTGGAAGCTGGAGGTTCAAAACACCATCATTTCCAACTTTAAGTTTATAACAACAATATGCAAGGGTTGTTCCAGGTGGTATGGTATATTGCCTGTGCTGTTTGGCATCACTTGAGCCATCACTGTTCAATGTTAACTGAACATGAGGCGTGCCACCTAAATCACCTGAAAAATAGAAATTTGAAATAAGACTAATTCGGTTAATCTCTTCCTGTATCTCTTTAATTTATTCTATGTCTATCTGTCATATAGTCAGTCAAGTCTGTCCATCAGTGTGCCTCATAGATGAATCTCCACCATTCTATATCTTTCAGCCAGAGTCCAAATCTGGAAGGGGATATATCAGATCCTCTTCACCCTGATGGGCCATCCCCTGGTTTTTGAGTTTTTTTTATTAATTAACCTACCACCAAATTTTGTTTCTTTATCCAGACTTGTTATAACTCCTGAGGTAACAACCATGCCAATCAAAAACAAACTTTTCTTTGTAGAACTTTTGATTGTCTTCAATAATGGATGATCACCTTTCGCAGCTTTACCATTCACACAGTCGTATAGCTCTTGCCACACAACTTCCCGCTTGATGACATCGCCAAGCTTTAACGAGACTTGCATTGTCTCGTTAATGCTCACATCCACATCAAATTCTTCAGCAATCTTGCCACCGATTTTCCCAGCTTTATGAAAGGAGGGTGTGCTTGCATAATCTTTAAACAATACTGATGTGCAAAAGTGACTTTTCACATCAACTTCCTACAAACAAGAAATTGCCGCCTGATGTATGTCATTAATAAGGTACATAGGTTAATGAGTGAAGTTTATTTATTTAAATATTCTAATTTAATGGTAATTGAATCAATCATCAAGGTAATTGAATCGACCATCAAGGGTAAGTAACACTAACACACAGAAATTTGACCTGATATTTGAACTCAACTTCCTCCTAAAGGGGTACAGACTTTTAAAAAAATCTGAGTATTGTTACAAATTAACCCCATGGGGTTGTAGGAACAAACGAAAGGTGATTAGGAACACTAAATAACCAACCTTAGTCAAAATATCATTCAATGTTGTCTCGGCAGGAATATATTTGTATTTTGACTTCCATGGTAAGTGCCAACAGCGAGTTTTGCGTTCCACCAAGGACATTAGTTTACAATAATCTGCCGCACAACGATTGCGCACAGGTACCAACGTGTCGTGGGAAACATCTTTGACAACTTGGCTTACTGTAGCATCAAATAATGACATTGTTCAGGAAAAAAATCGTTTACAACAGATTTAGTACAATTTCCACGCACAAAATGTCCTTTGTGAATGAGTTTTCGAGGAGAGTATCTTCCTGGAATCTTGGATTATGTCAGATTCATAATTTTTTCCCACGCTCAGCTTGGTCATTGTAAAATAAAATTCCATCCTCCGAATCCACGAGAATTTATTCCTTAATCTAATCCCTTACGATTGGTAGTCGGTGCAGGGATTAGGATCAGGTTTAGGATTGTATTTGTGGATTCTGGACTGAAATTATCAGTAGGAATTACTAACCACTGGGTAACCCACAAATATAATCCTAACTTTTCCAAACCTTAACACTAAGAGTTAGATTCACAATGCACAGATTAGATAAGGATTATATTATATCCATGGATTATATCCACTGATTATACCCACTGATTATATCCGATCTTCTTCCCGTTCGTAGGTCTCAATATGCGCCTGTATATTCGGATGTCCCGCGATCCTTTGCGAGCCGTGATTGCATAATCTTGTTGCATAAATTATTTTTTTCTAATTTTCTTCCAAAATCCAAATCGTTCCACGCGGTGAAGCCAATCAGGGGCGACGTGCACAAACGATTCGCTTTGAAATCGAGCGATTTTTAACAAAAGCAACCAACCATTTTAGATTTTTGAAGTCCCAAGAGGGATCAGATATTCTTTATTTTAAAAATGAGCGAATTAAATGCCTCTGCGGTGAAGAAAATGAAGGTCAACGATCTTCGTTCTGAACTGACTAAACGTGGACTCGATACGAAGGGTCTAAAACAAGTGCTTGTTGATCGACTTTTGGCCGCGTTAGAGGACGATCAGCCTGTTGAAATGGCTGAGGAAATCAAAAAAGAACCTGAACCAACTGCAGAGGAAAGTGCAGCAGTCGATGAAGACGAGAAAGAAGTGAAAACTGAGCCGATTGATGAGGTCGACGAGCAACCTCCGGATGAACTGATGGCCGAAGATGCAGCTGTTGCTGAGGAGGTTTCGGAAGAACAAAACGAAACAATTGCTGTTAAACAGGAACCACAAGACAATACGGAGCCCGTAGATGAACAAGAAGGTAAAGCAGAGGAGGAGGAAAAGATGGAAAGCGAAGTAAAGGTCGAAGAAACGCCTGAAACTGAGAATGAACAAAAACAAGATGATGAACAACAAGACTCCATAATGCAGGAAGCTGAGCCGCAAGACGAAGGCAAAGGTCGGTACTTTTTAAAGAAATTTTTGACATTGATTACTTGCACGCAATTTAGGCTACTGAATTGTATTTAGCTGCATGTAAGTGATATTCATATATGAAAAATGATATGAAGGAATTTATAATGTATCGTTTATGAAGTGTGTTGTCATTTCTTATTACTGTAAGTTTACTCTGGCATGTGAAACATGAGAGTGATTTTCCAGTGGCTGCATTTCACGTGTCAGCCGCTGTTTGATATACCATTGTTAAATTCCTTTGAAACGCTTTGTGTGGGAATCCTAGAATTTACATCCTAGAAAATGCCTATAATTAGAATGACTAATTCTTTATCTGATGACTTGCTTTTTATAAGGAATCTTGCCGACAACTTGTTTTGATATTTGCAGATTCAGAAGAGAAGGAAACGGAACCAGAGCCAAAAAAAGAGAAGAAAAGGTATGCAAACTGCAGGCATCACTTCGCGATATAATTTAGCACTTGCTGCAACTTGTAAAAGGAAATCTCTATGGTGCTCTCAAACTTCAAAAAGGCTCTTTTGCTGCAATTACCAAAACCAACCCTTCTCTATTAAAATTTACAATACCTAATGGACTGGAAAGTTGGATTTTAGTATTATTTTTAGTGGCTAGGAGTGAAAGAGGAGGAATATATTTTCTCAAGCACTGGCCCTAATATGATGCCTATATATTCAATTACAGGGAATCATTGTTGGATATTGAGGAAGAAAAGGATGAGACTGATGAGTCGTCTGTTGTGTTCAGTAGATGTAAGTGACATGGAGAAAAAATTAACCTAACTGCTTGCTGGTTTGCTTCATGTCCAACTAGTGTCTGAATGCTGCACAAAAAGCCCAGGGGAATTTCTCATTTTATGGGAAAATATATGTGCTGATAAATACTAATGTTCATCTAGTATCTTTTCTTCATGAACTTATTATTTATATCATTTTTAGATGTATCAGACTTATACTTCAAGACATCACCAGATGGTTTAACAGGCAATGTCATCACTGATGAAGGTTTTACATATATCTGGGCAGGAGCAAAAACAACCTGGGGTGTCAATAAAGGCAAAGTTGGTTATGAGTGCAAGGTAAGATGCTGCAGTTATTTTTGAAAATTGCTGTAAAATTGATAGTTTGCCATGATAGTTTGTGGTCAGTACTAGGACATTGATGAGTTAGCAATAGTTGCAACTTTAGTTCCACCTGATCGTTTTGCTATACTTAAAATAAGGTTGTTTTCCCAGTGTATAATATTTCTATATCAAATATAAATAATATAAATAGGGATATTGATGTTTATGAGTCTTGCTTATGCCTCTTGCCTCATAAAAAAGGTAAGTCATTTAGAAATATTTTGTGATAACATTGTGGGAAGTTATTTCAAACTAAATAAAGACCTGTATGTATTTTGATTATACTGATTTTGACTAGCAAATTGAGCTCTTCATATATACTAAATGCTCAGAATATTTTACACTGGACATTCATTGGATTAAGTTGTCCTTTGGAATGGAATGCCACAATTTTCCCTTCCTTAAAAAGTTGCTTATTCCTAATGATTTAATGCAATTGTACGATAAACTGTTCTTCATAGTTCTACATACCAATTATTTGTTGAAAAAAGGACAAGGCATTTAAATTATATTTCCTGTTTACATGCACATACTATGCATTGGATAACTGGTATTATACAAACCTTATTTCTTTAACTCTCTAACACCAATCCTTAGTTTTAAAAAAATTTAGTATTTTCTTTTTATAAAACAAACACAGTCTATGTGATTTAAGTCTTTCTCTGCAAGTTAAAACTTAAATGCCTAACAGTTGAATTTTTCTTTAGGTTCTGAAAAACATAGACAATGATCTGCCTGATACTGAGAAGCCAAGGAATGGTGTTCGTGTTGGCTGGTCTGTTGCAGAGGCTGGCCTTCAACTGGGTAAGTATAGCATAATGTTCAGGCAGGCGCCATGGCAGAAACCCGGGGTTTTAATATGGGCGACAAGAACAAGAGAAAAAACTGCGGAACATCCACAATAATGGTCCTTCAGAGAGCTTGAGATCTTGAAACTAAGGGCTGATTATAGTGGCTACTACTCTTCAATAAATTTTGTAGGTGAAGAAGGGTTCTCATATGGTTTTGAAAATACTGGAAAATCTTGTACTTCCTCAGAGTTCTCCGATTATGGAGCGAGCTATACGCAAGGAGATGTAATTGGCTGTTACTTGGTGAGTTCATGAAACGAGAAATCCTGTTCAAATGAACATGGAAGAATATGGATGAATACACAAACAAAATATCTAAAATCACCAAGTAATTGTGAAAATAATGTAACATCAGAGTCCTAATATCTCCCTTCTTCAGAGGGTTAATGGGGAAAGTAATTATAAATAAACTGGGTAGTTTGTAAATAGTTTTGTGTTTAGCTGTGGCATTGCTGTGGATTGTGTGACTATGTACCATAAATTGGTGAGGTAAGCAAGGCAAGGAATAATGTTTTGGCCGCATTTTATCAATAGCATGAGATTCAATGAGGAATCAAACAATAGAACCAGCTATTTGCGAAATATACCAGCATTTGAATGTCCAAAATATAACCTGAGTGTTGGATTTCCACATTCGTATATAGTTGCCAGCTATCCTGATTATATTTTATAGTTTGTTTTAGATTACAGGATGTTATGTAAGTACAATCAATCTATATTTGAGCAAAATCATGTTTATATATAATTTTTTATGCTCCTAACCATTATGGATAAACTTCTTCACTTGCAGCTACCAGATCATCCAATGAATTCCTGTTAGTAATTTTTTAAAGTCCTAAAGCCCACTTGTCATGAAACAATTTCAAACAATTGTATATTTCTATTTTGTAGGGCTTTTAATTAATTGTATTCAGAAATATGAATGGGCAAAACTGACCATTCGCATGCATCCAGGGTCTGAGCATTAGGATGGTATACTGGATTATTTTGGGCGATTTTTCAACTTCTGACATGCCCCTTTGAACAGTTTTATTCTCGTCTTTATTCATGATAAACTGAGCTTGAAACCAATATTCTTCTTTATTTTAAATATAGGTTTGTGTGTACTACATGAAAATACTTATGAAACCAATAGATATTTAGATAGCTTTATATTGTTGAATAGGGTAGTTATTACCAACATAGTTACTTAATTTGTCTAATACACTCGAATACGTCTTATCGTAGTTTTTAAAACAAAATGTAGACGCATAGAAGGCGTAGAAGACGTAGGATACAATGGTTCTGGTTCGTAAAATGCTGGTTCTGTTTGAATCCTCTTGTTTTTTTATGCTATTTTTAAACGATCTAAAATTATGGTCGCCACATCCTCTACAGTAGCGCCACAGCCAAGCACCACAGCTCGTTATTTAAGAAACCATTTCATGCATTTTTCTTGAATTTTACACAGGATTTAGACAGCGAGGAACCGACAATTTCTTACACCAAAAATGGTGAAGATCTTGGAGTTGCTTTTACAATAGTAAAGGAAGACTTGGAAGGGAAAGTGTTGTATCCTCATGTTATCATTAAGAACACCGAATGCCAGATCAATACCGGTGCACAGGTGGGTGGTATTTTCAAAGCAATTTCCTTGTTCTGGTACGTGAAAGTATGAGCGTATATTCTAAAATATTCTGATATTTTTTCAATCCAGGAGGAACCATGGTTTCCTGTGAAGGAAGGCTACACATTGATTCAACAAGTGGAAAACGAAAATCTTGTTCAAGGTCCTCGTGGAGCGAAGGAAAAAGAAGATTGCGAGGTAAAACTAAATCAAAGAATAGATCGTTTTCATTGTTAAATATTACCGTTTAAAAACGTCTTCTGTGACATTCTATGAATGAAATAATTATCCGATGATAAGGTTTCTTTTGTAAACAGAAGTCTTCCTTTTGCAGGTGTTAATGATGGTTGGTTTGCCTGCTTCGGGTAAAACGACTTGGGTCAACAAGCATGTTTCCGAAGAGAAAGAAAAAAATTATAACATAATTGGAACGAACAGCGTCATGTTGAAAATGAAGGTTTGTTTTTAAGCTTCGTTCTTCGTTTTCACAGCGGGTTTATTTTGCTTCTACAACAGCGAGAGAAGACACCTAATTAATTTTGTATCCAGCTTTGTTAACCTTTGCTTGAGATACTAAAAGAATTGTTTGTAGGTGAATGGGGAAGAGAGAAAGCGTTCATCTGAAAATTACGACAAGTTGATGGAGAAAGCAACGCGTTGTTTAAGAAGAATATTCGAGCTTGCTCCGACTAAAAAACGCAACTATATTCTCGATCAAGTAAGTTCAAGTTTACGAATTCATTTGTTGCAGCCGTTGCTCAGCGATTAATTTGCCGTTGACTGATCTCGCTTTTAATTCTAGACGAACGTCCATCCGAATGCTCAAAAAAGAAAGATGGAATCGTTTTCCGGTTTCAAACGTATCGCGGTTGTTGTTTGCCCCAAACCTGAAGAACTTGAAAAGAGAACGAAAGAGAAGAAGGAAAAAAAGGGTTTTGAAGTTCCTGAATTCGCTTTGAACGATATGAAAGGTAAAATTAATTGTTGAAATGCTCTCTCACTAGATTATTCCAATCTCGATGCAAGGTTATGTTCTTCATTTTGAAATGTATATTTTTAGCAAACTTTACACTGCCACGTGTTGGGGATCTGTTTACTGAGGTCAACTTCATTGAAGAAGAAGAGGAGGAAGCGAAGAAGATTGTTGACGAATACAAGCGGAACGCGCGTTCCTCGCACAACAGGGGGGGCAATCGTCGCCGGGACGATCATTACAAGGGGGGAGGTGGCCGCTTCCATCCGTACAAACGTGACAACGACTATCGTTCGAACCGTGGAGGTGGTATGAACCGGGACAGGCGGTCTGGTGGTCGTGGAGGAGGAGGTTCGAATTACGGTCGACAGCACGGTGGGTCCAATGATCGTCGTAGCGGTGGGGGTCATAACAAAGGCTACCAGAACTACAACCGGGGAGGTGGGAACCGAAGTGGGGGTAATCGCGGAGGAGGTAACTTCCAGAAAAATTTCAACCAGTATCAACAACAACAACCACAACAGCAACAACAACGTTATGCAAACTATGCAGCTACCCCACGATACAGGTAATGAATACAGCTCTGGCTGTTTCCTTGTAACTAAGAAATACCGACCCCTTTTCAATCAAGATCAATCTAAATCTACCATGAAACCCAAATAGCTTCACTGGATTTGCAGAGGTGGAATATGAGACTAGTTCTTATCATCTTAGCAACCCATTTACTGTAACTTTAGCCAGATTTTAAAACTTGATTTCCCTTTCCATTTCAGTTTCCCACCTCAAGCTGCGGCCTACACAGCGTACCCAAGTCCTTATCCACAACCTGCCTACCCGGCCACAGCATATCAACAACAACAACAGCAACAACAAGCGTATTACTATCAGCAACAACAAGCACAACAAAACTATTACCAACAGGCTGGTTACGGCCAACAAGCTGGTTACGGACAATACCCTCGACGGTTCTAAGGTTAGATAGTCATAGAGGGGCCAAAGAAGAACTTACAAAACGTTTTGCATGTGATGTCACAAAGCCTTCGGGTATATTCTGAGGTTTCTTGTGAAGTTGAAGTCTGTAATGACATTCACATGCAGGTATGTGAACTCGAAGTTTGATTGGCTGCCTTTCATTTTGTAGCCAATCAGATGCTTTGTTCGTTAATTTATCAATCTGCTTGTGAAAACATTACAAACTTCTAACCTTGAAATGGACTGTAATTGTGGTGTACGCAGTAAGCTCAAGGCCTTCACGAGCCAAAGGACCTTTCAAGTAGTGTAAATGGTTCCGCTTTAATCATAAAAGGGTATTTGTAGTTCAGCTGAGCCATCACTATTTTTCATCTGTAAAATATCAAACTGTGGTTGCATGTTATCTATATATTATTTTTTGAGTACCACGTAATGTCGAGAAAAGGCTTTGGAGGTTTTGATACCATTAACCACAGCACTTTACCAAGCCACCTTAAAGGCGTCATACTTCTGTGTTATTATAAACCGTACCATTACAACTCTGTAACATAAATAACCCTGTACTGTAATATAATAACCCTGTACTAATTACTCTGTCGTGAGTTAGCTTGACCGGCAGGCTGTAGCTGAAGTAATGGTTTAAAAATATAAATAAAAGAACTGAGTGAAGCTCAATTTAGTTTTCTGTCTGGAGTGGAAAGCCATCCATCCTCAGAATCCAATGGAGAATGGAGGTCTCTTCGGAGAATTTAATGTATCTAGAATCGAACTTATGCTTCTAAGATTTTGGAGACTACCACTGAACTTGAGAGGGGGGTGTCCATCGATATTTATGATAAGATTGGTGCCATCCAGGCTCCAATTACTTTGAGATCAGTTGAGTAGAACCCAGGATTTACTATCGGCGCGGTCAATTAAAAGATATTTTAAAGTTAGCACGAAGTAGCACGATAAATATCAAAAATAAATTGTTTGAGAGGGACAGTACGATTATGACAATTTCCGAAAACTTTCGTATGCATTAACTTATTTTACAAGTCGTTTATGATAGTGTGCGTTTACTCGCTCAATCGTTATCGGTAAAAGAGTTTTGATGCGATGTTAAAGCGTGTGTTTTCGGGCAAACGAAGGCGACGTCGACCGCCCATTTCAAAGCCGACACATTTTCAGCATAGAGTACACGCTGGTTACGACACTAAGACGGGCAAATTTGTCGGTTTACCACCACAATGGGAGCAATTAATAAAGAACGAAGGCAGACCGAAGCCCATTGTCGACCCAGAAGAAATAACGGAGACAGAAGCGAACAGAATAACACAGTTTTTTGAGGAGGATTTTAACGTTCATAACGAGCAAAATAAACAAGCGATAAACGTATCTCGATCGAATTCGCTTCGTGGTTCTTTCAGAAATCGGGAAGAAGAGCAGCCTAATTCTCCCAAAGCTAACGGTGGAAGCAAGTCGGTTGAAAATATGGCGAGTAATAATACTTCGACAACCGAAGCTCCTAAAAGCATTCTCAAAAAGCGCGGTGCGAAGGGGGCTGGCTCAAAAAATACAAACACAAATCAAAACCAAGGTGATGTCAGACCAACTCCAGCTCCCAGATCACATCATCAGGATCAGAACGGTTCTGGTGAGAAAACAGCGGATACTGCTCGAGGCGTCGACGATCAAAATGTATCGAAATCTAAGTTGATGTACTCCGACGAGCCGGTCACTCATGAGCAATTCCGTCAGGCCTTACAGCAAGTGGTAAAGCCAGGAAATCCTCGAGATATATTCGATAGATTCGTTAAAATCGGCGAGGGATCTACAGGCGTTGTCTGCATCGCAACGGAAAAGCGAACTGGTCGACAAGTTGCCGTTAAAAAGATGGATTTGCGACGACAGCAGCGCAGGGAACTGTTGTTTAATGAGGTGAGAGGCCAATAGTGTTCTTGATCGTTTCAAAACAATACAAACCTTATTTTACTCTTGAGAAAACGGATTCATAATTGCATTTCTTTGAAAGTTTATTCAAATTGCGCCTTGGAGTTCTAATTATGTGTTGGTGTTCTAATTGGCGGTGAATTTCGTTTGAAATTGACAAATTTTTGCATCGACGGGCTTCTAAAAAATGTGTCAATTTCCGTTCTTATTTAACGTTGTTTTTACTTTACAACATGATGCTTGTCACGAGCCAGATTTGCCTAAAAAAATCCTGCCAAATATTGTAGTAGGCAGAATACTACTGTGTAGGTTGTGAAAGTAACCGAAATGCGGGCGAAAAGCCAACATTCATTCTTTGTTCCAATTAGTGTATTTGTTGCAATTTTAAAATTCGAAAGTTTAAATATCATGTTATTACATTAAAACTCCAGAAATGTTTTTTTTTTGCATTTCAACTTCTAAACTATGCAGCGTGAATGTGTGTGTTTTCATTCTGCCAAACCGTCCAGACATTGTTTAGTATTTATTAAGCCTGTCTCTAAACTACCCCAAGAGATTATATGAATTTTTCATTAAAGCGATTTCCTGTGTATTGCGTCGACGGTGTACGCATTGTGATTTTATTAAAATTGTGCAAAATAGGAATGTTTGCAAGTGCTTTTATCCAATTAAACAAACTTTAAATATTCATAGGGTAAGGGCTGAAAGTTTGCCACTCTAGAACTCATTTAATAATTTATTGTTTGTTGCTATGCAATTCCACTTTCATTTATGCATTTTGAATGACAGGAGGCTATTAAAGCATTAAATTTTGAAATATTCTGAATTTCTATGAACTATCAATTCAAATGTGTTGTGTCTCAAATATCTCAAAATATTTGTGAATGCACATGGCTACTTAGGAATTTAATCATTTTTTTTGTAACAAATGCCATGCCTTTACTACAATATGTGTAATGCCTTACATGACTGTTGATTCACTCTATACAAGATATTTCTGGTAATGCTTGCCACAGTAAAATTGGGTGGATAAAAACAGCTACCAGTTTGACAATTACCTTTTCAATGTGTGTTTAACTTTTTGAATCTTAATCATTTTAAGGTGGTGATAATGAGAGACTATCATCATCCAAATATTGTAGAGATGTATGGTAGTTACTTGATTGAGAATGAACTGTGGGTTGTCATGGAGTTTTTAGAAGGCGGATCACTGACAGATATCGTCACTCATACCAGGTAAATATCATTCTTTTGTTTTTTTTGTCCCTGAATTTTTCCCAATTTAATGATACACAGTATTTCATTAACTAATGTATGTTAGCTCATTTAGTTTAACAGAGGAACAAATTGCACACATCAGTAAGTCTTGTTTGAAGGCCTTGGCATTCTTGCATTCCCAAGGAGTTCTTCACCGCGACATCAAAAGCGACAGTATTTTATTGACAACTTCTGGACAGGTATGCAAGCCTTTGCCTGAAAATAGATTAACACAAAAACTGGCAACTGGCATTGTTTTGAAACTAACAAGGCTAGCATTTTTATATTGTATATACCCTTTGTGTGCCAATTTTGGTAACAATTCATTTCAGGTCAAAATATCAGACTTTGGTTTTTGTGCCCAAGTCACACAGGATGTCCCAAAGAGAAGGTCTCTAGTTGGAACACCATATTGGATGGCACCTGAAATCATTGCAAGACAGCCGTATGGACCTGAAGTAAGAATTTTGTAAAGTTTTGGTTTAATGTCAAAAGCATGAAATCGTCATTTTGCAATTCTGTGTTTTGTAGTCTGACATTTGGTCAATTGGTGTGATGGTAATTGAGATGATTGATGGCGAGCCACCTTACTTTAATGAACAGCCATTACAAGCTATGAGAAAGATTAGAGATCTGAATCCACCAACTGTCAAGAATCCAGCTAAGGTAATAATACAGACATTTCTAATACAGACATCTTACTGATACAGAAATATCTCTAATACAGACGTCTGTCTAATACAGACACCTCTCTAATACAGACACCTCTCTGTCTAATACAGACACCTCTCTGTCTAATACAGACATCTCTCTAATACAGACATCTCTCTAACGCTTCTCTCTTTCTTTTTTTTCTAGCTCTCCCCTAGATTGAAGTCTTTCATAGAGAAAGCATTAACTCATAACCCACAGGAAAGAGGCACCGCATTAGATCTCTTACAGCACCCATTCTTACGACCCTATAACAATCCGAACTGTCTCGCTGAACTTATGAAGTCTTTTAGACATAGTGTTTGCTGACATGCTGGGATGGTAGCAACACTAGAAAAGTCAATATTCGTACATTAAAACGGGCACTTCTTTGTGTATCTGTTACCCAATACTGCTCATACGACCTTTCCTTTTTTGCTGTAACTTGGAAGCATTTTTGGAAGAGAATATTCCCGTGATAGTAATGTCAAATGTAGCTAACATTATGTGTATACCATTAGTGATAGAGTAGTTCTAGTGACTGATTTTCTTAAGTTGTAAATTGAGGCCTTTCGTGAGTGGGGATAGAGATTTTTTAATTTTTTTTAAGCAATAAATGTAAAATACGAAATATCCCCCAATGGCCGACAAGGTAGTTGAATAATGAAGTGATGTAGTAATATATGGAGTGGCTGTCATGCCAAATGAATATAAAATACAATTTTGATGGCGTGTGTTACGTGTAGTAGATCTTTGAGGTCAAGATTTTATCATAGGATTCCTGTAGAAAGGTTTACAGCTTTGTGCATTAATTCATAGTACTTTGTACTTTTGAGTTTGGGGGGAAACATTTCTCCTTCAGTGGTTGTGATGTCTGTCCCTCAATGGGTGTTGGTTCTCAGCTATATGGTTCAACCATACCAAAGGGTGGACTACAGAGCACTACTATCATTCTCAAAAGTTGAAGCCGAAAAGAAACCTATGTAAACGTAGTTTGCCTTAACAATAGTCACTTGCTACGTGACAAATCAATGACGAACCAATACTAGGCAGAAAACAAGAGAGATGACTTTCTGATATGGTTAAAAACTTGGTTCTGTGACCAAGTTGTCAAATATGTCGAGACTTATTTTTCCTTCGACTCTTTTCGCGGTTTGTAGTCGAAGCGAGTAAATGGCTTTCGGCATATTTTAATATGGCGCCGAATAAGATCAATGAGTGCACGGAATGAAAACAACTTTACTCAACGTTTTATTCCGAAAATTGCGATTTCTTGGACAAAATTTGAAGCTTGTTAAAGGTATAATCTCTGTACATTGAGTCTCAGTTTTCAAATTTTAGAAAAAGGAATTAAATCATCGGTTCCCCACGACCTTAACGGATAGAACTAACGTTGTTTAGGTTAGCCGAAGCGGTACGCTGTAAACAATTTTGACAGGTGTCTTTTTATTGAATACCTTGGATGCAAGGCTCGTCTTTTAGAAGCATTTACCTAAACGTTCTTACAAACATTAAAGCGATACTTGTCGATTTAAATAAGTAAACTAGTTATTCTAGTTTGGGACCTAGTAATTGTCTGTTTACTATAATGGTGAGCTCCCAAGATTGTTTTGAAGTTCAACTTTACTGTACTGTGGGCGGACTAGATCAACACAAGAAAAGATCCCTTATGACCCTATGCTTATACAATATGATACACAAACCATAGATATACTGCATCAAATTCTTCCTAATAAGTAATAAGTTTGTGTGTATTGTAGTAATGTATGCATGTTGTGTTTTTTTGTGTTGTGTGTGTTGCAAGTATGATAATAGTTGTGCTTGTGTTTCTTTATATTCTTGTTCATGTCCGATGTTTATGTGTTGCTGTTTTTTTTGTGTGCGAGTGTGTATTTTACACAATTCAGCTTTATGGACTGCAATGTACAATTCTTTTTAATCTACTCTACTCTAATTAGTTTGTTTTTTTATAGATTATGGCACGCATTTGACTCATAGCCTGCAATGTTTTCCAATAACTTTGTAAAAATTGTGAACAGCTGAATTCCACTACAAATGAACAAGAAATGACTCAAACATGAGTGGTACAATTGCCAATAACGCAGAACCTGATGTTGGTCTACAATCTGATAAAATCCTTGAATGGAATGAATCGGAGCCACCTGCTTCTTCAGATGTGGCAAGTACCAAACAAGCGACTTCAAGCAAACCATATGGCTGCAGCCCAAGTGCTGCAAAGAAGGTTAAAATATCCACAGAGAGAACAGCCAAACATAAAACTCAACTGAAACGAGATGTTATGGAAAAGAAGCCAAATGTTGGAAAGACCAAGTCATCTGATTTTAAACCTGTTTCTACAGTGAACCCTTCCACTTCAATGCAGTCCGGAGGCTTGCATCCTGAAGACAGAGTCTCGAAAATAAAACCATCATCCCAAACCTTACAAAATAGAAATGTAAAGCAAGAAGTTACACTCAGGAAACAAGGACTTTCTTGTGAGCAAAGCAGGAGAGCAAGACCACTCTCAACACAGTTCCCCCTATCGTCCACCTCCCCAGCTGTTCTTCACCACCCTACAGCAAACACAGGGAGAGTAAAGAGCAGTAGCTTACAACATAGCTGGCATGGGATGCCCTCAAGTGGAAGGCCCAGAAACAAAGGGGATGAAAGGAGAGGACCATATGCACAGAAGCCTCCAAAGTCATGGAAAAAGGGTGAGTGCATTATGTTGATTAATTATCTGAAAACTATCCCAAGGTAGATGTAGGTCCTATTATGTAATAGGCTGTCACGTTCAGATGTTGTCATCCAGTGTTGGTAGCATTCTATAATAGTTTTCCTGGTTTGTGTCTGAAGTACTTGAAAAAGATATCTCAAACGTGGTGGTCTAGTGTAGGTAGTATTCTGCAATAAACTGTCGTGGTTTGTGTCTAAACTACCTGAAAAAGATATCTCAAACGTGGTGGTTCAGTGTATGTAGTTGTAGGTAGTTGTGTCTGAACTACCTGAAAAAGATATCTCAAACTATGGTTTTCTTGCAGGTGTCAAAAAGTCATCACGCGTCGCTCATTTGAATTTTGAAGACGAAGATTTTCATTCAGAGGTATTGTCTATTGACATAAAATATTTTACTCGACTCTTACGGGTCAGAAAAGATCCGTAATATCTGTCTACGTTAATATGATGAGGCTCCGTCGAACCAAGTGCATAAAAAGTGTGGAAATTTTCGATGGAAATCCCTTGACTTGTACCCTTTTTTTTTCCGACCGGAATTTCCGATTTCCCATGAGGTAAATGGCAAACACCCCTGGTATTTCGTAGTAAGGGGCATTATTTTGATAATTACTTTATTAATTGCCTTATTGCTAGCTTTATTGAAGGTATTTGTAAATGCTATATTGCTATCAACACACGGATACTATCAAATGTTTCGCATAGCTTAATGCAATTATCAATCGCAGCGTGGTTGTTTCTGACGTCTTTGACTGATGTGCATTTCAACACGTTTTGACATCGCTGTCGACTGATGGATGTGACCCGCGCCACGTTCTCCTCGTGTGTCTTGTTTCCGATCAACGACCTTTTCAAGTCTAGTAAAGTAGATTTTCCGCAAAATAACCATCCTGAAGACAAACATCCTGCATGCATGGCAACGATCTCTAACAATTTCCCATCAAATGTGCCAGAATAACTCCCAAATAGACACAAAAACACTTTTCAAAGTTTCAACTTAAGGGCCTCTCTCAGAAGAGTATAAGTGTAAGAGTTGGCTAAAATAAAGTGTTTTGTCTATTTTAGGTATTAGTCATAGCACATTTCATGCAAACTTGCATTTCCCACAAGATACCTATCTAAATTTCAATTGCCGTATAATTCACTTATACTATATAGTCTAGTGGCTTTGGATATTGCAATATTGTATTGCAATCTACTATTCTTTTTGAGGAGGGCTTGTTTTTCTTGCCAAAAGCAGATTTAATGAGATGTATGCACTATATTATGTATCAGAACTATATCAGCAGCTATTTATATATAGAGTGCCTAATACCACTGTATCAAGAACGAATTTTCAGTACACATATATGTGTTTGGTAGATTACAGCGTTAGTTCAAACGCCTTTTTCCATAATATCTCATCCATTTCTCATCCGCGCGGGCGAAATGTATTTAAAGCATGCAATATTTGCCAAAGGAAATTTACCATGTGAAGACGACTTTCATCGCGAGAGCTCTCTTGACATATTAAAACTAACCACTTTAAGCGTGCAATTCAGCAATTGTAAACTTGCCTTCGACACTGGAGTTAACAAAAACATTATCTTGTGGTCGAGGGAGTAATTTAATTTTGAATTATTTGAAGTCATGTCATGATGTTACCAGAGCTTGCTTAGAGCTGGCCTTGCATGCTCAAATATATAGACAGCCCCTTACACTGTTGCGATGAATAATTTCGTCAGTTAATTGCAAGTCAAAGTTGACTCTTACACTCGACCAAAGCAAACAGGATTAGTTTTACAAATAATTATTTCCTATCGTTTTGCTTCTTAGAATATTGCTTTGTTCCATTTAAGACCCCGTCCACGCTATCGCGAAAAAAACTAAATAAACACAGGCTATAGGTTTATGTAGTGGTAAATTAAAGGCATCGTTGATTTACAGCCTTGTTAGTTTAACATGGTATCCATGCAGCGAGATGATTTCCATTATTTGTAATGCGATATGGTAAAAATTTCACCAATGACTGCGATTATAATAGCATTTTGCGTATTACGAGGATTGAACGCGTGCTAAGTATACATTACTCACAAATCACAATACTTGGACACACGTTTGTCTACATATGTTAACCTTGAATAGAGCTCATTGCTTTGCCGAAGAAGTTCTGATAAATAGACCTCGGTCTCTGCAAGGTAAATAAAACAGCATTTCTTTAATGTTTTGTTTATATTAATGGTCATTCCTAGTTTCTGTGGCAACCGCATTCGAGTTCAGTCAGTTGACTGTTCGCAGCGTATTTGTTTTGGAATTATATAATGTTCCGTAAAAATTGCAGCAGAAAAATTTCAGATTTCGACAATTGCCCTGGACTAATATATTAAAAGGGTTATTCCTGTCTTTTCCACTTCTTTTTTGCGATTTTTTTCGCTGTGGCCTGCTGTTTGCGAGCTTGTTGTTTTGTTATGAATAGCCACGGGCTGCGTAATGTCTTGTGTGTGAAAAATAACCTCGTTCGTCTCCGATTAGATCTAAATTTAAGTTACACTCTTCAAGTAAGTGATATCGGAAGTATCAAATTGTAATTAGGGTAGATTTGTATGGCGGTCACCCGAAAATGGTCTGTTTATCTCTGGTTAATAGACATTTGTTTTAATTGTAATAGAATCAATCATTGGTGTTCTGGGAATTGCTTTTTTAATCATCTTTGCAATATCTGACTCCCATCGTCTGGACTCCTATCACATGTCTGTAACATTTCAATCTTGCCAATCGTTCATCTGTGGTGTCTATCACCTGACATCTTAAGATATCTCCATTCCTTGATGGCTCTTACAAGCTCTCCTTCATCTCATATGACATATCTTAACCAGGAAGATCTTCTCTGAGACATCAATTACGTACCCATGCATATATATAGTCTGATCTCTTCCAAACTTTACTTCTAACTAATCCTCCTTCATCTTTTATTACTTGTCCATTTCATCTCAACCTTGCTTCCCTCATCTTCCATGCAATGTCTACCACCTCACATCTTTTGATTTCTTCATTCCATAATATCTCTGACCAGCTCTCCATCATGTCTTCTTATTACGTGTCCATATCATCTCAACCTTGCTTCCCTCATCTTCCATGCAATGTCTACCACCTCACATCTTTTTCTGATCTCTTCATTCCATAATATCTCTGACCATCTCTCCTTCACCTCTTCCCATTGCATGCCCATCTCATATCAACCTTGCTTCTCTTATCGTCTTCCTTGCAACATCTCCCACATCACATGCATCTGATCTTTTCAATCCCAAACCTACACCCATGCATATTTCCCCCACTCCTCTCTGCCCATACCACTGTTACGAAATAAAAACAATGTACATTTCAATACGGTTCCGTCTTGGTAAAAACACGACTGCTAAATTTATTCATCCGTGAATCAACGTAAAGTCATCGTGTTTTATTTATTAATGTGGATGTTTTAGCAAATCTTTGAATAACAATCCCAGCATGAAAATACCAAATTGTAATTGTCTCGTAAAATGCAAGCGCGTGGTTTTTCTAGGATTATATTTCAGCGTCGATATCACGCGTGATTTAGAAAACAATGCTGCTTCTAATACCAGGGCTATTTTATGATTTATTACACAGGATGAATCCGAGATTCTGGTCCTGTTTCCAAACGAGTCGCGATTGTTGTTCGATGCTCTGAGTTTGTGGTTGGAAATGGCCGAGAAACGATTGGAACTGATAGGGAAAGAGTTTGACAAAAGCAGCTCTTTTGAGGATGATGAATTTGTACAACGAACAAAGGTGAGAGAAGGGATATATTGTTTTATTTTGCGATTGGTAGTAAACATTCAATAAGGCAGGAAATAGTTGTTTAGAAAGGTTGAATCCATTCAGAATACTATATATATATAGATATATATAGCAACTAAACCCATCATTCTTTCAATTAATACTTGCCAACACAATATTCGTACTTATATGATTTTTTAACTGTGATAAATTTTGGTTTCGTGACGGTACGAATACAGAGCGTGTTTCTCCTTTACTAAAAGTGAAAATGTGATTTTGACATTATACATGCAAATACGTAACAATATACAAAGTTAATATTACTCCGTGTATCAAAATTTCTATTTTACACCATAAATTCTCAAGGCTTCCCTAAACTAAAAATAGTTTTAAAAGTGCAATAATATATGTTGCGAGTTGTACACTAGAGATATTCCTTTCTAAAATGAGTCAACTTTCAAAGTACAAATATGTCTGTTGTTCGATGAAAGATCCGGAATTTGTTATGTTTTTAAATTTTCATGATCTTCTGATCTCAGCGGTCGCGAGATATCAACCACAATAGTTTGCAGATTATATTAACTTAACACATTTTAAAGGTTCATAGCTGTTACTTTTTCGCCTTTTTTCGTAGCTGTTTGATAGTCCACGAGGCACGACAAAAAAGCGGACGTATTGTAAATTTTACCATGAAGAATGACTGAAAAAAACGTCAAGGAAAACACACTATGCATGCATTTCGTTGAAAGAAAATAGCTTTCATCTCCTTCTCTTTCAGAGCACGTCAATTAACCTATAAACATTTTCCGGGAGAAACGCACATCCGCCTTTTTTTCCATAATCTTTTCGGCCATTAACAGTGAAAAAAGTTGCTGAAGAAATAAGCTTTTATAAGTCTTGCACTGTTCAGATGTTTGCCATATATACCACTTCTTATGCAAGTGACTTCTATATATTTACTGCCTACTTCTATAGTTTCTCTACTCATTTGCCAACCAATATTTGTTCCAAAGCGTTCTCTGAACTAGAAAACAATTTAAGGCCAGTAATTTCGCTACAAAATTCCGATAATTAATTGCAACAATAGCAGTGGGAGATGTACATATTTACAATTATTTGATGTATTTTATTTTCCCAAGCTTTCTCTGTTGATGCTCGAAAGAGACCTTGCATTAGCTATATCGGAACTGTTTCTCATTTTATTTCACAAAACTATATGAACGTTTCTTTTATTTCTTATGTTTTAACGCATCACTCTCAGTATACACTCAAGGTATTCAATAAGAAATATTGTCGCTTGGTGCAAAGGCTGGAGATTTAAGAATGCAAAACAAACTTAATATATTCATGAGATTTACCTCCACTTTAATAACGCTAAGATTAATCCTTGTGTCTGTCAAAATTCGTTATGGATTTTAGAGCAAACCTCTTGTGTTCATGGCATTTTATTATTGAGACTGTTTACAAATGTTGAAATTGAGCCGGAGTTATATTTTACCAAGATTTAAGAAACCGAAAATGTCGAATTGTGCTTCGTTAAAGAGGGAACTATTGAGGATATATAATATCTATAGTAGATCTAATTTAATTTGAAAGATGGAAGGGAACAAGGCTGATTTATCGGAATGGGTAGGTGTGTGGGATTAAATAGATTATACCCTTGATAGTGTTAACTTCGTTAAGCGTGTACCTCTTTTGTAGTATGTACGAAAGACTGTATAGTCCACTATTTAAAGACATTATATTGTCGTGTCGCCAAGTTATTTATTAATGATTGTCTGTAATATTTGTAAATACCTGCAAACGGATATAAATCAGATTTGTGGCATTTATACAGTTAATGAAGACGCAAGATTGTAACGTACACATTGTATTTGCATGTATGAAAAATGGCGAACATATATCAACTTTGAGTTATAAGCCGTGAGAGTTACGACAGCTGGGTAAATAACAAAATAATGTTGGAGTTTTAAGGCTATTGGATCTATATGTGCCATGCTTTAAAAGTCTCGCCATTTGCTTTAATTTTTGTTGAGCATTTTAACTGCGAAGGTCATGTCTTGAGATCAATGATCTAAGCATTAAGGCGAGCCCGATAAACGTGCATGTTCGGAATAGTTAAAGTTCATATTGTTTGTTCAAACTTTTCCATGGCTTCCATGTTTAATTTTTCATGGTTTTACAACTTTTCGAGTGGAAATGTTTTCTGGAACGCAAAATCTCACAATCACAAGCCCTATTTCATCAGCGTTTTATAGGTCGTTTGATTCAGGTTTATGTTGAAGTTGAAAGCAAAATGAACATATACAAGTCAGGTTTATATGAAATTGGTTCATAAAACACGCCCATTAATTTGCCGACAATTAGCATGTGTTTAAAAATATATATTGCTTATTATACTTATCCCTTGTGGAAAATGAAATACTCTCTATCAAGAGAACATCTTAGAACTGATAGAACTATCCAGTATAAATAAAATTAGTTTAGTTTAGGTTTCCTCCTTAGTAACACTGGATCAATAAGAGATGATCCTTACTTGACCTCTAGGACGAACAGATTAGAACTGATAGATCTATCCAGTATAAATAAAGTTAGTTTAGTTTAGGTTTCCTCCTGTAGTAACACTGGATCAATAAGAGATGATACTTACTTGGCCTCTAGGAAGAACAGTTTAGAACTGATAGAACCTTCCACGAATGATGACAAGAACTTACCTTCATGACCATCAGAAGGAATATAGAGAGCTCGAATATTTGTAATAATTTGAGCTTGTTTATGAGGAAATTCGTTGGATTTTTCACTTTATAAATCAACAACAAATATTTATTCATCTCTTCAGAAAACATTCCAAGTATTTAAAGAGGAGACTCGTCTTCAGGAGTTCAAACTGACGATGATTCAACAGACGTGCGACACAGCCATTGGCATTCCAGGCGAGGACTATCGTGTAGCGATACGCAAATGGGAGGTGATCAAGCGTAAGGTGACCATCCAAGAACAGAGGCTGACATTGGTGTCTCAGGGAAGCAGGAACCTATCAAAATTATACTATTGGTTAAACCAAGCCGAAGCAATGCTGGAAAGTTACCATTGTGTTCAGGAAAACGAGGGAATTTCGTCTCTGAAGTATCGTTTAGAACGGCACAAGGTATATACATACGTATTTAAATAACAGTCTTTAGAGGTTGCTCGTGTGAGACACTTTTCTTCCAAGGTTTTAAAGTTTATTAAAATCTATCATCATGAGATTAAGTTCATTGGTATGACTAATATCTTAGGTTTGCCAAAAATTGTCGGATGGTGTTGGTTTAAAGGTTTGTTTACACACAGTCTAACAGGAAGCACTTGTACGCCATTAAGGCAAAGCTAACTATTCACTGTATTTCCTTCTACACATTCTCCGTACTTGCATTAGGAGTTTTTCCAAATGCTGGACGAGCAACGTCTTGTTGTGCAAGAACTGCGTCAGAGTGGAATAGACGGTAATGAGAGCATCGATGAAGGTCTAATCTGGGATGTCTCGCAACGATTTCAGACGGTTGAGAGAAGTTCCCAAACGGCTGCGGATAGACTGAGCGTGGAGTATTATAAGAACAAGGTGGGACAGTGCATTGAATTGTGCAAGGAACAACTCTTGGATGATAACATCAAGTTTAGTTCTCAATCACAAGCTGAGGAGACTTTTCATGATCATTTGGTAAGATATGACGCGACGGATTAGCGGTGTCTGGGCTGCGGGAAAGGGTGTGCTCTACCTCTAGGGGCAGAGGCCTTAGGCCTATGTAGGGCGTAACCTACCTCTAGCCTACTGGGATGAGACCCATTTAAATTACAACCATGAAGTATTAGGGGTAGGGAGCATACTCAACATTTAAAGCAAAAGTGGGAGGGAGGAATAGCTATGTATAATTTTTATAGGTCTATCCGAAAGGAGGGCATATCCTAGTTTTGGTAGACAACAATCCAATTGCCTTTTTTAGTTGTTATAATTGTTAAATTTCCTTGTTTGTCTTTTTATCATTGGGTTGTGCAGAAATTCTTTCACGACAAGAAATACATCAAGAAGTTGAGTTCTTGCTGCAGGAGGCTGAAAGATGCCGTCGAGAAATGTCGATCTTCAATGACCGAGGATGAACAAAGCGATGTCGGTCAATATCTACAAACTGTCTCGAAGGAATTTGAGGAGATCCTGCAACGCATGCAAACGGACGAACAGAAATTGGAGAATATTCATCGGTGTTGGAGCGAGTATAATCATGCTGTGGAGTTGTCGTTACCCTGGCTTGTTGAAGCTGAGAGACTGCTGAAGGAGGGAGATATTGACGAATGCAAGGTAGAGTGCACCTCTAATATTAAGACATTTAGAGCAATTAGTTTAGGTTTCCTCCTGTAGTAACACTGGATCAATTAGAGATGATCCTTACTGGACCTCTAGGAAGAACAGTTTAGAACTGATAAAGTTATTCAGTATAAATAAAGTTAGTTTAGTTTAGGTTTCCTCCTGTAGTAAAATTGGATCAAATAAGAGATGATCCTTACTGGACCTCTAGGAAGAACAGTTTAGAACTGATAGAGTTATTCAGTATAAATAAAGTTAGTTTAGTTTAGGTTTCCTCCTGTAGTAAAACTGGATCAAATAAGAGATGATCCTCATTGGACCTCTAGGAAGAATAGTTGAGAACTGATAGAGCTATCCAGTATTAATAAAGTTAGTTTAGTTTACGTTTCCTTTTGTAGTAAAACTGGATCAAACTGGATCGTATAGCCTACGTCTAGGAAAAACAGTTTATAAATTAGATCAATTTGTAATAATTTAATCTCAATTTTATGATAGGATTATTTCGTGGACTTTGAAGACGCTCAACAAGATGTAACGCAGGCAACGGACGCAGTGAAGTTTCTGAAACGTCATTCATGTGGTACAGTTGTTGTTACACTGGAACAACAAGTTGCGATGTTGGATCGACAGTTACGAAGGGTTACCAGACGCTACACAAGGCTTGTGAAGTCCAAGCACAGGGATCCCAAGCTGGATAAGTACGAATGTTGTGTGGATGAAATCATGGACTGGCTGGACCAATCAGAATTAGTTGTTGATGATGAGGTCAACATTGGGAGATTGGAACGACTAAAGGAGCAAGTTAACACTTGTGAGGTGAGTTGTTGAAAGTTATGTTGACGCTCGGGTCCTGTAAGGATCATCTATTATTGATCTGGTGTTACTATAGAAAGTAACCATTCAATAAATCTCAGTTCTGAGCTGTTCTTCCGGCGCTCAAAAATGGATCATCTCCTATTGATCCAGTATTATTGCAGAAAGAAACCTAAACAAAACTAACTTATACTGGATAACTCTATCAGTTCTGAAATGTTCTTCCTTAGTAAAGGTCTAATAAGGATAATATTTTATTGATCCAGTGTTTCTACAGGAGGAAACATAGGATAACTTTTGTATCTTTACTAGTCTTGGCTGTTTTCTCTAGACCTTGTTGGATGAGCTGAACAACAATGTGAGCGGAGTTGAAAATATAAACGAGGCTGGGAAAACTCTTATGAAGGAGGACAAGAACATCGCAAGCTCGATCAAAGGGACCATTTTGAACGTTAATCGCCGTTTTGATAAACTGAAAACCACTTTACCACAGAAACACAAGAAATTAAAGCAAGTTCAACGGCTCGTTCACAGTTTCACGTCCGGCCTGGAGGAGGTAGCAGCGTGGAGCAGTGGAACGGCTGAACTTTTGGAGCAAGATCTTCAGTTTGAAAATTTCGAGGAAGTTAAACGGTTACACGTTCAGTATGAAACACAAATGGCGGATTACAAGAAGAATGGGGATAAGATTGAAGCGAAGAATAACGCTTGCTCACTGATTGAAAATATCCTCGGGGAGGAAGGCTTGGAAAGTTATAAAGAAGAGATCAAGGGGATCCACGAACGATGGAAATTTGTCGAGGAACATGCAGAGACACAGCACGCAAGAGTCAGTCACGTGTTTATCACGTGGAAGAGATTCGAGGATGATTTAGAGAGGTTGAGAGAAATCTCGCAGTCTACCGATGAGGTAAAGTTTCTAAAAATTCTTTCAACTGTTCTTTGAAATTGAGTTGATTTTGATAATATTTTCAAGTGTGTGGCATGTTGTGCTCTTATTAACTGATCCAACTTCCTTGACTGGGTGCAAATGTCTTCTTTCCATCAATTTGCATGTTTACCTGAAGTTATTATTCTTCTCTTAGGATGAAAATAGTCAAACAGATGGGGAGAACCTTTGCCGAGAGATCTTGCAGTGTAGAGATGAACTCTGTTCGATTGTTGGGAGTGAATTTGGCGCGAAGACTGTGGAGGAGGACGCGGTTACCGCAGTAGAAGAGTGGAAACGAGCCAGTAGAAGTCGCAAAGCCCTGGTATTTGAGAGAGAGACAGAATGTATTAGAGAGCAGGTTTTCAACGCTCTTGAAAACGCGAGCTGCGACTTTGTATCTCAACTGGGTGATATTGATGATGGTGTTGATGTTGAAGAAATATACGAGGTATATTGTTGTGTCGCATGTTTACAATAGTCATTATTGTTCAGCAGTAATGCATATTGAATGATTTTATTTTAGAATACATTCTCTTCAGTGGGCCTTCAGGCGAGAATTAATGAATTTGACATTCATATGAATAAGCATGGAGAAAAAGCCCAAGGTGAGATGAAGGAGTGTTTTGATGAGGTGATGACACGATGGCAGACGGTCAGGGAAGAACTGCTCTCAGAGGAAGCGAAATATGTAAAGGTGAAGGAGGATCTTGTGGGATTTCTTATGGTAGAAAGTGAACTAAGTGCATGGATAAGGAAAGCAGAGGATGCTTGTGAACAGATGAAGGATATCAGGCAAGATGAAGATAGTGAAGAAATATTTGAAACTTTCGAGGTCAGTTGATACTTGTTAAGGATACATAATTTCAGGAGCGAGTTCTCATTTTGAAGTATTGAAATTTTCTCTTGAAATTTCTTCTTTTGTGTAAATTGGAAGGTGCAAATACTAAGCCAAGTGCAAATACTCTTCTTTCGCCTCGATTCATTTTTTCTTTTCTTTAGGCCGTCTCTCGAGAACTGGAAGGCAAAACACGACTAGTTGAAGATGTCGCCATCCACAAAGACAGGATCATAGCAATCCTGCAAATTCCGATCCTAGAACAACGATACGAAGTGTTAGTCGAACGTACGTCAAGGATTAGAACTGAACTGGAAACAACCAGAAAACAAGTTCCAGTTCTCAAGCAATACTGTATCCATCGAAACACAAGCAAAGGGCTTGTCAACTGGCTCAATGAACTCGATTCAGTGTTTCAAGAGCCTTTTACTATAGACAGTCTTGAAAACGCCGAGCGTGAAATAGAAGCACATTATAAAACGAAGGCCGCGATACTGGATAATTCACACCGTGTGGAAGACACTTTAGAAAATGCAAAAGCACTTGAAGATACTGGAAGACTTTCTGAAGCTGATGTGAAAGGTAGTGTCTTGGAAGCGTCGTGGAATTGCGTACAGGCATCGGTTATCGCACGGACGGCGAAGCTGGAACAGTGCGTGGGTTTGTGGACCTCTTATGAGGAGAATATGCTGGATGTTATGAGTTGTTTAACCAAAGGAGAAATGTTGTTGGCTGAAGTGAAGTCGAATAAAGAGAACAAGAAAGATGCTTTGAAAGATTTGCTCGAGAAAGTTGAGGTTAGTGCAGACAAGGTTTTTGGGGGGGGGGGGGGTTTGTGTTAACTTTTGAGGTTAATTTAATCTAGATTCTCTTCCGTGATCACTAAAATATATTCGAGGGCTATACCCTATGAAGAAGCAAGAATTTTTAGATGGGCTAAATAAAGCTAAATATACAATTCATTTAGTTATGTTTTTGGTGGCTTTTCTCATGCGTCTAGGTGGAAAAAACTAAACTTCAGGAGACAGCTGAAATGTTGAGCGAGATGGCTTCGACCGTAAAGGAACTGCAAACAACGGCAACATCATCTGGGGCAGCTCTGCTGGAAACGAAGTTAAATGATAACACGCGTCTGCATGGATTTCTCCTGGAAGAGATGGCAACTCATTCCGAGTTGTTGAAGCAGAAAAACGAAAAATGGGACAATCTGAATGCGCGCATTGACGATCTTGCGTCTTGGATGGACAATACTGAAGAAAAGCTGGAGTTGATCCAAGAAAATGAGAAATTTGATGGGCATTGCTTGAATGATATAAAGGTGGGTTGTTTGAAATTTAATTTTCGCAGTGGTGGCTAGCTCAGTTCAGTTCAGTTCAGTTTGGTTTGGTTTGGTTCTGTTCTGTTCTGTTCTGTTCTGTTCTGTTCTGTTCTGTTCTGTTCTGTTCTGTTCTGTTCTGTTCTGTTCTGTTCTGTTCTGTTCTGTTCTGTTCTGTTCTGTTCTGTTGTTTGTATGGTTCTGCTGTTCAATGTAGTTTATATTGACTAAGTTTAAATTACATATCCTCAATTGATTTCCAGGAAATCTCTACCGCTGTTCTACATCGTCGTCAGAGTGTAGAGAACCTAACCGAAGACGGCTACGATATTCTGGATGGATGTATTGATGTTGACAGCATGGAAACCAAGAAGCGTTTGGTAGACTTACGTCAAAGATGGGATGCCTTGTATCAAACAACCATGGAACAAGAAATTAAGACTGAAGTTGGACTGAAACCTTTAAAAGAGTTTGAGATGGCTTGTAAAGAGTTTGAGAAATGGCTTGAAAATGTCGAAGAGAATCTCGAATGTCAGATTGTTGATGTTGGAAGTACTAAGGAATTGATTCAACAAATTGAATCATGTCAGGTACAGAATTGTGTTTTTAATACCAGATATTCTATGAACTAGAAATATTGGATTAGGAATAAGAAGCACTTTGTCCTTTAATTGTCCTTTAGTTGTCCTTTTAGTTGTCCTTTTAGTTGTTCTTTCAGTTGTTTTTTTAGTTGTCCTTTTAGTTGCCCTTTAGTTGTCCTTTTAGTTGTCCTTTTAGTTGTCCTTTTAGTTGTCCTTTTAGTTGCCCTTTAGTTGTCCTTTTAGTTGTCCTTTTAGTTGTCCTTTTAGTTGCCCTTTAGTTGTCCTTTTAGTTGTCCTTTTAGTTGTCCTTTTAGTTGTCCTTTTAGATGTCCATTTAGTTATCCTTTTTGTTGTCCTTTTAGTTGGCCTTTTAGTTGGCCTTTAGTGTTCCTTTAGTTGTCCTTTAGTTGTCTTTTAGTTGTCCTGTCGTTACCATTTGACTTCCGGACATCGTATGAACTATTTGATTTTGAATAAGATTTAACCATCAGTTTCCTCTCCATGCAATCATTAGGGCTTGCGATAATAAATAAAATCTTTTCTTTAGGCTGTAGCCAACGACCTTGCAAAGCACACGAAGCATTTGGAAGATTTGATCTGGCGAGGATCTCAGATTTCAACAAGCGGCAAACTGTTTTCGCACAGCGAGCTGAAGACGAAATTAAAGGTGTTAGATGAGAGGTGGAAGACGTGTCAAAGGATAGTCGAAGAACGTTTGATGGCGCTGCGATCTGTGCAGTGTATCTTGGCTGAGAAAGAAATGAGATTTGTTGAAGTTTTTTCTAAATTGGATGAAACTTGGAAATGTGTCGAAGAGGAGCAAATGTCGAAGGATAGAAGTATGGAGGTTTTGGAGAAATTTTCAAGTGTTTATGAGGTAAGAATTCTACCTTTACAAGTAAGCTAAACTAGATATTTTGAAACCATATATCCCGGATCTCTTTCAGTGCACCAATGTTCTTTACCTTCGTCCTTCAAACTTTTACTTTATTTAGAATGCCGAAAGAGAAATGAGCAAACTCGAGCAAGTGCTACCGTCTACCGTCAGTGCTTTGAGAGAATTGAGCCAGCGGTATGATATCATTGATGCCGAGAAACTTGATAAACATTGCCACGAACTGGAGTCAAAATGGCGGGAAATTCAAACAGTCTTACCACAGCGAGTTACGATCGTTCAAAAGGAAATTGACACTTGGATACAATTTAATGAAAAGTTGGAGGAATTTTCATCATGGTTGGATGAAGTCAAGGAATTGTGCGAAGAATGGAAGATGCAGGAGAACTCAGGTGTTTTGATCCAAAATCTTGAAGTAAGGCAGGTTTTTGCTTTTTATTTTTGCATGAATTTCAATCGTTTAAATCATTTCCAGAATGCCCTTTTTAAACTGAAGTTTAAAGACAATTTTGCGATCTATTTTAACAAGAATCTGCAAGCTAGCTTTCGGGAACGACAGAACTCCTTTGAAGCTCTGGTTGAAGAAAGTCGTCTACTCCGTGAGGGTATCTCCGATGAAACAGAACTCGAAAAGTTGAACGCCACCTTAACTCAGCTTACTGAATGCTGGGACGAGTACTCACGCTGGGCCGCTGGACGATATCAATTAACTGTACTGTCAAATCATTATCAAAAATCTTCCAAGGCTGTGGTTAAATATCTTGATCAAATACAAAGCAAGATGAACACGATTGAGATCCCGAAGAATGTTGCGGAGAAGATTAACGAAGAGAGCGAGAAAGCGAAGGTTTGTAGATGTGGAAAGTGATTTTACTATCATTCATTACTTAACTGTTCTTTTTAAAGCTCACCTGATCCAGTGTTACTACTGGAGGAAACCTAATCTAAACTAACTTTATTCACACTGGATAGCTCTATCAGCTCTAAACTGTTCTTCCTAGAGATCCAGTAAGAATCATCTCTTATTGATCCAGGACAAAACCTCAACCAAACCAGTTTAGATTGTACTAAGTTATTCATACCTGATAAATTTATCACTTGTTTCATAACATTTGGTTCTCTGATGTCAGGTTTTGGTGCAAGATTGGAGTGAAAAATGTCAGGACCTGGACGTTGTTGTCGAAGATGGCCATCTTGTGTTGCAGCAAAAATCTCAAGGTGGAAGTCTCGCTTTCGACGAAGAATTGAAAAGTCTCGACGACAAGTGGAAAGAGGTTTTTCGCCAAGTAGAAACGCAGAAACATGAAGTTGAGGTAACGGCGAGGAAGTGGTGGGATTTCACCAGGAATAAGATGAAAATGATGCGATGGTTGCATCGCAAGGAAAACGATGCTGGTCTGAGGGAACCGTTGGCTTGCATTGTGGAGAATCCGCAAGAACAGCTGGATAACTATGAGGTATTGGAGTTGGGTTTTGAAGCGTTGAAGTAGGATTTATAGGGTGTTAAAATGGGGGGTTACAGGGTATTTAAATAGGATTTATTAGGTGTTGAAATAGGGTTTATGGGGTGTTGAAATAGGGTTTATGGGGTGTTGAAATAAGCTTCAGTTTATGGGGTGTTGAAATAAGGTTTATTTTGTATTGAAATAGGTTTAATATGGTTTTAGGTAGCGTTTATAAGTTATGTCTGTACGTCTTTCCTTTCCTATAGAATATCCTCGAACGCATTAATGTCCGTAAATCAGACTTGCAAATGTTAAACGACGCTGCATCTAGTATCTTGGCAACTGACGATGACGAGGAACTAAGCGAGTTCGTAAAAACGGTCAACGAACGTTTCAACAATTTAGAAGTTGAAGTCGCAAAGAAGAGAGATTTCTTTGGTGATTTAGTCAAACGCTGGAACAAATTCTCGGACAAAAAGAGACGCGTTTCGGAGCTATTTCGTGGCACAAGTTTTCTCATTGCGAGAAAGCAAATTAACAGCACAGAAGAGGTTAAACAACAGCTTGTGCAATGCCAAGAAGCCATCGTGCAATTGCAGAATAACGAAGAGAATTTGAACGAAATAACTGTTGAAGGAGAGAATTTAATAACAGAGCTTCGAAACGAAGGAATGAATGTGGATAAAGTGGAACACGAGCTGCATACGGTGATAAGCAGGTACTATGAAGCAGTTAAGTCCTTGCTGTACCATACCATGCTATATCATGCCGTGCCGTACCGTACCGTACCATATCGTACCATACCATACCATACTATACCATACCATACCATACCATACCATACCATACCATACCATACCATACCATACCATACCATACCATACCATACCATACCATACCATACCATACCATACCGTACCGCATCGTACCATACCATACCATACCATACCATACCATACCATACCATACCATACCATACCATACCATACCATACCATACCATACCATACCATACCATACCATACCATACCATACCGTACCGCATCGTACCATACCATACCATACCATACCATACCGTACCGTACCGTACCGTACCGTACCATACCATACCATACCATACCATACCATACCGTACCGTACCCTACCATAACCTACCGTACCAACTATGTTATACAGACTAGTAATTCGGGTGTGTTTTAGGTACAATGAGGTAAAAGACTGTGCTATCAGGAAAGAAGAAGTCTTGCAACACGTCTCAAAAGAGATGGAAAAAATCGATGAAGGAAAAATGGAATTAGAAACTTGGCTAACAAACGTTCATCAGCAACTGAACTCAGTAGAAGAAGACGAGGCTTTGGCTAAAACCATTCAGGTTAGATTAATTACACTGGAAGACTCTGGCCAGTGAACGAATTACCTAAACTGTATTCAAATGTCTAGTAAACCCACTACGTTTCTTCCAGTATTCCTCCTCTCTCAAGTTAAAGACCCGTCAACCTTCTTCTCACCTTTAAAATGAAGTCATATCTCTGTTTCATCTTTAGCATGAGGTGCGTGCAAAACGTTCGCTTATCCGCTCTGTAAGTGCTCAAGTGTTAAAACTCCAAGCAAGCTCGAACGAAGAAGCTGAAGTGAACCTCACGGGTATGCTACAACCATTACACGTCCAATGGAGAAGTCTTCAAGATCTCGTCAACCCGTCCAACCCTTCGACAAAAGCCGACGAAAGCGTCCCTTCGAGGTGGGAGTCGTATTCTCAAGATGATCTCGGCAGTTTGGATGCATTCTCGGAATGCCTGGGACTGAGCCGTGATGACGTCATGGGGTCTGGGGAGGTGTACGAGGATGCTTCAAGCAGTCTCGATAACTGGATAAACAGTTTGAACGAATTTCGCGAATGTCTGCACGAGTATGTTTATAGCCCCGAGGATGCGCTGTTTGAGGTCGAGCAGAAGTTGAAGATTGTTCAAAAGGTAGAAATTAAGTTGTTGTGGATCAATAAGAGATTATCCTTACTGGACCTCTAGGAAGAACAGTTTAAAACTGATAGAGCTATCCAGTATAAATAAAGTTAGTTAAGTTTAGGTTTCCTCCTGTAGTAACACTTCATCAATAAGAGATGATCCTTACTGGACCTCTAGGAAGAACAGTTTAGAACTGATAGAGCTATCCAGTATAAATAAAGTTAGTTTAGTTTAGTTTTCTTTTAGTAGTCAAACGGATTGACAGCCATCTTATAGTGTTATGCCTTATATTCATATAGAATTTACACGAGGAACTGACAAGTTATATGTCTGAGTTTGAAGAAGAACGGGCCAGCTATGAAACCTCTGCTGACGACACTGACGAAGGCTTGACGACGGAGAATGGAAACAAAATGCAAGAAATAGAGTGTCTTTTGGACACCATCGCAAATGAGTTGGAAAGAATTGAACTTGAATTGCAAACAGTTTACGACTACCACCAGGATTACGATAACGCTGTTCATGATTGGTCTGCCTGGTTCGATGAAGCTAAAATCAAACTCAATGATTGTGAGGGAGAAACTGGTGGAAGCATTGATCAGAAACATCGTGTCATTCAGGTAAAGTACTTCTCTTATCGATCCAGTGTTACCTCAGAAGGAAACTTAATCTGAACTAACTTTATTTATATTGGATAGCTCTATCAGTTCTAAACTGTTCTTCCTAGAGGTCCAGTAAGGATCATCTCTTATTGATCCAATGTTACTACATGAGGAAACCTAAACTAAACTAACTTTATTTATAATGGATAGCTCTATCAGTTCTAAACTGTTTTTCCTAAATATCCAGTAAGGATCATCTCGTATTGATTCAGTGTTGTTAAGATATCTCACTATGTCTTATATAACTGCAAAATTTTATTAGGCACTCTTGGATGAGATGGACCAGGTGGATCTGATCAGTGAGGTATACGCAAAAGGGGAAGCATTACTGCAGACTGTGTCAGACCCAATAAAGTCGAAACTTGAGAACCAGTTGGCCGATTTTGAAAATAATTGGGCAGAGTTCTGCGCTGCTGTCACTGATTGTAGTAACAAAGTTAAGGAAGAAGTTCAGAAGCAAAAGAGATCACCTGAGTTTGAACAATTTGAAGGAGATCTTGGGAGGATTATCCAAAAACTAAAGCATTTTGAAAGTTTGTTAAATAGTGAAACTCCTGAGTTTAATAATTTGGACGATGTCTCTCAGACGTTGATTGAAATTCAGGTATGATTCTAAACAACAGAGTAAAATTATCTTCCGTAAAGTTAAGATGAAATCGATATTAGAAAGAAGAGCTGGCTGTTAATCTCATTCACTCTATATACTTTATCCAGGATATATATCAAAGTTTAGAAAAAGAAAGATCAGAATATGAAGAGCTCAAGAAAGGAAGTTCTGGGTCGTTTCAAGATTCCGATCAAGTCAATGTTGTGGAAGTTCTTTTTGACAGAGTTCTAGAACAAGCTGTGGAAAGACAACAGTTGTTGGAACGAACAGCGATAGAAATGCAAGATTTGGCCTCAGGCATTGAAAATATGTGGGAAGTTGTCGGTGAGGTCGAGGGGATGTTATCTTCAAGCAAGGTGGCTTTGAGTGACGAGGAGTTGAAAAAGAATATTGAGCTTTGTCAGGTATTTTTACTCAAGGAATTTAAAATTTCTAAACTGATCTTTCTTTCAGCAGGCAATTTAATTTTTCAACTTTTAACTTGTGTTTCAGAGTAGTATAGCCGTTCTTGAATCGCAAAAGGAATTGATGGAAATCTTGAAGAAAAAAGAAACGACGCTTCTGACATCGGATGATTCGGAGAACAAAAGTGGCGAAACTGGCAAGCTGCAGGAGTTGGTGGACAAGTGGAGTAAAGTCTTTGAGATGACAAATGAAAGAAAAGAAATGCTTTTGAAGGAAATTGAGACACGCAAATCCAGGCAGAAAACGTTGGATGGGTGTGTTGTGACACTGAACAGAACACAAGAGTTGGTAGGAAGAACTGGTCGCGAGCAATGGTCGATTGATGAAATTGAAAGTATAAAGGCAGCTTTGATCGAGATTGAGTTGTGTGAAGCAACCATCGTGCGCATTCAGGCCGAGATAGGCTCAGACCTTGAAGACCCATCAAGTTCGTCAAAAAATTCCCAGGGCAAAATTGTCACCTTGTTGTCGGAATGTAAGACAACCAAAACGTGCCTTTCGAACAGGCTAGCGAAACTTGAAGCCACTTTGAAACAGGAGAGTGACTTCAGTTCCGAAGTTTCCAAGGTCTTAGAGTGGATAGAATCTACAGAGAGTGTCTTAGTTGTAAATTTCTATAGCCTGACAGAAGATGAACGTCACAAGGCCGCATTGGAACAGGAATCGCTTGCGAAAGAGTTTTCTGTGAAAAAAGAAGCCGTTGCAAAGTTGTTAAGACTTAGAAATGAATCAATTCACTCAGAGGAATTTGAGAGATACATCGCGGGTAAAATAGTGGAGTTGTCTGAGAAATGGGCAGGTCTTGAACGAGCATTTGCCAGCCAAGAGGAGCATGTCGAAGAATGTTTACGTCAGCACCAGGTAGGGAAGATTAAGTGGTCGGGGTCTGGTATAGATCGTATTGTCTCTGGCTTTCTCATTTCATGCGACCAGCTCTTGAACCCGCCATTTTTTGGGGCAAGGGATTGATTTTGGTCATCTTAGTTTGTTGTACATATTTACATCGTTTTCAGTATTATTCATGGTGATTTCTTCTTTAAAACATTTAAAATTTCTTCCAAAAACATTTGCACATTTTAACCTATATTTCTTTGACAGGTATATTACGACACGGTCGAGCAACTGTGGGACTGGATGCAAGGTGTTGGAAAAAGGATGAACATTCAGATGGAACAATCGGAAACGATGCTGGATTATGAACAAGAGCTCGTTGAATACTTGGGTATGCTTAGGGAGATGAAGTCGAAATCATTGTTACTAGATGAAGTATTGAACGCCGGTGAAAGCTTGTCGGCTCGGCTCGCGGAAAGCGAACGTAGTGAGATTCAGGAACAGTTGGAACGGTTGAAATCCGAGTGGGAAATGTTGAGAAGCCAAGTTGTTGGAAGGTTGAAGGAATTGAGTGAAATTATGGGAACAGATGCTTTGTTGAATGTTGCCCAAGGCGATAAAGAAACATTGCTGGAATTAAAGTCTTTAGGAATATTAGTGGAACCGTGTGATCGTCAAGGATCGACTGCTGAGAAGAATCCTGAAAAAATCAAACTGATTCAGAATGAAGAAAATAACCCTGCTGTTTATAATACGAATGATAATCCTGAGGGGACATGTTTAGTTCAAGAAGATGGACAGCCAGAAGGTTTGGTTGAAATGTCAGTTCTTCCAACTAATAAGAACATCAGTAACTCACCAAAAGAGGTCAATATGAAAAGCGAAAAGTACCCACAAAGATCTGTTGACGTTGCAGCTGATATTAACAGGAATACAATTAAATCTTGTGACAAGAACTTGGCTACTGACACGGTTGAGGGTAGTGGCTATCGTAAACTACCCGACTCTGAACCTTTGTATGCATCAGAAAGGAATCAACAGAGTTTTGTTCAATCTGTTCCTTCTGTGAACTATCTGAGTAATGAAAATATCTTGATTGGTGGCTGTAGTGAACCTAGTGACCATGAAATGTCACAAGAAGGTGCAAAAGACCAGGTTGAATCCTTTATGAATCGGATAAAAGATTCAGAGCAATTTCTGGATCTGATAGAGACCAGAGTTCTAGAGTTGAACAACGACAAGGAAAGTCTAGAAGTCGAAGAGCTTTTAGCAGAGTTTTGTCGTCGAGACCAAGATTTTGAGAACGTTTTAGAAACTGGTATGGGTTTGGTTCGTGATATCTCAGAGGATGAAAAGTTTGGTGTGGAAGAAAAGATTGTGGTGGTTGAAGGTCGATGGAACGACCTAAAAGAAGAGCTTGTGAAACGCAAAACAACAAATGAAACAGTTTCCATGCTTGAGAATCGTCTCGAGAAGTTTGAGAAATTTGTTGAAGAGGTATCTGAGTTTGTGTCTGGTAAAGATGCTAATACTGAGTGGTTATTCACGGACGAAGAGGCTGGTTGTATTGTTGACTGTTACCTGGGTAGGCTTGAACGTGAACAGGTCGCTTTGAAAGGTTTGATTGAAGGAACGAAGCACATTCTGTCCAATGCTGCTGGTGAGAGTATCGAGGAACAGTTAAATCAGGTTTCTAAGACACAAATGGAGCTTGCAAATAATTTACTCGAGAAGAAAGCAATGGTAGAACGGTGGGTTGAATTTTCCCTGTCTCTTGAAGGCGTTGAGTGCGAAGTGGAAGCACTTACTGCTGAATTCGAAGATCTCGTGAAAGAGGAAGACACTGAATTCATAATGGAGAGACATCTTAGCGAGAGTCGTGTGCATATGTTGAAGATACTCCTAGGAAGTCTAGTGGGAAAACAAAACAAACTTCGTGAATTGTCCGCTGAGTATAAAGATGTGCTCAGTTTAAGTAAAGATTGTGATGAAAAGGTGAAAGAACATGAGACAACTATTTCTAAGAAAATAGAACTTGTTTCAGAGAAACTCGAAAAGCTAGAGCGTTATCTAGATAGCTTTAAAGAACTCGAGTTTGAAACAAATGAACTACAAGTTAAAGTAAAAGAAGCTGACAAAGCCTTGACGACGTTTGGCCAATCCACGTGTACTGAAGTTCGCTCAAGAACTACTCCACTCGAGCAACTTTCCGAAATCATGCATTTGGAGGAAAATATATTGAAACTCGAACCGCGCGTTAAGTTAGTAAAAGAGAAGAGTTTGGAACGGTTAGATCAGCTGGATTATGAGAATTCTGGTTACTGGTTTCAAGAAAATATCAAGTGTTTGGTGGCGAGCTACGAGAGAGCAAGAACGCGCGTCAGAAAGAACGTAAAATCGATTGAAAGCCGTGTTTCACTGAAGGATAAGTTCGATTTGAAGTTCCTGGAAATCTCAGCGTTCCTAGACAAGGTTGAGGAGTATTTAAATGAAGATGAAGAGATTCCAGGAAACTTTGATGTGACTGCGAAGGAGGTTGCTCTCGTAAGTGGAAGAAGGTTTTTAGAAGAGATGGAACTGAAGGAAGATTGTTTGCGTGAGTTGGTGGAGATGAGTGAAAGCGTGAGTAATGAAGATGAGGATGAAAGAGATGTATTGCAGTTGAGGGAGAGGTTTAATATCAGACTCAAAGAGCTGAAGAGGAATGTAGACTGCCTGGATGTGACATTGCAGTGTTACAATGACTTTGAGGAGAAAGTTGAAGAATTGTCTTCGCTCATGTACGAAGTACAGGGCTTTCTCTATGGCGAAGGTGTTGAAACAAGAGGACTGGAAGATCTGTTGGAACTGGGAAGGTCTTGCTTGGAGAACGTCGAAAACAAGGAAGGAACTTTGATAGAATTAAAGAACAGAGTTGAGAGGCTGACTGAAAGTTTTCGTGAGGAGGAGAAGGAAGTTATCATCGCAGAATTGGGAAGTCTGGAAGAGAAGTTGGCTTTTTTAAAAGCGACTGTTTTGCAGAGGATGGAATGTCTTGAGGCTCTTGCGTCGCGACACGATGTGTACAAGAACGAGCTGAAGGAAGTTAAGAAATGTATTTCATCTTTGGAACAGGAAACAGAGACAAGGGATGGTTTGGTGCCTAAAAAGGTAAATGAAAATGTAGACCCCGTAAGCCTTCAACGAAATGGAAAATCCGACAGCGTTTTAACAGTGAAACAAGCAGAAGAAAGTTGGTTGGAAAAACTCGAGGCTTTCCGAGCACGGCTTCAAAATTTGGACAAGATGAAGACGGAATTACTTGAGGAGACCCAGGAGAGTAATATCGACCTTGGCGGCGCCTCGCTGGGGCTTGAACCACTCGAACTGACTGTTGCAGATCTTGAAAGAATCAACGAAAAGAAAATTAAAGAACTTAGAGAACATGAAGAACAACAGGAAATGATTTCAAGAAAGGTGTCGGAGTTTGAGGAAGAATTAGGACGACTTAGGAATGAAGTTGAAGAGAATAAAGTTTGTCCGATCATCGTCGAAGAAACGATGACAAAAACCAAAGTATTGCTACAAGAAGTTGACACTACTTTGGCAAGCGTTGCTCCAAAACAGAGATACTCCGTTGAAAGTATTCAGTTGATTGAGCGATTGGAAAATATTCGAGATAATTGCATAGAAATTAAGAAGCACCTGATTCGAGTTGATCCGAGTATTGCGCGATTAAGTGGAGATCAAATAAGCAGTGAACGCGGGTGTCAAGTTTTGACTGTCGTAACTGAAAAAGATGGACAGCAAGACATTGCTGGAGATGAGGTAATTCCTGAAGACATCCAACTGACCGCTAACGTTCCCCAAAGTGATATTTCCAATGTCATAACTACTGACGAGACTGATGAAGATACAACTTTTGAAGAAGAGGGTGAATGTCTACAACCAAATAACTCGATTGAAGATAAATCTGATGAAAATATCAAACACTTACCGTCGGAGAAACTGATCCAACAACCCAAAGTGAAGATTGAAAGCGTTGCTTTTGAGATCTTGCAAAGCGAAGTCGAGTCCTTGGCCAACGACGAGGAGGTCATGGAAATTATAATTTCAAACTCTGAACAAACGACTGGAAATTTACATGAAGAACTTGAAGCGGCACAAGCAAAGCTTGAATTACTTCAACAGAAAGAACAACAACTGCAGAGCATTAGTTCACAAGCTGAAGGCATGTGGGCAACTATTCCATCCGAGGGACAGAAAATATGTCAGGAGAATATCGTCGAAATTGAGGAGAAGCTTTCGACTGCAAAAGAATGTTTGTTTACGCGGATCAAGATGCTTCAACAGTGTGCACAGACAAAGGAAATGCTGGAGCAAAATATATTAGAATGCCACGAAGTATTAGACGCTGTAGGTAAATTACGTGAGCCAGCAATGGTTAGGGAATTTCTTGAAGTGCTCAGAGATCCAAACAGTTGCCTCGAGAATGCAACCAGGTTGTCTTTTGCTTTGAGTGTTGTCGGTGGTATTGAAGAGGAAGAATGCTTTCGCAAGGATCTTGATGATCTGCGTGAGAGATGGGATAATGCCATGAAAGATTTAGAACAACGAATAAGCGGGGAGGTTGGGATGGAATTGGAAAGCAAGAGTAGCAAATACATAAGTGAAAAAGGAGTAGATTTAAAACAGGATCCTCCAGGAGAACTTGTAAAAGAAGTTACTGACATGGAATGTCCAAGCGAAGGAGTTTCTTTGATGTTGAGTGAATACAAGGACAGTGTTGTTGAACTGGAAAGGGAGATTGATGCGGATTCGTTGGAAGATGCGGCAGAAATAGAAAATCTAGTCGCTGATCAGGAATCAGGAGAAGTGGATGATGGCACATCAATGGTAAATGGTCTTAACGAAAAGGATGAAGAAGATGGAAGATATACGAGATCAGAAGAAGCTGTAATACAACCGCAACTTAAAGAGGTTGTCGGGCCTGAAAATGTAATAGAGAAAAGGTCTTCATCATTCAATGAACACAAGGGGAGTGGTTTTGAAGAGGGTGAAATCGATGTTTATTTCAAAGAAGGTGCAGCAGAGCAGCGAGTAGTGGAGGTGGCTGAGCTGAATACTCTCTCAACGTTAGAGGAAGAGAAAGCCAAAGATATCAAAGATGAAAGTGAAAGTGTCGTGATTTCTGAAGTAGCTTTAGCAGAACAGCAAGTGACAGACAGTTCAATGTTGAACAAACACAATGATTTTGATTCGAGACATGAGGGTGGAAATGACATAGGCTTAGAAGACGATATAACTGAACCTGCGAACGAAGGTTGTGAGACGGAAGAAGTTAGGTCCGATATAAATCTTAGACAAGAGGTTTCAGGTAAAAATCTTACCCAAGGAGATAGTTTAGAGAATGTTACCTTTGATGAAAACACCAGCGAAAGCTTTACTCGAAACGATAATGACCAAGACGAGACCGCCAAGGATAGATTTACACAAGAGGATATTGTTGAACATGGAATCAACGACAAGAGGTTAGGTTTAGTTGTCAAAGACGAAGCTGGACTATCTGACCTGAGTCGAGGTCGTATTCCACAACAAGGGACTGGACAAGAGATAGTAACACCGGAAGTTGTTACCCAGGATGAATATACCTATAAAGAAAGTAAAACTCAGAGTGAACGTATCTCGGAGGAATTGTCTCAGAATAATATTACTTTACTAAATGTTTCCCAAAGAGAAATTCGCCATGAACTTCATGTCACTCAAGACAAAGCAATCCAGGACGAAGTCGCTGAGAAAGAAATAGACAAAGGAATGACAAACGAGAAAAATGAAGCTGTTGGGAGAAGCGATATCGTGGATGATGTCACCCTCGGTGAAAACATACAAGAACGTGTTACGCGAGGAGAAATGGCTCCAGTGGAAAGTATTCAGCTAAAGAGTGATCAAGGAGAGTTCATCCAAGGTGAGGAGTCCCGGGATATCATTCTCAGACAGGAAGAGACGCTCGATTTAATTCGCTCACGGGTTCCGCAGCAAAATTTCGACTACGGAAGAAAACGCACGAGTAAAGTTGCAGATGAAGAGAACATTCAAAATCAATCATTCAGAATCATTGACGCTGGAGTTGTTGAACAAGATACCCAGGATGAAATTGCTCAGGTTTCAGTTTCCCAAGCCGAGATGATTGCAGACAACAACGTCCAAAGCAAACCCATAACAGATTCAAACCATATGCTGGGAACTGATAGACAGATCACCCAAAAACAACCTGCCCTAGATGATGTTTCTGATATCGAAGGTCGGCAAAATAATTTCAACGAAACAGGTTGTCTCTCTCCTCGCGCGATTGTTGACAGCAAGATACAGGATGGCAAGATACAGCATGACAAGATACAGGATGACAAGATACAGGATGACAAAATACAGGATGACAAGATACAGGATGACGAGATACAGGATGGCAAAATACAGGATGACAAGATACAGGATGACAAGATACAGGATGACAAGATACAGGATGACAAGATACAGGATAACAAGATACAGGATAACAAGATACAGGATGACAAGATACAGGATGACAAGATACAGGATAGCAAGATACAGGATGATAAGATACAGGATGGCAAGATACAGGATGATAAGATACAGGATGACAAGATGGAGGATGACAAGATACAGGATGACAAGATTTGCATTGAAAAAACAAAAGGGCCTTCAAATGACTATGAGAAAGTTGTCGAACTAGACTTCAAAGATTTTACAATTCCTTCATTCTTTGTAGCAAGTCAGAAAGATACTCTTCAGGAAACGAAAGCTTTGAAACTAGAAGAAGCTTTGGACACGATAAGCAAAGTTAGCAGTGAACTAGCAATGATTGAAAATGTCAGCCGCATTAAAAAAATGTCACCAGAAAATTTGCTTGAGTATGAACGGAAGTCTTTAAATGAACTTCGAAGTATTGGAAAGAAAATCGAGGCAGTAGCGTCTGAGGAATTTAACTTGGATTCGGTTGAGATGGATAAGAAAACTCTCCTGAATAATCTTGTTCGGGAACAGCAACAGGAGTTGGCGAGAGTTCGCGAGGTTTTAAATAATCGTGTGAGAAAAATTGAAAGATTTTTCGAAATGAAATCGACGATGAAGGATAAAATTGAAGGTATGAATGTAGTTCTTGACGAAGCAATACTCCTGGAAGAAGACGATTGTGATTCTAGGGAACAGCAAGCTGAGAAGATGACGAGGATATTGATCGGAGGTGATGATCTTGCTGAAGAATTTGTTGATTGTATGGCGTCCTTAACAAGCGATTATCCATCGTTGGATTTAAGTTACGCGGGGCAAATACACGAGCGATACCAAGCGAGAAAATCTGAGCTCACGAGGATGTTAGATGTGGCGAAAAAACAACTTGAAGAAAAAGAAGATCTGGAGGATAAAATAGACCTTTGTTCACAATGGTTGGTTGAAAACGAGAAAGATATTTTGAAAGGAAAGATTAACGATACAGATGTTGATGTTCTTGAAAAAGCTATCAATGATTTGGACGAGTTTCTGGTAATTTTAGATGGAAAAATTGAATATTTTCATTCGTATGCCACAAGCGAACGGGTATTTCTGGATAATTTACCAACACAAGAAAAGGACGCGTTGTTGACGAAGGTGAATAACTTGGAAAAACGTTTAGCAGAAACTCGAGGACTTGTTTTAAAGAGAATAGAAGATGTAAAAATCAAGGTTGATATTGTAAGGCATAGGAATACGGCAGATGCTTGTCAGATATGGCAAGAAAAGGCGAAAGATGCTTTAAATTCTTCTGGTAAAAGCTCAGAATGTGTTTTTACCGAACTCTCAGACTTGGTGAGTGAGGGTGAAGTATTGATCGAGAATGTGAAGTCTTTGCGACAGCGTTCAGTTGAAGACCAGGAGCTGGTTGAATCTGCAAAAGAAGTTCTTCAAACAGCAAAAGAAGTGATGGAGACTATTTCTAGAAAAGAAGAAGCGATAAAACAGCTCTCGTTCGAGGTTTCAGAACTCGAGAGTCGCATTCTTGTTTGCTTTGAGCGAAATGAGAACACTGACGAAATTGAGATTTTGAAGTTCGAGGAGGAAATCGAAAATGCTCGCGAAAGGCTTCAAAATATTTCCAACCAAATAAAATCAGGAACTCCTGACCTTGAAGCGTTTCCTGCTAATCCAAGAGAGAATGAATTACTTCAGAGAAGCGAAGATCTTTTGAATGAAATCAAAGAAAGGAATGACAGGCATTTGTTGGAGGAGAATCTAGAAGACTGCAAGAAAACCTTGGAGAAAGTTGAGGATATTTGCAACATGCCAGTGACGTTTTGTTTGGACGTTTTCAAGATGAAAAAGGATTTAGCTGAAATGGGAAAAATTTCACTTGAGTTGAAAGATAAAGAAGCGAAATTACAAAAGGTAATTTTTCATTTAAAACCAAATTTAGATGCAGCCCGAAAACCTCCATTTTGTAATAGTTTTTACAGCATTTCATTGACACTGCCATTTGTATTTTCCTTTCAATGATAGGTACAACCATTAGGTAATGAACGAGTGGCTGAGGTGTTTACAAGCTTGCAGAAACGTGGCGAGGAACTGGAAATGAGGGAAGAGAAGATGGCTGAGTTTCTCTCAACCTTACGTCATGTGTTGAGGTCTATCCAAGAACTAAAACGCATCACTCCGGATGAGAATGGAAACGATTGCGACAATGAGGTTTGATATCAATTGAAGTAATCTCATTTATTTTACATGATTTTTGATATGTGATTACATGACTTTTTTCTGTAGTAAAGATCATTGAAAGATGATGATATGGCGTTGGGTTGGAACGGTTTAGAACTGTAGTATAAATCAAGTTTAGGTTTCCCCCTGTTGTAAGACTGGTTCAATATATGATTATCCTTACTGGACTTCTAGGCTATATGAAAAACAGTTTAGAACTGATAGAGCTATCCAGTATAAATAAAGTTAGTTTAGAGATGATCCTTACTGCACCTTTAGGAAGAACAGTTTAGAATTGATGGAGTTATATATATGCGTTATAGATTAGTTTAGGTTAGGTTAGCCTCTTATATATAGTTTAGTTTAGGTTAGCCTCTAGAATAAACATCTTTGTAAACAAATCAATACATATTAACACAATGAAAGCGCTCATAATTTAACAAACTCGTGCACTTTTATGGCTTAATTCCCGCATTTCTATTCTCTACGCAGGAAAAAAGCAAAAACCTGAAAGAAAAAATCTCTCAAGTTGATCGTGTTAAACAGAGAGTTGATCAGTTATGTTCGCTACCTCAGGAGGAGAAGGATGTTTTACATAAACAAATAAACGCGTTGGAAAGCGACATTAAATTCAAAATGGAACAGCTTGAAAATGGAAAGAGATCTGAAGGGTTCGGTCGTAGACTTGAAAATGTGAGAGATAAGATCGCAGAAATAGAAGAAAGGTTGAATGAATTTGGAAATGACAGAAAGGTAATTGATGTTAAAAAATATTGTGCCACCGTTTCGATCTCTATACGAATGCAAATGCTTTTTTCATTCTGTGATCAAAATTTAGGCAGCCAGTTTTTTTAAGAGGTCTAATCATTCGTCCCTCGAGCTCTTGTCTTGTTAAAAAGGTATCACATTGGAGCGGTTTATGTCACAAAATATCAACGCACTTGGCTAAACTCGCTCAAAACTTTGGCCAATCTAAGGGGTCTTCGTATCGCCAATATTGACAGCTTTTTTCAATGCGTCGAAATAGACATATATCTCAAGGACGCTAAACTAATTCGTTTCTATTATTACAAGTTGAGTGATTACCTGCAGGTATTTTAACAATTAAGCTAAAATGCAAATGAACATTACGCAGGTGCTTTCTATATTGGAAAAATCAAATAAAAAGCAATCAGCTGCACACACTAATTTCTGTCGCTGACTCGCTGTACTCTTCTCTACGGCAAAAGGTTGGAAAACCCTCCCACAATTAATAGTTTTATCGTTTTGTCCCGCGGTTTACTCGACCTCTCGAATTTCAACGTGCGTCCAAGCACATTTCGAAAGCGCGTTCAAAGTGTCGAGTTTCATTTAGTATAAACACACGATTATTATTCGCTAGAAAAAATCAGACAACTTCACGTTTCGCTTTCGGATTTGGCATGAGATGGTTCCTTTAGCCAAGCTTCATCTTATTATAAAATGTTCAAAATGTTACAGTACAAAGATTTTCTGTGAATTACCTGATGGCGTAGCCTTGACAACGGATACGCTTCTCAGTTGAATAGACGTGTTTGTAGCTTTCATAATTTACATATTTTAAATACGGTGTGTCTGTGACATGCTTTTATCGTACGTTTGAATGGACTGCGGTGCTCTAACGCGTAAGCAGGTTATTTACCAAGGGAAAGGCTGCCCAAATCGGACGGAAAATGTCATTGGAACCCGGTTTTTTTTCAACATAAGACTATCTAACAAGCTATAAGACTTTGGCCTTTTTACAATTGATTACCTTTGACATACTCAGATCAACAACGTTTGTCTACTTCGTCTAGTGGATGTGTTTACAATATATAAGACGATTAACATTTCAAGTTTAGCGAATATATACGGCGCTTTTAAAATGGATTATATCTCGGTTTCAACTGATGTTCGCTGAATGGAAGCCGAGGGAAATTATTTTCACACGTTTTACTTTCAGGCGTTTAGTGACCAATTCGCGCTTGTCTCGGAAGAGGTTGGCAAGATCGTAGAGGAAGGGGAATTGTTAGTATCTAGCGGCAACACAGACGCCGATGGTCAGCTATCAGCGAAGCTTCAAGATGTCAGAAGACGTTTTTTACGGATACAAGAGCTGGTGGAGAAACAGGACGATTGTTTTGAAAGATTCGAGGACGCCGTCGCGGAGTACAAGCAGAAATTCGAGGCAGTCAAATGCAGGATATCGCTGTCCGGTTTCCAGCAGCAGACCGGAGTCTCGCGTGCCTTTGTTGAGGTAAATGTCTCGTTGTATATGTTTTGTGTTAGCCATGTTCTCGCCCTTTGTGTGCGAGATAGCGTGTTGCGCTTTTATTCCTGTGGCGTTAAGCAAAGACCGGCTTGGTCCGGTGTGTGTATGGAGAGTTCGTCGAATATGTTCAACTCTACGGTGTAGTTTGTGTCTAAAGACTGAAGCATCTTGCGATGTAAACAATTGGTCGTTTAAAGCACAAGTGTTTTGCCAGCTAATCTGCTTTCACACAAGCAAATTTTTCTTTATGATTTGATAAAAGTTAGTGTTTGATCTTCTGTCAAGTGTATTTGCCGTGACAAATTTATCACAATTTCCAATTGTTAATATATATTTGTCATGTATTTGTTCGAGAACGTTAGCCAGTGAAAACCATGCAATACAGAGAAGAATCCTTTTCTGATGTAGTTCTGAACTAAATCATTGGAATTCACGGTGAAACACTTTCTTTCGTTTCCTATTGAGGAAGGCTACAATACATCGAGTGCTTCCTATTTATTCTTGGCTTGATATTTGTCTATATAAGCGTGAAAAATAAGTGTACAATACCCCATACCCTAGCAATTCCAATGTTTTTGTCTGGTCTTTTTTCAAAAATCATATAAACAGTGCTAGCGGCAATATTTCCTTTCAAAAATAGAAGCGTATGTATACAAGTTTATTAAAGTCCTAACAAGCTTGTAAAACTTCTTGTAGCTATTTGCATAACATTGTCCAACTTTTGTACCCATTTAATGTTTCATATTAGGGAATATTTGCTATTTTATTTTAAAGTGTGGTTCTACTATTGTTCTTTTGTGCTCAAAAATAGTGTGTGTCAGCTTAGAATATCATGACAGTTTGTTATATGTTCGTGTTTATGTACATGCAATATCATCCCTGGACTGCATTGTGTTAACCCTTGACACGCAATCGCGAAAGATGTTGGGCTACCTTTGTGTAAAACAAAGTTTCGTTTCTGTAACCACGTTATAATTCTTGGTGGCATACGAGGAGAGGTTAGCTGTGGTTTTCTCGGGATATTAGAGTTATATTTCCATTGCCACCCATAATTATTTGCCTATACTGTCCCAGCAGTCAAGACGTTTTTAAACAGATACAGCCCTCCAGCAATCGAAATAAATCTAGCCTTAGTTGAGGGTTTTCCAGATTGGATTTTATTGATTTTTACGTTACACGTTTAGAAATGATTTAGTATTTATCCACGTTATCTTGTTGATAAAGGACAACAGGTCTGCGATAGTACAAAAAGCATTTTCATTCCCATACGAGGTCCAATATTATTTTATGTCAAATCAGATAAACTTTGATATGATGTGATTGGACACAATAAACTTTGAAACTGGTTTCTTTCCATTATGAATTTCACGGCAATCTCTTCTGAATGTCAAAACATGTGGAAATTTTAATGAAAAACTCGAGTATAATTAGGGACGCGTGTCTGTTCATATAATTAAAATGAATTTATAATGCATTTCATTAATACTAATACACTCATACATAATACAACATACAAGCCAACATTTAGGGACAATGGACGACTTGCGCTTTAGACTAATTTCTTACCTCGGCGATAAAAAGGACATTTTCTGAAAGAGCTTACTAAAATAAGTAAAACTGCCAAGTTTGACGGCGAATTGTTGTAAAATACGTAAAATATACCCATGCGAAGTTGTCGATTTTTGTATACTTTTGTATTACGACCGGAAGTTTGTAACTAAATTAGTTACACATTTCTGCACGTAATACAAAAGTATACAAAATTTGCCAACTTCGCATGGCTATATTTTCCGTATTGTACAAAATTTTGCAGCCAAACTTGGCAGTTTTACTGATTTAAATAAGATCTTTCTAGCTAGGGTGATTTATTTTCCTCTAGTTACTTCGATCAAAAGTTAGTCTTAAGCGCAAGTCGTCCATTCTATTGGCTAAATACTTACATGCATCAATCCCTAAGTAGTAGGATCCAGTGTTACTACAGGAGGAAACCTAAATTAAACTAACTTTATTTATACTTGATAGTTTATCAGTTCTAAACTGTTCTTCCTAAAGGTCCAGTAAGGATCATCTCTTATTGATCCAGTGTTACTACAGGAGGAAACCTGACCTAAACTAAACTAATTTATACTATATAGTTCTATCAGTTCTAAACTGGTTCTTCCTAGAGGTCCAGTGTAAGAATCATAATAACCGAATCATTATAACTTTTCTAGGAGAAAAATGAACTAACTTTGCTTGATGAAAATTTCCGAACGCTACAAGCCCTTGGTAGAGAAATTAGATCGTCTGTTTCAGAAGAGCAAAAGAACAGAATAGATCTGTTGCTGAGCGAGCTTGGAACTTCGTTAAAGATGGTAAAGGCCAGGATATCTGGGGAGTTAGTGGATGAAAATGAACATGTAGGGGGAACGAGGGATACTAAGGTTTTCGGTAAGGATATTAGTCACGCTGTGAGGACAGGGGAGGATCGCATGATCGGTGCCATGCGGCTAAGTGATGATAGCGATGTGGATAATGAGGAACATCGTGTGTTGGCAGGTAGTAGTGATGGATCACAATATGGATCAGACAGTGGTATGGGGGACTCTCTTATGAATACTTTCGCCAGTGAGGTCACTGACGGACCTAGTAAGACACCCACAGTGTCGCCAGTCCATAAAGAAGGATGCTCTGAGGCATGTGGAAGTGTGGATACTGTATGTGAGGATTCTCCTGTGAACAAGAGCAGGATAACAGAGCAATTTGCTCAAGCTAGGTCTGGAAAGTACAGTGAAGGCAGACAAGATAACCCCACACGGACATCGCAGGATATCGATCTTATAGGCCAGGTAGAGATTTTGGGTAGTATTGATGAAGTCTCGCCCAGTGACGCGCCAGGAATACCAAGAAAGAACGTCGATGACGGGAAATTTGTACTAAAAGACATCACTCAGAATGTACCTCCGGTAAGCGACGGTGACACGACTGTTCCGAGTTCAGATCTCCCGAGGGACGGTAATCTGATGAAAATTGATGAAGATTCTGATAACGGTTCCTTAGAATATCTTGTTCAAGATAACCTGTTCAAGATGATTCCTGGAAAAGATTCGCAAACGCAGAATGACATTAGGCTGGATAACTTAGATGCTGAAACAGTACAGCTCGAAAACACAGATCAGGCAAGCTCTGATTCACGTCCGTTCATTCCAGTAGGATTCTTAGAACCAGAACCTATTACCTTCGACAATACTCAGGAGGCGTCCTCCCTCCCGGATTTTAAGCCCTCCGATCAAACACCCTACGAGATGAAAATCTCGAGACATTCACTTCATGACATATCACCCTCGGAACAAACTGCCTCGGAAGATTCCCTCTCTGTGCAAACATCCTCGGAAGATTCCTCCCCGCAGAAATCCCCCCAGAAATCTCGAGTTCACGATATCGACGAAGAGCTACTGTTGCGAAATCGTGCAATCCAGGATCTCCAGCCTGATGAAGAGTTGAGAGAGGGGCAGAACTTGGAGACGGAGTACCCCCTTGTCTCCTCTGCCCCTCCTCCCATGAAGACCGTTGAGGAATTCGTAGAAGAACCTGATGAGCTGTTTCAAAGATTGATCGACATCGAGGTGATGCTAAAACCACAAGAAAATGAAGAAAAAAATCTTAAGTCGGCGCTTCTGAAACATGTCGTAAGTACTTCATATTATGTCTGTTATCCAAGGTATGATAGAAGCAATATATCAATTCAATGTTGACAGTCATGGTTGACAATATAAGACTTTCTTTAAAGACAGTTTTTGGTCCTCTCAAACTTAAGAAGCTTCGTTGTATTCTAGGCACTCTGTGTTGAGATGAAAAACATTCAAAGCAAAATAAACACCATCAACAGGCATGGGCCGTACTTCATGAAGAAAGCACGAAGTGGCTTACGCGAGATCTTGGAAGAGAGACTACGGGCTCTGAATAAACAGTGGGACAAGCTTCAGGGTCACGCCACAGCGAGACAGAAAGATTTAGAGCAACTTGTGCAAGACAAAACCGATAACGAGTTGGTCGCTGGTGAAGACAGTTCTTTGAGTTCTCTTCGGAATAATACAGCATTGCTTAGTTCGCTGTATTTTAATACCGAAAATGAGGTTAATATACAATAAAAATTATAGAGGTTTAGTTTGAGAACAGTTTAGAAATGATAGAAATATCCAGTATAAATAACGTTAGTTTAGTTTAGGTTTCCTCCTGTAGTAACACTGGATCAATAAGAGATGATCCTTACTTGACCTCTAGGAAGAACAGTTTAGAACTGATAGAGTTATCCAGTATAAATAAAGTTAGTTTAGTTTAGGTTTCCTCCTGTAGATCCATGATATGATTCTGTAAGATATTATAATCTAAAAAGGAATGATTCCTATTCAGAGTATCAAGCGCCTGCTGAACAAACTCGGTTTATTCTCTGGCCAATGTGACGAGGAAGATGACGAATCACGCCGTCATTTTGATGACGATTTCCTCGACTACCAATCGGCCTTTCACGATCTATTTGAATGGTTAACGGCCGTGGAAGAAGAAATTGAAAGTGTTTCCACTTCGGAGGGTGAGGTGAAGGAAATAAAACAGCGCGTAAAGTGTCTGCAGGTAAATCCATTAAACCAGAACTAGATGACATATCCTGTCGAATTGTGTGAATTCACTTTCATTCCTTTTGCAGGATTTATACCTAAAGATTCAGCACAAGAAGCCACAAGTGAACGAGTTGGTGAAAAGATCTGAAAGATTCGTCGATTCGTCCAGCGAGGGCAATGAAGAACACGTGACAGGATTACGTAATCTATGGCGTGACGTTATGCTCAAAGCCTGCTCGAAGTTACGAGATTTACAGAACGTACTTCATGTTGTGATGATGAAGGCATTAAATGTCAACAATAAAGAAGACTTCTTAAAAACTCTCTCAGAATGTCAGCGCGATGTTAAAGATTTGTTGCAAAGGTTGCAGGAGTGTTGCACAGGCGATACAAGTGATGATCCCACAGTTGCAGCAGCCCAGTATCAGGTATCGTGATTCTCTCAGATTTTTTTCTCAGACTCTCAGGCATAAGCGTACCCGTACTCACTCAGTCGTAGCCTTGAAATATTAAGGTCAAAGAAAGTGTGCAAGTTGAAGCATCGGAACATCAACTCATACAAATCATCTTTACAAAGCATTAAGCTTTACAATACATCTTTACAAAGCTTTGAATTGTTATTGAAAAGGTTTTTCTTTCCTGCCAAAGGTGTTCGCCTCCGAAGCTGACAGGCTAACAAAACTGTTGGACGTCTTGCGAACGTCTTCACACGGTGAACAAAACACAACCGCTTTGAAAGAAATTTCTGATCAAATGACAGTCGTGAAAACTCAACTAGAGTCATGGTGGAAGAATCTAAACGAAGCTGGAGCTTTGGAAACTATTGTGGTAATTCTTTTAGTAGAGTTTCAAGAGAGATTTAACATGGAATATTTCAAATGAACCGTAATATGCCAGGGCTTGCCTTTGAGTTTTTTGTGTCTTCTCCGTAGGAAACCGACACAAGGAGGGAGGTCAACGTCTCAGAATCAATCCCAGAAGAGCTGAGATCACCTCGAAGCAGACCCAAGACTTGGCCTGACCACAGCACCTTGCTAACGCAGGTTCTGGAAGAGGTGAAGAAGTTCGAGGATTGGTTGAGAACCGCTGAGGAAAACCTCCAGATTTTCATCGGAATCGCTATTCCACAAACTCTGAACGAAATGAAATCAAAACTGAAAGAAGTTCAAGTAAGTTCCAGTATCTTGGAATAGATTTCAGGAAAAGATTGTTCAACAAAATTGTTATAATTCTTTTTTCGTGTGATGGCATTGCTCCAGAAAAATACCATCTTTGTTTATGTTCTTCCCAGCTTGCAGCGAGAAACATCAACAACAAGATCACGGAAATGGAGTACACTCTCGACAGCCTAAACACTTTGAAAGATGAGTCAGGATATCCCGAACTCTGTGAGAAATGTCAATCCTGTTTAACACTCGCGAAGGAACTGAAGACTCGCTCAGATACACGAACTGACGAATTGAAAGAGATTCGCTACAAATGGGAGCTGTTTGAAAGCCGCTTTGCGGAGATGCTTCATTGGCTGGAAAAAACTCGAAGTAATCTTATTCTACCTTTGAAAGAAAGAGACGAGGATAGCGTCGAATTTGTTTTAGGGAAATTACTAAAAGTTCGCGAAATAGAAAAGAAATTATCGGAAAAGGTATGTAGTATACATGTGATTTGAATGAAACGTGAATATGTAGGTTCATCATCGACCAGTGCTTGATTTTTTATTTGTGTTTTCTCGACAGGTTACGGTGAAAGACGACGTTCTACGACAGGGGGAACACGTCCACGCGAGGACCGAGGCCGCTGGAGTGAACGTGAAAATTGAACAGTTGAGGGAGGAGTGGACCGGGATTGAAAGTGATCTCGGTAGAGAACGTGGAAGGCTTGAGAAAGTCATGAGACTGTGGAAAGATTACGATAGAAAACAAGAAGAAATGTACGATTGGCTGACCGGCATATTGTCTTCGTTGCGTGACCTGGAACATCGTGATAGGAGCATTGAGGTTGTCAAGAGACAAATCGCGTTGATCCAGGTGGGTAAAGGGGGAATGACATGAACATGTTCACTCTTCATTATCCTATAGTGTCTCTTCCTATCGTGGAAATATCCCTTCCATCTGCATCCTTCTTGTTATCACTAAAGAATTGTCCTGTTTTTAGAAACATCACGATGAAATCGACAACCACATCACTCTCAAAGAGTCAGTCGACCTCTCGTTTCATTTTCTCGTAGACAACATTCAAGGTGATGTCGAACGTCTTCAAGAGAAACAGCAAAAGTTAAACTCTCATTGGCAAGAGCTTCAATCGTTGGTCTCGGACCGTTTCGATGAACTGGTCGCGGTGGAGTGGACACTAGAGGTGGCAGACATGACTGCTAACGTCGATGAGTTGAACGTGTGTGTGGAAAACGCCAGGAGATTGGTGCTTGCGAGAGTTCCACAGATAGGTAGCTCGTCTTTGGAGGAAATCAAATCATTGGTGGCTAGTTATCAGGTATTTTCCTGTCCTAATTAGTTGGTTTTATTAAGTATCTTAATCAGTGAGTTAAGTGGTGGTCAGCTGTGGAGTGTGATTCTTTGATAAGAAATTGTACATATTTGCAACCAGGTTTGCAACCAAACACAAAGACATTCAGCGAAGAACTAACTCACAAGGCTTAAGTTGGTAGTTAACTTTCGAATCAAACATAAAAATTTTTATGTTGTAAACAATTCGCCACTCAAACTCTAGTCATAGAGGATAAGCTTAACCTAAACCTTTTTACAGAATGCTAAACGAGAATTGCGCTCCAAACAAGAAATCGTCGATGGATTGAGGCGAAAATCACGAGACGAAAACATGAAGGATGAGAAGTGTACCTCTTTAAGACAGTCGATCGCGCAGCTCGACGAAGACTGGAAGAGTGTGACGTCATTGCTTAACGAAAAAGAGGAGGCCGTTAAGATCTCGTTAAATAAATGGATGGATTTCCAACGGCAGCTGACTCATTTGGTTGACACGGATTCGTGGTTCGCAACAAGGGAGGCAGCCATGTCAAAATACCAACATATTTCTACTGAAAAAGATAGGAATATCGCGTTAGAGGATGTTAAGGTAAGTAAATATGAGATTACTAATATACTTCTTGAATTTTAGAGGATTTTTCCAGGCTCTCCTAATATTGTACAACAGGGTGTATAATGCCTTCCTTGTCGTTCTAACCTGACTGAGAATTTCCATTTCATATTGTTGTGACATCGTCATTTAGGCTATGAAAGGTTTCCTTGTGACCCAGAAAATATCAGTCACAGAATTCGTTAAATCTGCTCGAGGCCTTCTGAACGAGGGCCTCTATGACTCCGAGGAGATAGAAGGGATCTTAGGAGACATCGAGGAACGCTGGGTGGATATAAATACAAAAGTCAATGACTGCGAGGAGTGGTTATCTGAAATGACAACCAAACATAAATCCTGTCGAGACTCTATTGGTTCGATTATGAGCTTCCTGGACGATGGTGAGATGATCTTGGAGTCGTTGGCTACATTTGATGGTGATCTTGACAGCTTGCTATCACAGAAGACAAGACTCTGTGTAAGTTCAGAATGTAGTTTGTTTATTAATACGCCACAAAACCTTGATCTAATTTCTAACGTATTGAAGCATCTGCTCATTTTGAGGAGAGCTCGATGAAGAATGTTTTTACAAATGAGATTTTACTAGCCCAGATATGAGGTCATAAGGAAAATTGCTATTAAGTTCTCTCGTGTGTCTTCTGGTAAAAATTCATCCCATCACGGCATATCCGGTGTCTTTGACAGTGTAAGAATGCATGAAAATTGGATTTTCTGCAACAAATCGTAGTTATATTTTGTCTAAAAGTGGGCTAATGTTTACTTCTAACATTTCAACTGTAAATTTTATTTCAGAATCTTGAGAACGAGTTGAATGATCTTCGTCCGACTGTTTACAATCTAAACAGTATCCTGGTTGAACTAAACAACGTCTGTGATGAGAGTGTCTTGTATGAACTGGACAAAGATATTCGCGAACTGAACCTGAGGTATGGCAGCGTTGCGGAAAAGATTAAGAATCATAAAATCCAAACGGAACAGATGATCTCCGCTTGTCAGGAGTTCGATAAAGACTGCGCCGAGGTTTTGGCATGGCTTGAATACCAGGACAATGTATTGCATCAAGATTTGGAACCCGAAGAGCAAATATTGGCTTCTGAACTTGCCCAGTTGAAGGATTGTGAGGTTAGCTCCGAAAATTTATAAAGATTGTCTTGTTTGAATTTTGAATGACATATTACTGCATACTGTAGTGATGATTGTCATTTGTCATTTGGCAATACCATTCTACAATAAGCTGTTGTGGGTTGTGTTTAAAATACCTGAAAAAAATATCTCGAAATCCCGATCGTATTGAGCTGTGTGCATTTATTTATCTATTTATTTCGAAGCAACTTCAAGAAGCGTTGAACAGACAACGAGAGTTCTTTGAGACTGTACGAAATCGTGGCCAGGAATTGAAATCAAGAATGAAACAAGGAAATCTGCATGTTTCTCCAAAACTAACAAAACTCACGAGAACTTTCAGTGATTTTGCCAACGCTTTAAACCAGAAACAAGAAAGGTAGGCAAAATGAAATTCAAGTTTCATTTAATTTCAAACATATTTTCTTTTTTCGTTTAAGCGCTAACTTTACTTCTTTCTAAAGTTCTTATGTGAAATGTTGAATTCTATTTGCAATTGATCTGTTACCAGGTTGAAAGTGAAAACCAACTCATGGCGGGAATTCTGCGCTAAATTTCAAACCCTGGATGAACGTGTTAAAGAGAGTGAGAAACAGGCTTATACGACTCGATATTGCGATACGAAAGAACATTATAGATTACTGCAGGTATGCCAAGATCTTGTTTTCCACCTCACTCTTCATTCCATGATCCTCCTGACCAGCTCTCTTTCATGTCTTCTTATTACGTGTCCATATCATCTAATATCTCTGACCAGCTCTCCTTCATCTCTTCTTATTATACGTGTCCATATCATCTCAATTCTCAACCTTGCTTTCCACCATCTTCTCTGCAATGTCTACCACCTCACAACCTCTTCTTCTAATCTCTTTCTTCCATGATGCATCAGCTCTCCTTCATCCCAACACACCAACCTTCCTCTCAAAAGATACACCTACATGCGGTAAACCTTTCATTCTCTTCCAGCGACTAATTCGTGAGGCAATCCAAATGCGCCCGGAACTGGAGGAATTGATAGAATTTACTGAAGAACACTTCCGGGACAAGGAGTCTGAACAAGGGAAGAGTGCCCGAAACGAAGTGGAAGAATTACGCCAAAGATTAGAAATTCTCACAGCCGAGTTGGATTCCAAGAAAACAGAAGTTGAAACGGTTCAGAAACTGCAAGCGAAATTCCAAGAACAATGTCGACATTTGAATGCTGTGTTGCAAGATACTGAAGCGAAGTTGAGGAACGAAGATGATGTCGAACATTTGCATGAGCAGGAACAGTCGTTTGAGGTAAATCAGTTTCCATTGATTGACCCAAATCAAAGCCAGGTTGTCTGAAATTAATATATCAATATTCAGATAGGAATGTTCTCGGGTGTTATAAATGATCAGATAAGGTTATCTGTGGTATATGAAACTTAAAGCAATCAATACAAGACCGTTTGTTTTCATCTCCCAAAGGAAGAAAATTGCATCTGATAAACCCACCTTTACTTATTCAATTTTCTCTCCAGTTCTTTCAGAGCAACAGCGAAAGATACCAGGAGGAGTTGTTGTGTGCTCAGCGTCTGGCCGAAACTCTGGATCAAAACAAGAACGTGGATGCAAGCACTCGCGCTGAGGTTGAAGGCAAGTTTAACGATTTAAAAGTGAGATGGGAGAACACATCCTGTGCTGTTAGGAAACACAAGGAGACTTTGGATTATCGTCTCGTGAAGTGGCGAGATTTCAAGCGGAAACACAAGGCATTTGTGAGTTGGTTGACTGAGTTTGAGTCCCGACCAGGGCTTCAACCTGTCGCCTCGTCGGATATCACTGAATTGGAGAGTCAAGTTGAATATGTTGAGGTTAGTATGTGCTGATTATTATGCAATGCAATAGCAATCTTCTCCATACCATACCATACCATACCATACCATACCATACCATACCATACCATACCATACCATACCATACCATACCATACCATACCATACCATACCATACCATACCATACCATACCATACCATACCATACCATACCATACCATACCATACCATACCATACCATACCCATACCATACCATACCATACCATACCATACCATACCATACCACACCATACCATACCATTGTATTACTCTACTCCTATTATGCCTCTCCTTCATTTATCATTCCTAATTGTCTTGTTTGTTCCGACAGGCCTGTCGCAAAGAACTAGACGCTCATCAAAGCGAATTTGATCTTCTTCACACTACAACTGAACAATGCTTCACCAGGTCCAACGACACGGTAAACGACGCGGTTGAAAAGGAATACCACAACGTCGAACAACGTTGGGTTCGAGTCTCCGAGTGCGTCGCATCGAATCAACGTACTCTGGAACTAACCCTGGGTGATTGGCAGGAGTACACCACCGTTATGGAAGATACTATGCGTTGGTTAAGACAAACAGAGCTTTATTTAAAAACGTGTAGTGCAGTGACTTTATCTGATGTGGAGAAATATTATGAAAGACTTAAGGTAAGATCCTAAGTTATGTTGACTTGACCAGTTTTGATCTCCTTGAGGTCCAGTAAAAATTATTTCATCCAGTGAACCAGAAGAAAATTCTGACTGCATTATGTGGAAATTGAATATCTCGCACTTTGAATCATATTTTAGGAACTAAGCACTGAAGTTGAAGAACGCCGACCGCACTTGGAACTTTTGACTCAGCGAGGAAAACGTTTATCGCGCATGTCCTCGTACGCTAACGCTGACCACATCAATAACCAGGTTTCTGTCATGGGTACGCTATGGACAAACGTATGCACCTGCCTCTCGACTAAAATGCACCGCACGATTGATTCTCTACATTACTTACGAAGGTTTATGGACAATTTCGAAAGCTTGTCCGCTTGGCTTCATCGCCTCGAGGGGATACTTCGCCGTGATTGGAAACACTTTTATTCTTGTAGTCCAGAGGAACAAAGATCTAAGATTAAGGTTGGTTCTTTTGTGGTATCTCTAGCGTCGGTTGTTGTTGAAAGGACGGATAACGTTATCCACTTTCCTCTGCAACCAAAAGCAGGTATTCTGCAGCACTGATCTTTCGTGTTATTTCAGGCATACCGTAAAGAAATCGAGAGCCACGAAGCTCAACGAACGTCAGTCAACGATTCGACCTTGCAGCTCATCGACAAAGAGCTTGGAAACGAGCTATTACGTCATATCATGCAGCAACGTGATACGCTCAACGAACGCTGGGAAGCGTTGTGCATACAGTTGGGCATTTCGTACAAAAAGGCCGAGCAGACGAAGTATTCTCTGAAGTTGCTGGAAGCACAACTTACACAGCTCAATAAATGGATGTCCAGTGTCGAACGACAGATCACGGAGATCAGTGGGGAAGTGTCATGTGATATAGACGAGCTGAATCAGCAACTTGTTGATCTGCAGGTGAGGTTCACCAGAACAAGTATCATGAACTAGCCGAGAGAACGACTATCATGAACTGGGCAGTTTAACAATTGCAAATTGAGCGCTATTGTTGTACGGTTATACAATGATAGTTAAATGCCTAGTTAAACCTTATTTCGCCTCGAATCTGTAATGGGGTAATCGAATATTTTTTCTTTCAACTCACAGATAAGTCAAAGAGAAATCAATGCGAGATCACCAGATGTCATTTCAGTATTAAGTCTGTGTGTGGTAAGTTGGAAATACACAAATTGGAGTGTATTATTGGTCTTTTAAAGCGAAAAAGTTCATAAAAGGCACCATTCTTGATTCCTATTCTCCTATTCAGAGGTTGCAAAGTTGTGCTTTCCCGGACGATGGCGACGCAGGAGATTTGCAGATCGCCCGAGACAGTTTTGAATCGCGTTGGAAAAAGATTTCAAGAAACGTGGGTCAGTTGTTGAAGCAAAATCAGGACCGTATCGCTTTGTGTAAGGAGTTCAGAGATGATTACAAACAGTTTATAACGTGGTTACGAACGTTTGAAAACCTGGTTACGATACCTTCCGGAAGCTGTGAGGATCTGCATGAGTTAAGCTTAGAGATTTCCAGACTTCAGGTAAAGAGATTTAGTGAATTAGGTTTACTGTACTGGATTAATGTGTGATTACAATCAATATTTTAATCTGTATTATGATCATTAATTGATACAGCTGAAAATGAGTTTTTTGTACTTACATTGAATTTGATGTATTTTGCATTGCAGGATTTGAAGAGACAAGTTGGAGCAAAAGGGGTCCTCGTGGAACGCCTGTTGACACGAGGGAACTGCTTGGTAAACAACTCATCATCCAGCTCGGCTCAGTTGATCAGACAAATGATTGGGAAGACACAAGAACGCTGGTACGACATCACACAAACACTGGACGACTCCATCGCAAAGTTTCATCTTTTGTCGAAAGATTTTGTGGAATTTGAAGAGGAACGTCGCAATGTGAATGCGTGGCTGACAGATATAGAAGTTCGTTTGATTGGCTTGGAACAAGTCGGAAACGAAGGGCAGAATGAAGAACAACGCTTGCAGGAGTTAAAAGTAAGTATTCTTGTGTTAGTATAGTGTAGGTAGTATTCTATAATAAGCTGTCGTGGTTTGTGTCTAAACTACCTGCAGAAGATATCTTAAACGTGGTGGTCCAGTTTAGGTTGTCTATAATAAGCTGTCGTGGTTTGTGTCTGAATTACCTGAAAAAGATATCTCAAACGTGGTGGTCCAGTGTAGGTAGTATTCTATAATAAGCTGTCGTGGTTTGTGTCTAAACTAACTGCAGAAGATATCTCAAATGTGGTGGTAAATAATATTTTTTTCAGACGTTACAACATCACATCAATATGAAATACGGCTCTCTGAGTGAACTCACTTCACAAGTCACAAAGCTCAAGGGTTGCTGTTCAATCTCAGACTACCGTCTGCAGCAACAAAAAGTCGAGGAGTTGAAATTACGATATGAACAGGTATAATACATAAGGATTGTATTAATTCATATCATCTAATAAGGTGCTTATAAATTCCTCTTATTTTACAAGGCACTTCATTACTCGCTGACGCTTATGCTTGATCTGGCTGTCCCTAGTCCATTCTCCCCAGAACGCGTATCGACAAGGCTTCCCGTCGTAACGCCATAATCAAGACAGCAATATCACCCTTGTACAAACACTGGCTTGAATAGCCTAAATTCAGCCCTTGCTCTTTGCAATGGCATTGATCCATGGTGGTAGCTACTGCTACTCTAGAGGTGGTTATCGCTCACTCATCAACAATTTTGGCCATGTTCCATTCACAAACACCCGCAGTCATATCCTGTATTTATTGAGAAAAAAAGCTAAGGAATTGTTATGAAATAGGAATTAAAACTATTTGGAACAATTAAGCTCTTAAAAGCCCGTATGGGCAGGGTTAGAAAAGAAAGCTTGCATTGATAGTTTTGTACATGTTCAGCCTTTCAAATTTTTATTCAAACTTTGTAAATATACATGTAGATAGAAAATCGCGAATTTAGAAAACTGTATGTAAGTAGTTAGATATAAACAATAACTATAATATTGGGAAGTGGTAATTTATTTCTGACTTGTATATTAAATGTATTTTTAAAGCAGGTCCACATAGTCAGATGCAATTTTCAAAGAAACAGATCATATTCGTTTGTAAATTGTTAATACATACATTCCATGTAAGTAAGTATAAAATCTCAGCTCATATTCTTACGTAAAGACATATAATATATTTTAAATTGTACATGCTTTCTGAACTGTAACGTTGGAGTAATATAAATGGAACCTATTAAATTATTGAATATACTTCTGTTTGAGTCAATATCTATCTTGTCTGAGTGCTGGGTGTACGTACAAATCTACAATGGTTGTCTATATGGTACAAATGCGCACTTCCATCATTTACCAATTACCATCTACAATCTCATTATCTCTTTTATAAGGAAGCTTACACAAAGTATCCTTTAATCGTTTCGGTCCCAGTCTGGACTCGGGTTTGCATCTTTGGACGTTTGGCGGGAAAAATTAAAAGCCCTTTTATGAGAAATTGAAAGTTGTCAAGTTTGAATTTTCCTCGAAATTTACTGCAAATTTGTCTATTCTTGCCGCGTTTAAGCAACAATACAGCGAGGATATAGAGGTATGTCATAGAAAATTTTTATTTATTTGCTAATTTGTCCAAAATAATGCTTTTAAATTCAATTTGCGCTCGTCTGAAGCTGGCCGCGAATGACATATGTTTTTGTACTCTTATAACCGCCAAATACAATTTGTAAATTGTAATCGAAGGGATTCAAATGTTTTTAAGGTAATTTATATCAATTTTGATATAAATTGCTGCGCATTTCGTTACATTTAAGCAGTTTGAAATACATATATAGAATATATTTATTTCAAGTTATCATTATACGGGATTACGTTCGGTGCAAAATGCCGGTAATATTTAAATATAAATATTACCTAAGATTTATTGACAACAACTTGGATTTTTCACGATGGCGGAGAAAAAACAGGTTGGAATTCAAGGGATTTTGAAGTTAGGCACACGACCACAGTGTGAAATAGTGGGAAAACACGATCAAACTATTGATTTGGAACCTGAAGGCATGAGTACTCGTGTTTACGTTGGCGATTGTACAAATTGTCAGTTTGTTTTGAAGAAGAAAGCGGCAAATGTTTTGATCGAAAAATGTCAAGATCTGGTTCTAACTATGTCTGCTGAGCTCGTATCTGGAACTCTAGAAATTGTGAAAAGTTCGAAGATTTCGATTAAAATCAGCCCCAACATAAAGGTAAGCAATAATTGAGTGTTGTTTTCAAATAATATAACTGTATTCTTTATAACAGCAGGAAGCAGAACAAGACTTGTACAAATAAATTAACTCAAAATCTCTCAGATAAACCTATGAATGTAGTATTTAATTTTTGCTCATATTATTGCTAATATTTAATGATTTTACTCATCTGTGCAAAAGTTTTGTATAAAACTTGCAATGCATTTTATTGCTTTTTTTTTAAATTTAAATACCTGTAAATCTTAGTGGATTTCAGGCCATTCATATTTAATTTCACCTCATCGCATGCTGAATGAAGCACTAATTTAAATTTTCATTCTAGATTCCAACAATAACAGCTGACAGCACAACAGGACTTCAAGTAATTTTGTTGGAAAATGAAGAACAATTGGGGAGCTTATATTTCCACGAATCATCAGATTTAGCCATCACAGTGCAGGGTGATGGCGTTGAGAAGAAAGAGTATGCAGTCAACCCAGTTGCAGATGCCTCAGGCAACCGTCAATTTATTGCACACTGGGTACAGAGTGATGGCAGTGTTCAGTTGAAAACTGAAAGAGTTGTTCGCGAAGGTGTTTTCCCCCATGCAGAAGAAGAGTTGAAGCAGGCCCATGAAAGAGATCGTCAAAATGCTGAGAAAGCATTCAAATTTCTTGAGAAAGAATACATGAAATCTAAGAAAAAATAATATGAACAACAAAATGTCCTTTTATACTTTTATATTTTGATACTTGTTGTAAAATTAATGTACTGGCAATTAATTTGTAAACTTTCAAAATGTAAACTTTTCATTGTATCTGATGAAAAACACGAAATCAAATGCAAAAACACGAAAGCGAGGCAAATGTTACACAGAAATCTGAATACGACGGAGCATCTTGCCGTGACGTCACGATTAATAATCGCTTAAAACTCTAAACGATGGTCGACAGTTAACAGCAAAGAAGGATGAGCGAATTTCACTTTTCTTCTCTTCTGAAAGCCTTCGTACAATCGCATTTGTTGTTTGGGATCTATCAGTGTTTAAACGGGTAAAAATTTCAAATTGGTGCTTTAACGGAATATTTGAGATATTGTACCTTTCTACTAGTAGCATCAAGTGTGGTATAACAACTGTCTAAAATAGACAAAACACTTCTCTTGAGAAAGAGAAGTAGAAAGGTACAATATAACCAGGGAGCAGCCTTGCAGCGTCTTCAAACAACTTAGCATCAAATGTGGTATAACAAGTAACAACTGCCTAAAATAGACAAAACACTTCCCTTGAGAAGGCAATTGTTATACCACATTTAATGCTAAGTTTTGAAGACGCTGGCACGCTGCTCCCTGGTTATATTGTGCCTTTCTACTAGTACTAGGTTTGACTGATCAACCAGCGAAAATTCAAACCGCAGCATTCCATAACAAAGACAACTCAAGTTGAATAGGCGATAACTTTACGGAGGCGAGCCCTTTTACTAAACAGTTATATATTCAGGTGAAGTCCGTTAGGCGAATTTATTCTATTTATTTATTGAGTTGGCGCAAACTAGTAAATTCGTAAAATATACTGATATTACTGTTTAGTATAAACTGATTAGTGACTGCCTTGGTACAGTTCATGCAGACTGCACTCGCAAAGTTAAAGGATTTTTTACGTTTTCGAGACAGTTCAGTCTTTTATTGATTTTTGAAGCAATTCCTCAAACTACAGTAGTCCCTCGCTAACTCGAACTCGCTTAACTCGAACTCAGTCTCACTAACTCGAACTAAATCCAATTCCCCTTTGCCTTTGGATTTGGTAATGTTCTTTACAGTTATTTACTCCGCTTAACTCGAACTCGCTTAACTCGAACTTCTCACTAACTCGAACTAAATCCAATTCCCCTTTGCCTTTGGATTTGGTAATGTTCCGGCTTTACAGTTATTTACTCCGCTTAACTCGAACTTCTCACTAACTCGAACTAAATCCAATTCCCCTTTGCCTTTGGATTTGGTAATGTTCTTTACAGTTATTTACTCCGCTTAACTCGAACTCGCTTAACTCGAACTCCTCGCTAATTCGAACAAATTTTGTTTTCCCTTGGTCGAATATATCCGCTTAACTCGAACTTTGGTTTCGAATCATAGATCTGCAAACCTCAAAATGTGAGAAGATAGCATTTTAACAACTTGAAACTATAATGTTCGCCAATACACCGTATTGAAGAAATACCGCCACCGCGTATATACATTACTATAGGAACTATCAAAGTAAAAACAATTTAATCGGTGTATAATTGCATAAATGATTATAAATTTTAAAACATTAACTTCAGTTAACTTTAATGTCCAGCTAACTTTTATGGTGTCGCTAATTAAAAAATCAGTATTTCATTATTATATCAAGCAGGACTTTTTAAGGCTGCTTTCCACTGTCCGCGTTTTAGCACGTACGTACACGCACGTAAAAGTTTTAAATTTTTATTATTTAACATCTAGGTCAGCAAATACATATATACTAAACTATGCGGAAAACTAAGTTCTTTCGATTTATTCACTTCGTTTTTTTAAAGATAGCTTATATAAGCATTTAGACTTTTATGTGCGTGCATATGTGCGTTTGAAAAACACGACAGTGGAAACTGAAAACAGCCCTTGGCAAATAAACGAATGAACGGCGACAATCCAATATACGTTGAAATATAAACGTAATTTAACACCAACCCCGGTTAACTCGAACAATTTTTCTTTTTCCCTTGGGAGTTTGAGTTTGCGGGGGAATACTGCACGTGTATACCTATATGGACATATTAAGTTTTTTTACGTCTGCAGACTGGAATTTGAAAAAGCACACTATCTCACACACTATCCGGGAGGCCTGTTGTCAAACAGCGTCCGGTCTTGTGGGCGGCATTTTTGTGGTTTGTTTTAGAAATCGTATTCTTAGCTTATTGAAGTCAGAAAATTTTCCTATGAAAATTGAAGCCTGAAATAAAGTGAACTAAGCGTCAGGATTTACTTTGCTTATATATAGAAATGCAGTTTGAAGTTTTCCCTCCGCTTGCACTTAGATTTTTGCCGCAGACTTCAATCCTTTTGTCTTTAAAATTAATCGGCCGGCGGTGCTCTCAAAAGTTTACAATATCCTCATGAATCCGTTTCAGCAAAAGTTTGAGTTTTACATCCGTTTAAGCTTTCTCATGTGACATATATAGAGTAGTATTAGGATATATAATGTAAGTAGGTTGTGAAGCCCTTCAGAAAAGAAGGGAATTGAAGAAATAAAGAGGTCTTAAAAGAACAAAGAGCTAAGCTAAGTACCTATATGCAAGGTATGTTTCCACGTCTGCATGTATTTCATATTTTCAGGTCTTCAGTATATTTGATTGTTTTTCAAGGATCTAACATTCAAAGTTCAGTCCGCAAAATATCTGCATAACTATAAAACTATACTGAAATAATAGACATTGGTTTTAGCCGTATGCAAAGGAACGATTAATATATTTGGTCATTAAACATGCACTTTTCCAGATGGCAACGAAACCACGGTTCGTGTATTTGCTCCTTTACTGCTTACTGTTGACGCCCATCGTTCAAGGTAGCACGCTTACTCAATGCTTTAGAGCTTGCAAGGGAGGAAAAAAGGCAATTCAAAAGTTCTGTAGATGGCTGAAGATTATTGGGTCTACTCCTTATGTCAGAGCAATCTGCTGGTCAAATCAGTTTGCTGGAGAAGTCGCGTGCAGAGGATTCTGTTATCGTTTTTTTTCCAAGTGATGTTTCTTACTCTCGGATTGGAAAATTGGCGACCTCGTTGGCGAATATAAGAATGTAGTTCAAGGGATATGAATTTATACTTCTCGTTGATTACTGTGTTAGCATGTATGTTATAATCTAATTAATTGTATTTTCGACGTAACACAACTTAAATAAATCTCAGGAAAGCATTATTTACTGAAAATTTCTTGAGTGAACGGCCGGCTTCAATTGAAGAATGTGTGTTGCATTGTCCAGTGTTAAAAAAGCTTCTATATACGCGATTGACTTATGTACCACACCGTGGAGTTGCTGCTCAAAAGGTGTGGTTTTGCAACCTTCAGTAGTTTCTTTTCCTTGAGTAGTTGTGTTTAACTCCTTCCGAAAGTGTCTCTTGATCAGTGTCTCTTGCAAGCCTGTTCCACAAACTTCGTTTAAATGATATACTAATGGAACAAAGTCAAACCGGCATCAGTTTTTCGTTTTCTTAAGATGTTTCCCCGATAAATTCACGGAATTCAGTTCTTATGTTAATACAATAGCATTTTTCATAAATTTATTTTGTTAAGTAACTAATACAGACAAACTTAGCATAAACGTTTCATGCAATGACACGCGCAATGGCTTGAACCTCTTCGCTGTTCCAATCAATCTATTTCAGTATTCAATAGTTTTCATCATCACGAACGATATGCATAAGTTCGCTTTCCTGGTTATCACCAGTTATAATAAATGCTCAGAAAGTATCCTCTAAAGAAAAAAGCAATACTTGATTACGTTTGAAAATATTTGCGAAATTTTTTACTGGGAAAAAGGAAGACGTCCAATTGACATTCGATACAAGATAAACTCGCGAATCGTTTGTAATTGATATGTTTGTCTGTTTGAGATCATCGCACTATGCTCACTTGCCCTTGGCCTTTTGACTTTGAAACCTTGAGCAAGAGTGACATATTGCAGAGCGAAAATATCTCCAGAGTTTTATTCAAAGTAATAAAGAGATACGTTACAATATTATCACGAGAAATATCGGTTTCTAGAACTGAGAGGTCTGACCAAATGGATGCAGCTGTGTTTGTCAACTCAGTCAGCACGGTCTGGGCGAAATTGCCTGCTGGAGTATAATCTGAACTCATGTGCTGGGCTTCTGGAATACCGAAGACAAAACTCATGCTTATAATATCACTAATGAGCAAGTCCGGAAATATTAAGACTAGTTCTCATTGTTGAATGAGCATTATTATGTATCTTTGTTAGACAAGTTATTAAAATACTTATCATTTCAATCAAAAGTACGGAGTTAGGAGTGGAATGACCACCCCCGCCGATCTGCATTCAAAGTGCATCACAAAAACATCTCTGACAACATCTTCCCAATTTCTATTTTCAGTAGCTTCTTGTCATAATTGCCTAAAATAACTTATATTCGGTCACTTACAAAGGTCAATTTGTTTTTGTGCCATCTTTATTCTTATTAAATGCATCCTTCCGCTGCTCTACAACGTCACTTTCACTTTGGCTTCCGAAGTTGCAAGTTGAGTGCATAATTGACTTTTTAATATTCATGTCTTAAACAATTTAAACAAAATTATGTGGGAAATTTAGGATCAAATGCATTAACCGAAGATAAGATCTGGCATGTAATCTCCTCCAATCGCCACATGATCAGATCGATTTCATAGTAGAAATTTGCTTTGCATGAGAGGGGGCACGGTGTGACAATGAGTCATTTGTATTTCGAAGGCTTGCTATCAGAAGATATTAGGTTCACATTATCCGTACAGGATCATATTAGTCAATTTCTGTCAGCACATCTGCATCACGTCACCACGTCTATCCTCAGATCATAATAATAAGTCGAGATTAGAGGCGCTGGAAGTGGAAACGGTGAGAAAACAACTTGAAAACGGCGAATATCTTCTGCACATCTTTAGTCTCATGGGCATTTTTGTTTAGTTTTATACTAGGTTACTTGTAGCTGATGTAGTTGGATAATGGACATTGACTCAAATCATTCAATCATTTTCTCAAATCATTTAACGACAACAATGCAACAAAACCATCTGTCGTGTCGTGGGGTTGCAGGACACCACATGCAGGAGATTGCGTGTGTATCTTCACATCAATATGTGTCCAACTGAATTCTTAGAATTACCTACAATTTTCCAAAGCATTAGAGTTGATATGAAACAGTCTATCACCTAATCTTGAAGTAAAAACGTAAGGAATCCATTCATACTGCCATTAGTCCTTGGACCACTCATGCCGGCCTGGAATTCCATAATCTTCCTATGCCATTCTGGAAATTCATAAATGATTTATTCTGTATGTATAACTCCACTAATCTGTCACCAATCATGAACGTTGAATTAAATTAACTACAATTTATTTTCTTAAACCTTAATCCCATCTCTTCATTCTATGGAAACTCATTTATAGCCAATGAAGTCAAATTATCACCTGCAGTATTTAGTATACTTTCTTGGTTATCGTTGTGGGAAGAACGTTCCTTGCTCGGTAATTACCCGAAAACCATTTTAACTTTGTCATTTGGAAAACTTGGTTGAAGCAAAATAGTATTTATCCCATATGCTTTCTGTCAGATTTTGTACAACGATACGAATGGTGTGAATCCGCGTTTTGAAGCGTCGCTTCACCAGGTCCAGAGACCAGCATGATACCATTAGCCTAAACACCGGATTCCCCTGGAATACCTTCAGGCATTCTCGATTGACTGGCTTGCACATGCGAGATTATCTTTCCCATCTGTGCTTGATATGCCCGTGCGGCGCTTGGCACCTCTGATATTGAGCAATAGCTGTATCACTGCGTCCTAATTTCATCCCGAAGACGAGTCTGATCAGCGCACGGAAGAACGCCTTCAATTCTAATTTACATTGCGGCATTTAAGCGTCTTTCACAGCTGTCTTTGTTGATTGGATAAATAATACCGTTCAAACGTAGGCAAGCATATCGGGTTAGCGACAGGTCGGCGAAACGGTCTGCTACAGGCAAACACACGAGCATTTGTGGTTAAGATAAATTATTGCCCAAATGAATTATAGAACAACCCAACATCGCGAGGACGAATTATTGTTGGCAAACAGCAGCAAAGACAAAGGCAAAGAGGATTTAGTTGAGAAGTCGAGCAAGTCTGACGACGATGCGACGAGAGTAGCGGAGGAGAAGCTTATAAACAATATAGAGTCGGAACACGCAACTTTCCACAAAGACCAACCGAAATCAGCTAAATCTGGCGATGCTAACCAGAACACAAGTTACCTAAGCAGCGATCTTAGCCAGATTCGAGACCCATATGCGAGTGCAGCATCCAATAAGTGGATTTCGTTCGACGAAACAAGCACAAGTCAAAATATTGAATATACAAAAAGTGAAGTCCCGGCGCCCGAACAAAACGCCTCTACAGCAAACAATAGCATCTTGGGGCCACTTTTCAGCGAAAGCGATTGGGTGAGATTCGAAAGCACACGAGGGAATGATGCTATCGGTACAATTCACACGACTTCGTCAAGAGATGATACTGTAAGTCATGCCTCGAGGGAAATTGCGACTCATGAATCCGATGGTAATTTGGGACTTCAGGATACGACAACAAACCCCTTCAGCAACTCAGAACTCGATCGCATTAGTTCGTTTTCAAAATTGCCTAAGAATTCAAATGGCATTCCTATTAAATCCACGCTATCTTCCAATGAAACATCTGGAGATCCAAATGGAACCCATGTTGTTAATAATGCGATGTTGACAGAGCAACGTCAGGGGAGTCAGATGAAGATGTTCTAAATTCACCTCTACCAGCATACCCTGTGAAAACCACAAGTACATCATGGTCTATGCTACTTCGCTATCCAGACACAAAGCGGCGGATCCGAGGTAGGGAATGGCGTCCTGTTATCGTCAAACTCAGTGGATCAATCCTACAGGTTTACAATGAGCATGATCCTTCAGGACCATTCCGAGAAGTTTCCTTGCAGTGTTTCTATGACCTAACCAAACCCAAGCTTCAGCAATATCAATGCAACAAGATGCACACCATTAAGATTGTTTATGTTAAATACAAAGAAACGAATAAGCTGATTTCTAAGAAAAATGTGCAGTATATTGCAAGGACCACACCTATACTGAAGATAGCCTCACCTAATCACACAGTTATCCAAGAGTTCACTGAAGTTGTACGACATGCCATGAGATCCTTGCCAATATTCAGAGATCGAGGGATCAGCCATAACACAGAGGCTGTGTATATAAATGTTCATGATACATGCACGGCTCTCATAGATGCAACTGGTTCTGTCCTGATGCTCGGAATCCTGGTACGGATATACCTCAGGGCCTTCATAAGTGGTGATGCTGAGTGCGAGTTGGTGTTGAACGACATCCACATGAAATCCAAAGAAGAAACAAGGCTCCGAGATGAATTGATGCCACAAAGAGTCCACAAATGGATCAAGTTGGAGGAATGTGATTTCCACAGCACTGTCAATTCCGGCATCTACAACCAGAATCGCTCTATCATGCTGCACCCCCTAGATTCCTGCACCTTTGAAGTGATGCAGTTCCGAGTTCGACCTGTAAAACCCCTTCCACTACTTGCGAAGTGCGAAATGGTTATCGACACACATGGCAGGGTAGAGTTGCATGCAGAGGTGAAGCTCTGCAGTGATCCTAAACTGGCGAGGTACGAGAGGAAGAATATTTGTCTATACTTTCAATACCAGATGCATGGATGCAGTTATTCATGAAGGAAAATCGATTCTGGGGTGAGAAGAGCATCACCTCAACCAATTCCCAGAAAGCCATCAAGATGAGAAACAGGAAGAATCGACCACTAACTACCATTGAGGTCTCAACAGGTTCTGCAAGATACGAGCCTGAGTATAGATCAATTGTTTGGCGAATTGACAGCCTTCCTCTCCTGAATACCACAGCCCCAGCTGATTCAACTCATGACTTCCTCTGCCATATACAAACTATGGACTCTTCTGGTTTACCTGAGGACTATAAGCCTGCATGTGTCATGGAGTATGAAGTTCCTTATACGGTTGCATCAGATACGAATGTGGTGAATTTCAAAGTTTTAGACAAGAAAATTAACACGAAAGAGGTGTCCTACCATACCTATTATACCTATGATATACAGATGGATATGCGAAGCCTTAATGGTGGGATTCATCATGACAGATGATACCTTATCAAGCCTGGACAATGACTATCAGATGGTAAGTTTTTATGACAAAAGTATTGATAATTGTAGATTATACAAGGGCTGCTTGCAGCCTGCAGTGTAATATTAATTATACGAGAAATACGAGGCGAGATTTAACAATGCAATGTCCTTTATTCACTCCTTAATTAAGGAGTGAATAAAGGACATTGCATTGGTAAATTGAGCCGAGTATTTTGAAGTATAATTCTACCTTATTATGACTGACCTGGGCAATCAGAGATTCTGTGACCACTGCAGTAAAATAGCTCCTTGTTTACCCCTTCCTCAATAGCACTTATGAGTGAGCTTCCTTTATGCTAATGTCTTCACCACCAAGCCTCACTTTAATGAAATACATTCACCTTACATCAAAGTGAGACTTGGTGGAAAAGATCAAGGGAAAACCCAGAGAATACTATAGTTTACCACTGCCTCTAATTCATAAATTTTGTTACCTAATCCATTAACATACTGAGTGTGGTTTAAAATGCTTTCTTCAACTTATAATGAGAACAGTTTCAAATTAATAGAGCTATATATATATCCTGTATATTTTTTTGCCATATGTTGTGGGAGAAGTTTGCCAGACAAATTATTTATGTTTAATCCTCCTAAAACCAGAATATTTAATCCTTTTTTATCACAAAAAGTGTTATCATTAAAATTTCATCTGTTCCTCTTTGGAGTACCTACCATATTCAACTTTATAGTTCAACCATTAATCATGAAAAATTACTAAATAAGTGGTTGGCAATATCTCAATACGATTTATGTTTTGAGTGTTGCCAAAGTCATGAGAGACAATGTCAATGTGGTTCTATAACTATTAAAATCCACCCGGCTGGCATTTTAATAGGGTCATGAATAAACATTCCATTTCATCCTCAGAGATGATTTATTTCTTTGATTAATTAATCTTTATCTAATATACATCTGTATATTAGAGTAAATTATCATTTGCGAACAACTCTTCCAAAACCGACGTAATATCACATCATGTGAAGCCCATGGCATGCTTGCATTAATTATTCAAGCCGAAAAACCGATAAACAATGTGTGAGAAGTATTGACTATTGTTTCGTCTATAACTAAAATGCGTCAAAGCTTTGGAAATTCATTCAATTTTAGCGATAATTTCTTTTTTTTTGTCAATTTTTTTTTGTCAATTCATAAATCAAAAATGCCACAAACACTTATGAAGTCTCTAATTATGGAACGATTTGTCGTTATTTGACTCTCTTAGTCACGTTCACCCATGCACCTTTCAATCCCTTTCAAATCACCTCGATGCTCGATTAATTTCCTTTTCTGCCCTTGAAGGCTATGCAAAATTGCTCAACTAAATCATGAACGATAGCCAGCTCAGTTGAAGCATTAGAAAATCTCTCTGCTGAGAAAATAATACAAGAACTGAATGTGAAGACCATGGTTCGATTGTGAATTATGACCTCGGACATTGAAAAATAAGAACTTAGAGTGAAGACTGGTTATGCTAACGCAATATTGAATGTTTTAAAAAAATTCTCGGTTGCCTTAAGAACGGTGAGAGTGCTGACAGTTCGACGCTAATTTTAAAAAAGTATTACAAGTGCCACTTGATATTGGTAAATGAAGGCATTTATCACCAAGTCGTGGACTGTCCACAATTACCACTGTTGTTTTGGTTAAAACTTAGTAGTGTGTGTCAGTGTGTCACCGCACTCCATAGTATTATTGATAAATTTTGCCTAGGTCCTCGATCAAGTCCATTCTTATCTGTGAAGTATGTTCTTTTCCCTAGCAAAAACTAATTTAGAAACTCATTAGACATCTCCTCAAATCACACGACAACAAAGTCAGTCCTCGGATCATTTATTATGACCTCTGCTATTGTCTTCTTTATTTTAAGTTTTATTTTAGTGTGATTACTAAAGCAGGGCAAGCCAGGGTTTGCTTAGTCTTAGAGTAATATTTTTTCCATTCAAATATCGCCATCTGGCGTGTGTGGTCGGATTCATTCAATTCATGTCAAGACGGGTACAGCGACCCAGTGATTTCGATGATAAAAAAATTAGACATCCGGTAGAATATGAAGTTGCAAACACCACATTTCTCCCATCAGTCGTTCCTTTACCACAACTTGCTCGCAATTCTTGGATTACTAGTTGTTAGCAAATAGTTAACTAAAGCTAAAACAACATTTGTTGTCAACATTAAGGCGGATTTCCACTTACAGCGAAATCGTTCGCCAGCGAAATACTTGCATGTTTTCTTTTGAATTTTAGCAGCATAAATAAATTAGTTCGACTTGACTGTTCTCAATTCAAAAGAAAATATGCAAATATTTCGCTAGCGAACGATTTCGCTGTAAGTGGAAATCCGCCTTTAAACAGGAAATCGAGTTCTTCCCATCTTTAATGACCCTGTACGGCCTCATGAACTGTTTTGCAAAAATGACTGATATTTTGGGCGAACGAGATAATTATCAGATTGGAATTTACATATTTTAATTAAAAAAAAATAATTGAATAAGTCATAGATTTCCCCAACGGTAATAAATTAGTTTTCAATACGAAATACTAAAGCGGGTAAAGCGGGTATAAACAGCAGCGAGACCAGACAAAAGCATCCGTCTTTGCGCTCTCCGAAACAAAGTCAGTGACAATCCTTTCAAGTCGTGGTCGTTTTCGATACATACCAGCGTCATTATCACAATGTTACCTGGTATTGACTATTGATTAATCTTCGTGGAATAGTGTACCAGAACGTATGCCTATCCCTGGGTTTATTTACCTCTAAACAAATAAGATTTGGAGCTGATTGATCCGTAACCAGCCGACACCGAGGTCATGCTAACCGGCTTTAAAACTTGGATTGAACCGGTTTGAACTAGAAGACGAATAATCTGAAAGCTCATTGTCTTGCAGGTCGTAATCAGTTTGTAGCCATTCCATCATTTTTTTTATTATCAGCATTTAATTGGTGTAGGCTTTCTCCCAGGGTTTATTGTATTTACTGACGCCATCGCCTGTTCCATTGTCTGTTCCCGACGCTATCGTTAAAGGATTATCAGGTCGTTGCTAATATTTGCAATCGCGCTGTTTTAATAGTTTTTAATTACATCTTCTTCGGGGCTTCCGAAGTTTGTTTAGCGTATATTGACGGCTCGTAGTGTCAAAATTGTTAAATGTTAATTTTATTAGCAGAAATAGAGATTCCTAATATTGCCTCGGTGTTTCTATAGCAAAATAGACGAACCTAAATTAACGTGATTCCTACTTGATATTACTATATCAGTTCTAAGTATATAACCAATATATTTCTATAGTTTATCATCTTCTATTGATCTTCTCTCACTAAACAAAAGAAATAATAGAATAAAACATTTTTACAGTATAGCTCTATAAGTTCGAAACTGTTCTTCCTCTAGGCCCGGTAAAGATCACGTTTAATCAGTTCGTTGTTACTGTAAGATGAACTACCCCTTCAAGCATATCTTGCCCCAGCTATGTTCTTCCCGTCCCCCCTCTCCCCAAAATCCGTGATATATATATATAGTCGTCCTATATATAACACATTCGCATGATTTTAATATGTCATTTTTTTTTCATTCAACAGCATCTATTGAAAGTCGGCTTTGGTCATGTTTTGGATTTATGTATAGATTATGCAAATTTCTGACTACCTCGTGACGCATGCAGAGCTATGAGATTGACCTGCTTACAGACAGAGAAGGATGATATGCGATATTTATGCATGTTGTGCATGCATTTTGTGCAGAATTGGACGATACGCACATGCACACTTGGTATCGTAACCATGATTTCTTAAAGCTAAAATCATCATTTTACTCCATGTTTTTAAATTAAAGTACACCAGGTCAAATACACAACCTGCAGAGTCTTGGAGACACGAAATTTCCTGATTTTTTTGACTGCCAATTTTGGTGGTACATTGAAGAACGTATATATACGATATTTGTGTTCTTTTGATTGTTGAAAAGTTTTAGTAAAATGCATAAAGTCATATAGAGATAATATATATAATATAATAATATAAATTATTCTGTATTCGTCTATTCTATTTTAAATGTATTGATCCTATGAATCTAAACTTAACTCCGATGTGCTGATTGAAGTCAGGGGAAATTTATATTAATTCAATCACAATAATTATGCATTCAAGCCTTGTTGTTGGTGGTGTAGCTGGTTGTGGTAGAATTGGTGTGACTAGGAAATTTCAATATAGTACCCAATTCTTGGTATGACCACTGAGCTATAATATAATGAGAACATTGGGGGCGTTTCTATAATAGGTCCTTTTCAAGCAACTTTCGTCACTTGTCTTTCCTTTGATCAGCCTGTTTCACAATGAAATGGCAAGCCAGTGAACTCAAATAAGACTTATTTGAGTTCACTGTGGCAAACTAACCCAGCATAATATGTGTTCCCTGAGCGGTGCCAAACGACGCCAATTTTGTTTGGAGTGAGGAGCATGGTACTAGCCACAACGTTTGGGTAAGGTCGTTAGGCTTACATGAAGTGTTTCATTTTAGTCAACACTCAACATTCAAGATGGCGGCAGCTGGAGGAGCGGGTGTTGTAAATATGCCCAATTCATCGGCTGGTAGCAAAGCAGTCCTAAGAATCAAGCGAAAAAGAAGTGCGGATCCAGCAGATATTTATGCGCTCATATCATGCCATTCAATCACCTTGTAGTGCAAGAAATCAAATCAAAAGTTGTGCTTTTAAAATGGCCAGATGTGTTATTTAGTGTTAACAGGTATTTTCGTTTCTGCAGTGGTTTCTCATGCCTTTAAGAAAGCTTTCACTGATGAAGATCATAAACGCTCCTCTAACGCAGATAACCCAGGTAGGTATTGAAAAAAAATGCGCTGTTGAATTAGCCATTAACTCTCAAGTTCAGTAGTTAGTAAATTATAAGCAACTTGCCGTATAATTGTTATCAAAAGTCTTTGCAAATACCAGTTCATTTTTTTTTCACAGGGCAAAGAGTCTTCAGACTTGCTGGAACGGTTTCAAAGAAAAATGACGAATCTTTATCTCAGGAGATTCTGGTAAGGTCAACTCCTGGCTTTAAATATCTTTCTCCAGACTTGAAATACCGGTCTTTGCTGCGATTAGTTTTGAAAATAAAGTCCATTCCTAAGAAAATAAACTGTCTATTTAGACCAAACTGTCAAGAAAGGATGTGCACAAATCCAAGGTTAAAATCAACCCGAAGAATGAGCTGACTGTTGATTCAATCAACGAGAAATTGAGAGAAACGAAAAAGGTTTGTTAAGGCTTCTTTACACTTGCAATTTTAGTATGTATAATATGTCTATGTATAACTGTTGGTGTGAGTTTGGCATACTAGTTGCAAACATGTACCATCTTGTCCTTCAGTTATCAAGGCAAGCGTCAAGATACAAAGTCATTTCCAAACACAGAGACGTCGAAGATGAAGTCGCTGACGAAGTTGATGCTGTGTCGCAAGAAATGTCCAGACTGTACAACCTGTACGACGTAGTGTTAGATGAAGATGAATCCAGGTAAAACTGCATGGTCTCAATATTATGCCCTGTATAGCACAACGATCTAACCGGGGACTTGTAGGAGATGAGAGTCGATCAACATTCTAATAAAATTACATATCCGAATTCGAGCAGTCTGTTCTCCAACGAATGTTATAGATGAGCCCTAATTTTGCCCCTATAATGTTGACAATTGGTGTAACGTCTGACTCATAATTTTAATCTGGTTATTCTTAATCTTATCATGCAGAGATGTAACGAAAAAAGAAAACAAGGAAGATATAGACCCGAATGCAATTTTATGCAATTCCGTCAAAATGATTCGTGAAAAACTTCGGATTGACGATAAACCGAAAAGTAACTTAGAAATCCTTGAAAATGACTTCGTCTATGATGTTTATTGTGCTGATGATAACTATGGTGCCTTATCTGAAGTGTAAGTATTTCTTTTCTGCATCGTTGTTTTCCCCCAGGAACATCTCTCTTAATGCTTTTTTACGTTAGGTTACAAATCCATATCCTAGACCTATATTTCTGTCGCGCACTTTCCCCCCCCCCTCTCTTCAGATTTTTCTTCATTATTTGAAGCGCGCCTCTCTCATATTTTTTTGTTACTCGACGATCTTTTTCGTCGAGTATACTGCTCCACAATCTCTCTTATTTTTTTATTTATTGAGAGTTACATGTATCTCTTTTACTGCCAGGTTGGATATTGTCCACTTAAACGAAAGTCAGTTAGTCACAACTGCTTCAGACGAGGAATTTAACTATTATGAAGACGACGACGATTCAAATGGTAAGGCTTGCTCACTCTTGTCCATGCAGGAACGTTGCATTCGTATGTGTGGAAGGCCAGTGGTTTCATTTCGATCCGCCATCCTGCACAGTCTCACTACAGTATGCTCATGTTTTGGGTATACTTTTTCCTCTATCGGATGTGAGAAAACTTAGATAAGTATTTCCAGATTTCTACTGTACTGGACATGGTTCTGCGTGTGCAGTCGACAGAGTCAATCTTGAGTTAGTGAAACTTGTTTCTCTGCACATGTATAGACGAAAACAATTGGCGAAATGATTATCCTGATGAGGATGAGTGGAATGAAAGTTCCGATGAAGAAACACGATACAGAAACAAAGAATTTGATTATGGTGTGTTTTGGTTTTTAGTTTTGATTGGTTAGGTAATTACAGCATTATAGAGATTAAGTTTTATGTAGTCTGATTAACAGGGAGAGCTAGATCCTTCACTTACTGCTTACCTCGGTGGCAATGAAGGCATATCTCTGACAATAATTTTTCTTCAAAGGTTACGACGGAGATAAAATGTTTTCTAAAGAATTATCAAGCGACGAAGAATTAGATTTTTACGGGTAAGGATTATAAGTGGCTGTTTATAACAGGCGAAACTCACGTTTGAGCTCTCCCAGGCGGCTTTCAAATGATTAGGAGCTAGTCAAAATACAAATGTATATTGTGCTTAAAATAAAGCTGATTTTCCAGGCTAGGTCTGTAGGTAGGCTAAGTAGATAGGTCTGTAAAAAGAATCGAAGAACCTCAGAAATGACTTTGAGTTTGAGAAAAGTCAATCTGCATTTCGTTTATTTCTTCCTAACAATGTTTCCCGTTTTATCACAACAGGAAAAACAACGATGAATATAATTACGAAATCGTCGATGACGACGAATACTATTAACCTCATCAAGTGTTTCCCTGGCAACCAGATTAACAGCGCTGGAATATCAGAACCTCGCAATTGTGGAATACATTCCTTCGACCGCAAACGAATACATTCCGAGGAGGATTTTGCATTTCTGGTATCATTTGCTTCGGCAGAGATAAGTGACGTTATCTTTACTTTTTGTCAAACCAAATCGTATGAAATCTGGTTGCTACAATCATAGCTGAAATCTTTCTAGTCTAATATTCCCCTGCCCCAGATAACCAATTGATTGTTCCGAATATTGCATCCATACTGTTCGGATATCGGAAACCTCAATATAATAATATTAGGTCGAATTTCAGCCTTTAATGTAAAGGCGGAACATTAGCACGAAAATGGAACATTGAAATGATTAATAATTACCTGTGATAATTTAAGTGATTATGTTTCAGTAAACATATCATATATGAAGTACATTGTCATCTCTGTTCCAAAAGAGCTTTCTCATAATGACGTCAATCGTGGAGAGCCTGTGATACACAAAGTTTGATTGGCTCAAGTAAACTTTGATAAAGAATTCACTGATTGGCTCAGCAAAACTAACGAGCCAATCAAACTTCGTGTAACATCAGGCTTTCTGCGCTTGACGTCATTATGAGAAAGTTATTTTTACCCAGGTCTTCCTGTTTAACCGAAATACGTCATTGAAGCATTAACGAAAGTCGTTGATCTTGTCATGAACAAAGTGGATTTGTTATTCCCGCAGTATTTTAAATTAAATTTAAAGTATTTTAAATTTATTTCACCACCGCACTTGCAATACCAAATAATGGAGATGTGTTATAGGTGTTTCACTGAGGGTATTCCCATAGCCCTTGGGAATTGAGAAGTGCTTTGAATGAATTTGATGGAAATTGGAGTTAATCTAGAATGTGCACGCTTTTTCAACATGCGGTTAAAAAAATGTGCACTTATCAAGTTAATCATGCACCAGGCTATGTTTGAAATAAATACATATTTCAAACTTCGGAATTCAGATTGACCTTCAGGAAATATTCGGAAGGATCAATTCGTTTGTGCGTGGAGCAAATTGGCAATGTAAGCGTTTTTTACATCTGCATGATGTACACCACATGACCCGTTTACAGAGAACCTTGTTTCTTGATAACAACATCCTGTGATTTCCCCACCCACGTCTGTTTCCGCACCTGACTTTGAAACAATGATGACTTTGATAAACAATGGTTGGCAGGAACTAATTCTTAGCTGAAACGAAGGCAAGCCAAAACGTGCACTTCGACATTACAATTTGTTACACTAAAAGTGAAACTCTTCCATGTTTGTTCTTGCCTGCCAAAAAATTACATCGGCGTAAAGCAGTGCTTAGTCGTATGACGACGACTCTTGGCTGCACGAGCTTACTTCCTTGGGATCTATTCCGATTTGAAGAAGCTGTTGTTAATATCTCGCCCACTTGCATTAAACAATTTTAACCGCCAAATTCACGGATAGTGGATTTGAAGAGTTATGTGTGTTCGCTTATGACATATTTTAAATTATTTACGTGTATTTCACCCTCATCAACTTAAGGTTTTACTGACCTACTTACTTATGTATAAAGTTAAACTAACATGCTCTTTTCAATGTCTGCTAGCTATTAAAATACTTGTCTCGGACACGCGCATTAATTAGAACTATTTCTTTTTCATGATTATTTGGTAAGTGAAACCGTTTAATTAATGGCGCGAGCTAACAAATCACGCTAACCGCTGATATTTAAGTGACGTTTGAATGTGTTTTCTGGTAATTGCACTGATGAAGGCCCGGGTTAACGGACCGAAAGCTTTGCAGTATTAAATACTTACGTGGTGTACCTACAAGCTAAAATACTTATCGACTGTCACCATGCAAACATACAAGAATATTAATAAACTAACATGCATAACCAATATTTAACAGGAAATGAAAAGAAAGGTTTTAGATCTTAAAGGTTTTAGGTTTTACAAAAAAGACATTCCCTTGCACAAAACTTCCGAAAAATTTCTTTTGCAAAAAACTTCCGAAAACTTCAAAGAATTTATTTATATTTCACTTCGTGGCATCAGGTATTTCAAAGACAAATCGCTGTTTTTCATTTCTTAAAAACTCTTTTATCTGATAATGGTAATCACTTGAAATTGAAAATATTATGAATATTTAAACAACAGGGCGCTAGTTTCGATATAGAAAGATATAAAGATGAGAGAACTACAGCTAGTGAAGATAGTTCAATATGCGTCAGGTCCCTGCGGTCAGTTTAATTCCCCGGTATAATATCGTAACTAGCCAACATTTGCAAAACAGCATTGTAAAAAAGTGCAGACTGTGAAATTCAAATTGGCTCGCAATTGTTGTGAGTTGAATAGCTTTTCGATGTGAATTCAAAGGAATATAGCTAATTTGTATCCGAATTTTTAGTACTGTCAAAGTACCGTTTGGAAGCATGGCATTTAGTTTGTGCTGAATTGCCCTGGAAAATGGGCTAAAATCCAAGTATTTCTACACAATGTCTATTGGCTCTCATTATTATCTTTTTTATTAGTGAAGATCATGTATTGCATGTAGTCAGCCCAACAATTTAGTCGTACTATACCAATATGTTAATGTTCATTGACTGTCAAAACAATAAATTTCTAAAGAAATGAATAATGATAATAACATAAAATTTGTATAGCATGACTAAATCGTCAGGCTGCCTACGCCGCTGCCAATTTGATTAAACTCGCAGATATGAAACATTCCAACTTATATTTCTATATCGCCGAAGTTTGCAAAGAATAGTTTAGACTCGGGTTAAGTCCTCTTACTAGATTGCTTGCCTATATATAGTCTCGTATATAGTTTAGGTCAACAAATTTCCGTATGCAGGCCCTCGACATAATGAGGTGAATTTAATAAAATAACATTCAAGCGCGTTTGTAATCGCTGTTATCGCTTAAATCAACAGTTTATTGACAAATATTGTCATGATGCTTTTGCAAATCAACGAAGCACAACCGAGGCTAATACGTGTGTTAATCATTTCTTATTAAATTTTACATTTATTGACCCTTTGGATGGGATTCCTGAAAAGCCACAAGTTATGATAAACCTTGCTGCATCGTAGCTTCCGTAGTATCGCGTGCAGGAAAGACTCGGAGAGCATTCCTAGTATAACTATCACTGTCTCACATCCTCTGTGGCAATTATAACGAAAACACGCACGATGATAACGAAAGAACAACAAGACAGTAATAATGCAATCTCCGAGTACGACTGGCATATACCTGTCGCGTGTGTATTAAATTTCGGGTTGTTTAATTTTCTAAAGTGTTTCGTGACGTGTTTGACCTTACAGCCGCAAGAAGGAGGAGAATTCATCAAAAACTAATATTGTTCAACGCTGCGCTGTCGATGACGAAATGTGCTCGAGCTCATTTTAATATTGTTTCCCTTTGGGGTCTGGTTCCGGATCAGCGTGCATATATAGCCAGTGTCTTATTTCCGTCTCACACACACACAAGCAGCGCCAACGTAATTGCTGACAAATCAGACGGTAGTCAGGAGTATTGTTGTGGTACCAGTTACTAGCAGATTCATACCACCAGTTTAAAGATATAAAATATACAAGTTGGACGCTAAATTTTGTCAACACGTTGGTCTTTGGTTCCGGCTTCGGGATCTAAATGCCGAGATCCTGGCTTCATCGCCAAACTCGCTGTCGTAATAAGATGCCAACAGAGTTAACTATACTTCGTGGTAAAAATCCGTCGAACGAACACCCAAACTTTATCTCAGGCGAGAGTTCTCACGTCGCAGCCCATTGTAAAGGACGGCTGGTCTCACAAAATGGACGAATCAAGGTGGCAAATTCAAACGTGCCCGGGAAACACGAGCGATACATTGACGACTTATTCACGACTATTCTAGATATGCCCTTTAGATGGATACTTGGTATTTATTCGATGGTGTACCTGGCTAGTTGGTTAGGGTTTGGCACAATTTGGTTTATTATACACCGCGTACGTGAATCAAAAGGCTACGACGAGTACTATTGTGTCGAGAAAGTTGATAGTTGGACGTCGGCGTTTCTCTTCTCCATTGAAACTCAAACAACAATAGGTTACGGCGGCAGACAGGTTAGTTGTATTTTAAAATTGTTTTTGAAGATAGAATTTAGATTCATCCGTTGGTGGTCGGTCACTGCATTCACTAATTGTGAAATATTTACACCTCAAGGTCAACATGGAAAATATTCGCTGCCGTGTTACCTTAATATTGCGTTTACTTAAAATATTTCGCTATTTGTATTAGAAAGGCGGTATTATTTGACATAATAAACCGTGTCTTCGGTAAGAAACGCACGTCTTTAATCCCGGCAGGTGAGAAACGGCATCTACGGCGAAGCTCGAGTCTTCGCCAAACAGTATTTTATTTTGTATGTGTACGAACATCAACTCTCCAGTCAATAGCACGTAATATTGCGATATAAAGTGCTCTATTTGTAACTAGCGAGTTTTGCCATAGTTACTCTAGACTTAAGGCTACTGTAGTCTCGTGTATTACCATGTATGTCATGCATGGAGAAATATCAACAAGAGGTTATTGAGCCTTCATTTAACAATTTTTCAATTTAAAAACTTCACATTAAGTTCGCTATAAAGTCTCAAGCCGAAAGGATAGGGGGCCCTAGCTAGCTCAATTTCTCGTGAAGAATATTGCTGGACAAAAGCAAATCCACCAATTCTGAACTTTCTCTGTTCGCCAATATTTTGTTATGTCTTACGACCTTCCTTTATACAACAAGAGATAACGTGGCCATTCATGCGTCTACTCGTTTTATTAAACTATGTTGTAATTGTTTCTCATTTGACGCAAACACTGGTTTTATCACTGCTACAGATCTACGAAACTATAAAGATAAGCTGTAAACGATGTAACGAAATATTCACTTATCCCCCTCCCCGCGCTTCTAACAATATTCGCGGCACCGCGATACACGAGTGAAACATGTTATAAAAATGTAAGACCTGGACACACTTGTTTTGAAAGACGAAATAGACACTTGTGCACTAGAAACATGCAGAGGTTTAGACTGCCATCATTAGAATCTCTCAACGTAACTTGCTATTCCAACCGAACCAATTTAGCTAAAATCTTTCCTTGGCCATATTATAAACGAGAGGGTTTGGATTAAATCTACAACTCCCAAAATAGATGCTTCGCCGAACGATAAGATGAAATTGTCAAATTGAGGGTTTCTACTTTAAAGTTCGTCAATTCCAGGAGTTCTCTAGTATAAGGTAATGCCTCGTATTCACGAGTTGCAACGTCAATACATGTTTGTTGTTGCGTATGTGCTATGCGAATGACGAAATGTTGGCCGACAAAATGTTCCCCTAATTTGATCCTTGCAATATTCTCAATTTCAAGTATCATGCCTGGAGGGAATCGTCATTAAATTCGATACCATGACATGTGAATCTACTACTCCGTGCTGCGATGATATTTTAAGACATTACCGAAATCCTAGCATTAAGATATGATGACCCCCTTGGATACAACTGTCGCAGCTAGAAGAGCTTATAGACATGCATGGAGTGTATTATTAATGTATCCATCATACACCCTGTTTATTTGAATATTTCATTCTTAAATTCCCCGTAAATTTGCTGTGTTGTTGATTTGTGAAACAGGACAATTTGTATGCTGAGTGATTGTATTAAGCTGCGTTTACACCGTGGTATTTCTCAATGTGTGAGCTTCCGAACACTAACCTTGATAATACTAAGCCTATTGCGCGACTTAAAAACGGGCAAACTTTGCAGCAATCGTTACGATATGTTGTCTCTTCTTCACATAAAGAACTAGGAATGGTCTTGAAAATTTCCAAATCGAAAAGGTTGTTCTTTTTACAAAGAGTAAATAAGCTGCGTATTTATGCCCTCAGTGAAATTATCATCTCGATTATATCTGTCAGCAATCATCAATTCTCCCTATTACGATCAAATTCCGCCTGACAAGACAGTGATAAAAGTTTGTTCTGTACATCATGAGTTGAAAAATAATCATTGCCTAATATATTGAATTTCCAACGCGCGCATGAGGGAACAGAATATTCACTCCTTGTGTTATTGTATAAAGTCTTGAGAGGCTAAGAGCTTTCTGTCTTCCACAAAGAACACCGTGGCACCTGCTAGAGATTCAATTTGGTGTATTTGGATTATATTGGTGAAGAAAACGTACTCTATATAGGAAGCTTTGCTGTGTTTTCGTCGGGAGGTAATGATATTGCTTGTGCGCATGCAAAATAGCGTGACTGGACGGAGCAGAAATTGCTATATAAATGATGTGCCGCAAGCGTTTAGCAATATTCGTCATTCCCGCACGCTATATAGTCGTGCATGTGAATCTTGAATGGCAAACACGTCAGGTCAGGGAAATGTGAAATCTTATGCTGGCCCAACCTGACCTGCCCTTAGCGGTGGAACAAATGTAAGCTTGTCAACTTCCTACTGAAAACTCTTTTCTGACACTTCTAAGCCTAAGGAGTTTCGAAATAGTGATTTGGTGCCCTTTGAATTTCTCAGGGATTCGTGCATTTTTCAAAGAGGATTTGGAGACTCTAGGTGTTAGAGGTTTTTCCCAACTCCGTTACCTGAGTGTATTTCCCACGCAGGATATTGGAATTTTTATGGCGCATTCCAAACAGAATCCTGACCTAACTGCATCATTGTTATGCTAAATAATATATAAACATCGTTTGTGTTTAGAATCAAGTAGCTAAATCCCGTCCTTACACCAAATTTTTTAACTGCTAGAAACTTCCCTCAGAGACATGTTTTCAATGCTTCATTGTCCCGTTGTTATTAACGGAGCGACTGGTTTTATTCGAAATAGTTTCAAACCCACAATGTAAAATTTTATTGTGTGACGCAGGAAATGTTTCAATGATGTCTTGCGTGAGAACTTGGATTATTTTTCTCGCAATTCGATTCCGCCGAATTAAAAAGATGAGATGTCATGAATTTTCAGCACCTGCGGGGGATTTAATGTGCGTGTCAGCTTTATTGCTTGCTTCTTTATCGTCACCTCTTTATCCCTCTCGAAGTTGTCAAGGAAATACCAAAACCACCGTGTCATAATAATGTCATTAGAGGTATCTTGCTAGATGTTATTTCAATGTCGATGTTTTGATGGACTTTTTCCGCAATTACGACAAATAATGTCATTTTTGGTGACCAGGTGCTTTTAAGGTCTTTAGAAAGCAAAGTTGTTAGTCGTGTGAGGCAGGATAGATGTTTTACAATCATAACTGAAAACACTTCAGTTCAAGCAGATTAGCAAATCCCTTTAATGTCCTCACGAAATAATGCACTTTAACTATTCCGCGCCAACAATCCTCCTCGAAATCTATCAAGATTTGAATACAGAAGTAGAGACATATATTTAAATGGCTGTGTGCCGTAAAGAGATAAGTCACGCATTCCTCCTTGCTCGCTCGTAAAATAAACTAGCATCCATACCAAGACTTAATTGCCTTTGAACAGCGAAGGGAGGAAGACGAAATGTTTAAAACACGCCGGCCTGATGAAAAATAAACAATGTTATGCTGCAGTATATGAAAATACTTGTCGTCGGCATGCCAAGGTGGTGAATGATGTGATAGAGTATTTCTTTCAATTCTTTGTGTGTGCAGAGTCAATAATGAGCGATTTGAATACTGAAGTAGAGAGAAGTTTACATCCAGACTTTTTCTTATCGGTGAAAATAACTTTTACTTGAATGACTTCACGACAACTACAGCGAATGGAAACCAGGGCCTACCAGGCTAAACAATTATAGCTATTACACATTGTTCAATCATGTTGGCTACTCGTTTGTGATATGTATTCTAGGTTCTCAGTAATATTGGCTGCTTTTCTATTCAAGGGCCGATTGTACGAAAGGATAGTTAACTTAATAGTTTTGTGTCTCATATATTATCTATATACGTCCCACTTACGGAGCAGCTTAAGCGAAAGTGGCCAGCTTAGTCAAGTAAAGTTCTATCTTATCCTAGCCTCCCTGGCATCATTCAAAATCAACTTGTGCGTTTTTACAATATAAATTAAAATCCAAACACCCCAACTCTCTCAAGTACGTTTTCCAATAAAGCGCCTGGGTACGAGGCTGCTCTCAAGTCATATGGATCACTGCATTGACCGGTTGTTTGAAAGGTTCATAGATAAAGTTATCCACATGTTTTAAAGCTACATATATCAAATTTATAATTATGAAAAACTACTTCAACTTTAAAATTGTGAAGTTAAATCTTGGCTATGCTGAAGGGTGTGAAGAATTTTAATTTTTGAAATAATCATCATCCAATAAAAAACTTTATCCATCTTTCGAGCAAACATCCCTAGAGATAGTAGCTTTGATTTTGAATTTTTCAGTGTCCTGAGTGGTTTCATTATATCACTGTGCATGTCATGGTGTCTCTAACCTCATCTACTTATTTTTCTTCAAGGTGACACCAAACTGTCCGGAAGGTGTGGTACTTCTTTTAATTCAGACTTTAGTTGGCTCATTTATAGCCGCGACTTTACTGGGGATCGTGTTCGCCAAAGCATCGAGGCCTAAAAAACGCTCACGAACTGTGCTATTTTCTGAGAAAGCCGTGATAGGAATGAGGGACGATAATCTCTGCCTCATGTTTCGAGTCGCTGACCTCAGGGCATCGCAATTACTGGAATGTCACATACAAGTGGAGATGTTTTATACACGTCAGACAAACGAGGGAGAGTTGCCGTATTTCCACGAAAAATTGAGCATCGGTAATGGATTTGAGTCTGAAGGTGAAGGCGAAGAGATATATTATACCTTTATGATAATACCAAACACAATTGCACACGTTATTAACAAAGATAGTCCGCTTTACTCCATGAGTAGTTTGGATATGCTTAAAGCGAATGTTGAATTGGTCGTGTTTTTGGAAGGGGTCATCGAAAGTACAGGCTTGACGATGCAAGCTAGAACGTCTTACACAGCAAATGAAATTGTCTGGGGATGTAATTTCGTTCCAATGCCTCGCCATGATGATTTGTTTTTCAAAGGGGAACTCGAGGTCGATTTTTGCCATTTTAATAAATTTCAGCCGGTTAGTAAAATGCCTGTGTGTTCGCGAGGGATCATGAACTCGGAAGACGAGACGAAAGGGGAAGAGAGTGCTAGCGATGGATAGAAGAGGTGATAATGGTCACGGCGGTGCAAATGGGGTGAATAAGGAGCAGAATGCTTTACCTGGGGTGAAGAATGAACAGAAGAACGGACAGGAGAAGGAAGTTGTGTCTATGTCAAGGTCTAAAGACGGATGCGAGGTGTTTCAAAATGGATTGGTGACTCAAGTTTATCGGATATAAAGTTGCATCATTGGGCAAATTGCGGAAATTGAAGACGATCAGCCTGAGTAGGAACGAGAACCAGCGGTGTGTCGTTTGTCCTTTTTGTAACCTCAGCTAAGAGAGTCTGAGACTTGTCAATACTAACATTAATCTGTTGCTAATTAAAATAAGTTGCTGCAGATTTTTGCAACTCTAAAAGATATAAATCAAAATGAATTTCATTCACTCAATTTACAAATCATCCCATCGTATTCACTCGCGCTGTTGCCTATAAAGGGTCTAACTCTTTGCAACCTATATCATTGCTTAACATTAATTTCATCCTATAATATATTTCAAGCCAAAATATAACATATAATCATCCCCAAATACAACGATGATATAGTATTTATTGTAGCCAAAACCACACTCAACCATCGTTTTGTTTATACGCTTTGCCTTGTCTAAAATTAATCATATAATGTATAACAGTAATACCAATCTAATCCTTGCTTGCAATCTCTTGTATACAAATGCTATTCGTATTTATTTAATTTAATCGACCCAAATTTTATATTGTTAAAATCAAGGGAGTTTGCGGGGGGTGGGGGGTGTCCTTTTGTAATGCGGTATATATATGTAATATTTCTCAAATGATTGTGAACTTAATTTTGTAATATCACTGCCAATTCAGCTGAAAATAAAGTCAACGCAAATGCTTGCAATTTTCATTCTGTTTTATTTCTTAAATTTCACAAGTATCAGATTAGTCATAACATGATACCCTTCTGATTTTTTATGAAATAACATAGTCAAAGGAGAACCTATAGTATCCCAGTTAACCTAACATTTAGAAAAAAACTACGAGGTAGCATGTTGTTACCCCTTCCCCCCTGTATATTCTAACCAAACCATAAGCACTCCAGGTAGACTGTTCCTTCTTGTACATCGTGGTATTTTACCAACAAATCCAGCGATCTTAGAACAAGGAGTAGGTGTTACATCTTCATACATTGTTTCTAAATGCGCCAGATCGAAGATGGATTTGTATCATGTTGTTCTTCCTTTTTCTTTGATCAATAAAGCCTGGCCAACATATCGCACTATCAATCGAGCCTTTGTTCTCCCGTAGTCTGACGTCTGAGTCTCCCGGGGACGGGCAATCTACGGGAATCTTGAAGACTTCGAATCAGATTTGCGATCATTAAGAAGAAAATTTCAGACTATATCCCCATATATCCTGGATTCATCCTCAAACCTCGTATATACCCCCATTCTGTATATAAACGGGAAAGCAATCCTATCTCCCGATGTTACGTTCATTCAGTAAACGTCCCCCAGTCTTCCTCGTTATAAAGGTCATCCGGGTCTTCCACGTTGTGCAACGTGATTGGACAACCCTCAGTCACGTGATCCATTACCTTTTGTTTGAGATCGCATATTTGTTGTTTTAATGCGTTCGCCAGAGTACTCAGTTCCACGTTTCTTGATCTCAAGTCTTTCACGGTTGACTCCAGAACTGCTTCCTTCTCAAGTTTCCTCTTCCGACATTTCGACGAGGCAACTCGATTTCTTTGTTTTTTTCTTTCCCGTTTCACCATCTCTTGCATCTCGAGGTCGATGGGCTGCAGCGTCGAGTTTCCGCCAAAAATTGCCGAATCGTCCAGTTTAAAAACTTGCGACGGAAACGCGGAGTTTGTCGCGAGCACGTTATTGTATGCCGTGAGCGCGCGTAACTGATTGACGGCGTCGTGATCTTCCGTAGGATGTCGTAATGGCGTCGTGTAGAGCTGCCCGGTTGTATTCGGAAGTAAAGCGTTCGTCGGATAACTTGGAAGAACATAAGTCTGCCCTAATTGTTTGTCTGTATTATTTTCTGACGAAACTGGGCAAAAGTTTTGGGTGTTTGGATATTTTTCCCTACCACTCGCAACTGTGATTACCCCATTTGCATCCGTAGTTAGGTAAAGTTGATCTGTTGAGCTTGCCGTTTCTTCCACATAGCTCGTATGAATCTGAGGTATAATAGACTTCATTGTCTCCGTGTTTTCCTGCCTATCATGAAGTTCCTGTAAGACCTCTGGTAAGCCTTTTGCGAAGCCCACTTGTTCGCTTGTTATTGCGTTTACTGCACGTGTGCTGACGAAGGACTTTCGTTCCCGATTGAAACGCAAGCAACATCTTCTCCAGGTCGGGCGAAGCAAGTTTTAAGATTCCAAATCAGGTGAATGTATCTCTGTGGGTACGTTGTTTCGACGTATTTGCCCAAGTCTTGGATTTTGGTGTATTCTGTATGTAAGTTCAAGTGTAAGCCTCCCTTCTCGTATGTAAGAGGCGAGTTTACTTGAGTCGGCAGTGGTTCTTCGTGATAAAAATGAGCCTCATGCATTTCCTCCATTTGTCCTGGTTCCCGAAACATACCGTAGATGAAGTCGAAGAGTGCCTTTAATATTCCCTCCTACTACAAGGGCTGCATTGTTTTTACAAAACGCTTTTTAATCCCGGCAAAATGTCCAAAAGCATAAATTCCAAAAGCTTGATCTTTGCCATGATTTTTCACGGTTATGGGCATCACAAAACAATCCTCTTTCGGTTCAGTGAGCAGGATACTTGGTTTGTGAGGTCATTCTCTCTTTGGTTTAAACCTACTGCCAATCTCGGAGATTGGGGCAATCCTATTGGCTGGATTTCTGGTCGCTGGTTAATGATTAATGCAGGGAACATGATTTGCTCGATAAAGTGTGACAGACAGCAGGTAGAACTAAATGCTTCTCTTCTTCAACACTGCACGAAACGGCGATTGTTGCACAAAACGAATCTGTTGAATTCCATAATGGGATTAGTATCGTCCCATTCATCATCTTGGGAAACAACGGATCGGAATAGAACGTTATGTTATTCTGTCGAAATATAGCAATTTGTGGCTTTAGGTGATTTTAAAAAGTTATATTGTAGGTTTTAGACTGCAGGTACCTATCTTTCCTCTTTTTGTAAAATTAAATTGCGATAGAGGGAATATATATTCTCTTTCTTAAACCGGTGAACTAATACTCGTCTCCTTAATGATCTTGCTCCTGTTGTTCAAAACTCGGTTACGTTAACCCCGGGTTAACGCAAATCTTTATATTAATCTTTTTAATCGCTTAGGCTTTAAGTTGGAGTCTGTTAAATCAGTAGTTATAACTCCAAAATACACGTTTCTGATTGGCTATAATTTTGACACAAACTTAAGTCCCAAGTGAACTACTTTATTATGCCATCGGCCCTTAGTTCATCAACTGATAAATATGAATTTGTATTTGGTTAGCTTTTCCATCCAACAAACATCACAGTTTCTTGTTCGTTGTATTACTGCGATATAATACAGTCTTTTTAAAACTAAATTTAGGCACAGCTTTGCCAAATCTCCAGTTGTTTATAGCCGTATAAAGAAACGTGACTGTCCTCGGCAGTAAGGTTGTAACTGCAGGATATTTCAATGAAATCCTCGTTTTAATGGCGCGTCGAAACGAAATTCTTAATTTGTATTTCACATTTCTGCACCGGTTGATTGCTTCGTATGTCTCCGTAGCATTTTGCCAACGTCCGGGGCGTATTTGTATCGTTTTAACTCGAGCAATTATCACCAGACAAGGCTTATCAAGAAACTGTGTCTGAGGTTTCATCCCTAAAGTAGCTTGTGAAGTCACCTTTGAAAACAATTTCCTCCTCCACAAGGTGTTGTTAGTTTTATAAGGATGACATGCGCACAGCTTTGGATCAACGCCCGTATCCGAGCATATTTCATACTCATTAAACCGGGATACACGAACCAGATTATTCAAAATTATACCATGCTCACCTTGTTTCATGGGAAACGTCAATTCGACGTCAAAAATTTCCGGAGTCTTTCGGTCAATCGGTTTTGCCAGTAAAGTGAACAATAACTTCTGGTTGATGCCAACGACGACTTGCCGCGCATTTGCCACACCCGTAATTACATACCGCTGACATGCGCCGTAACCAAAGAATTTAGACGTGACCATCTTTTCCAGCTGAGTCTTCAGAGTTGTCGTGTACTGTTTCTGAATTCTGTTATTTAAGGTTCCCAGCACAAACTCAGCCGCCCACCTGACTGCGTCAGTGTCGTTCGAGATCGTGTTCTCCATGCCATCGCACAGGCATAATGCAACGGAACTTATTTTCATTTCTTTGCAAGTGCGGTTTAAAGGTACTGGTCTAAATAAACCTTGCAGATGTGATTTTATTAGAGGTCCATCAAGTCCTTCCTCTTCCCTAAAAGTTTTTGAAATTGGGTCAGCGAACGCAGCTAAATGTTTCGAATTAGAACCTGCAGTGTCCTGGTTGGAATGATTTGGGTTCGAGGCTAAGCTTTCAGCCCACACGCGAAGTTCTATAATCGAGACCAATGAATTGTACAGATCTTCAACGCCTACCAAACGATTTTGGTTGAGCACCAATGCATTCATTGCTTCTGAACTAAGCAACTTGCTGACTTCGTGTGGAATGATCATAAACAACAAAGGTTGGAAGACCTCCTCTCTTCCTTGTGTTGAATATGCTGCAAAATTAATCACTTTTCCGCCATGGTCTGAGGCAAAGATCGTCAAAGTGTTTCGTAAATGTGCTGCGTGTCGAAATAACTCTGAAAGACTTTCGTCATCATTGACTATACGTCTTCCATTAGTATCGTGTGATGTCAACACATGTGTATACGCTATGAACGGCTGATCGGCTATATCATTGAGCTCTGTGTACTTTTTCACATACTCCAAGAAGAATGATGCATAATGCCTCCCAGCGAAGCAAACGTTTGGAACAGTTTTCGAATTATAAGGGTTTGTCACTTTAAACTTTCTGTAAACATCACAAGTTAATATAGACATCCCATAATCATCAACCACCTTTCCACGACCCGATAGTTGAACAAGCTGAACAAAATCCTTCCATCTGCTAAGCCGCTCCATCTCGCTCTTAACTGGACCTATGTTTTCACGTGGATCCATGAACGAACCCCACGAGTCATACCAACAGGCATCTTCTTGAAGCAATGTACTATACCCTGCGTTTTTATATCGAGCAAACATCTCTTCGATTCCATGCGTACAGTTGAACGTGCTACCATTTGCTTTAAATTCCTCGACAGTATATTTGCAGTTCTTTTTAACGTGTAAGTATTTTCGTCCTGCAAACAGTCTCTGAAGGTTTTTATATGTGTTTGTTTCATAGCCTTGAACCTTTTCAAACTCCAGGAGGGTCGATGGAATTGTTTGATTATAAACAATATCTCTAAAAGTCGACGCAGTTTTTAAGAGAGTTCTGTAAAAGTGCGCGCGAGATAACGAGTCCTCAACTACGATGTTGATATTGAATGGTCTTCTCTTATTCAGCCTTCGAGAAGGTTTAGCCCGTTTTAAAATAGTTGGAAAACTTAAGACCTGGGTACCTTTCCCGCATTTTAACAATGCAAATCCGGGCCCAAAGGTTGAAGACAGAATGTGTTGTTTAAGTTGCGCATTTAAGTTGTCTGTATTATTCAATTTGCGCCATGTAACTTTTCCCATCTTTTCATTAAACAGTCCAAGTAAAATAGTTTTTCCTCTGCAGTGACTATCATTGCATGATACTTGGACTTGCTCTCTTTTGTAATTTTCCCCACCAGATATGGAACATATTTTAACAGCATCTTCAATATCGCACTTCCCTGGTGTCATTGTTCCGTGAGGACCGAAATATTTGATCACGTCTTCGCAATCACGAGAAGTTGACTTTCTTCTACGACACTCTGGAACCAGGGTTTTAGAATCACTCTTTTCCCTTGGCTTTCTTATTCCCCGATATGGGCACGAAGAGTATGCTGGAAAGGCTCTGTTGTTTGACTCATGCGTGTCGTCGTGTAGCATTGCCTCAAAAGTGTGATAGGTTGGGTAATCAGAGTGGATTGGTTGAACTTGCTCGTTTGAACTACTGGGTTCTTTTACGATGTCTTCACTGTCATCTTTTTCAACAATGGAGAGCCTCAAATTAATTGAGGAACGGAATGCTGTAACATAATTTTGAATTTTTTTCTAATTGATATTATCCAATATTTTCAGTATTGATATACTAATGCGTGATTCCTATATTTACTGTCTAAAATCTAATCAATAAAGTAAATATAATTGATGTAATCAATATCTTCGCTCTGCGTGAAATAATTACCGATATTTCCTTTCATTCTCAGAATAATATCCAACATTTTGTAGTTAAATATAAACACGAATGTGGCAGACAGAGCAACTAAAATTATGACCTAAAAATAATAAACATTGCATTGATATCTTCATAATAAATCGATTAGAATTATATCTACCGTTTATTATAGGTTAATTCTAGTGTAATTTTGCAAGATATCGTCATATAGGGCTGAGTGAAAAGTTACAAAAACATTACTTCGAAAAACGACAACTTGTAAACTCAAGATATGAGCTATAACAACAAGACAAGAATTTTAAAGTGATATATTTCGACTTTATTTCAAAGTCATTTTTAAACCATTGTCATTCTGGTTTGACAATGACTTTGAAATAAAGTCGAAATATCGCTTTAAAATTCTTGTCTTGTTGTTATAGCTCATAATTATCTTGAGTTTACAAGATGTTATTTTCGGAGTAATGTTTTCACCTATATTTTATCAAATTATCAGTGGAAAGTTATTACCCATTGTTTATTATCTTTGCCATCTTCAAATTTGTGCCCAAGAAATAATAAACACATTCGCTACATGCTTTATAAAAATGTTATTATTTAATTATTTTTGTGGAAATGCTCTTATAACTCACCAGTTTTGCGAATTTCATCTTAAACTTTTCGATTAGTAGTTGCTTTCATCCTCTTTGACAATAAAGGTCACATTTAAACAGATATAACCTGACAGGTAGCACACTTCAATACTTGTCTACCAGTTGGGTTTATCCAATCAGTGTAGAATTCAGCTAGATGAAATAGTAGCGAAGCCAGTCCGACAAAATTGTGTCGCTGTGCAAGTATATTTTCGTGTTAATTGACTTTGAAAATATATTAATTTCTGAAGAATTGAATAATGGTATAACTTTTAATTTGCATAGAGACACTTAATCGTCGAGCTGGCTACTTTACTGGCTCGATATACCGGGGGCCGGTTGTATGAAACCCGTTTATAGCTGAAACGACGGATAAGTCAAAATTAAATAACACTTTTACATCTCTTTTGAATGAATCAACTTGAATATTATGCACTGAATATGTAGTTGAAACAGTATCGTTGTATTAGGGTTAAAAACATTTTGTTTGCTTCTTGAATAAAACGATAGACTTGATTTCTATTTTGAACTTAACCAGCGTTTAAGCTAAATGAGCTTGATACAACTGGTCCGAGTCTTTAAAAAATAACTTCCCATTGAGATCATGCTTTTTTAATAATCGTTGTTGTGCATGTTTATAAAATACATAACTTAGAGTCTGTTAAATCGTAGTTAATTCCAAAATGCTCGTTTCTGATTGTCCAGAAACTGATAAATATGAATTTGTATTTTTTAGCTTTTCCATCCAACAAACATTACAGTTTCTTCTTCGTTGTATTATTACTGCGATATAATACAGTCTTTTTAAAACTAAATTTAGGCACAGCTTTGCCAAATATCCAGTTGTTTATAGCCGTATAAAGAAACGTGACTGTCTTCGGCAGTAAGGTTACAATTGCAGGATATTTCAATGAAATCCTCATTTTATAGATGCGTTTAAAAGAAATTTTTAATTTGTATTTCACATTTCTGCACCGGTTGATTGCTTCGTATGTCTCCGTGGCATTTTGCCAACGTCCGGGGCGTATTTCTGTCTTTGTAACTCGAGCAATTATCAAAAGACACGGCTTATCAAGAAACTGTGTCTGAGGTTTCATTCCCAAAATGGCTTGTGAAGTCACCATCGAAAACAATTTCCTCCTCCACAAGGTGTTGTTAGTTTTATAAGGATGACATGCGCACAGCTTTGGATCAACGCCCGTATCCGAGCATATTTCATACTCATTAAACCGGGATACACGAACCAGATTATTCAAAATTATACCATGTTCACCTTGTTTCATGGGAAACGTCAATTCGACGTCAAAAATTTCCGCAGTTTTTCGGTCATTGGGTTTTGCCAGCAAAGTGAACAATAACTTCTGGTTGATGCCAACGACGACTTGGCGAGCATTTGTCACAACCGTGGCTACGTACCGCTGACATGCGCCGTAACCAAAGAATTTAGACGTAGCCATCTTTCCCAGCTGAGACTTCAGATTTGTCGTGTACTGTTTCTGAATTCTGTTATTTAAGGTTCCTAGCGCAAATTCAGCCGCCCACCTGACTGCGTCAGTGTCGTTCGAGATTGTGTTTTCCATGCCATCGCACAGGCATAATGCAACCGAACTTATTTTCATTTCTTTGCAAGTGCGGTTTAAAAATACTGGTCTAAATAAACCTTGCAGATGTGATTTTATCTGAGGTCCATCAAGCCCTTCCTCTTCCCTAGACGTTTTTGAAATTGGGTCAGCGAACGCAACCGAATGCTTCGGATTAGAACCTGCAGTGTTCTGGTTGGAATGATTTGGGTTCGAGGCTAAGCTTTCAGCCCACACGCGAAGTTCTATAATCGAGACCAATGAGTTATACAGATCTTCAACGCCTACCAAACGATTTTGATTGAGTACCAATGCATTCATTGCTTCTGAACCAAGCAACTTGCTGACTTCGTGTGGAATGATCATAAACAACAAAGGTTGGAAGACCTCTTCTCTTCCTTGTGTTGAATATGCTGCAAAATCAGTCGCTTTTGCGCCATGGTCGGAGGCAAAGATCGTCAAAGTGTTTCGTAAATGTGCTGCGTGTCGAAATAACTCTGAGAGGCTTTCGTCATCATTGACTATACGTCTTCCATTAGTATCGTGTGATGTCAACACATGTGTATACGCTATGAACGGCTGATCGGCTATATCATTGAGCTCTGTGTACTTTTTCACATACTCCAAGAAGAATGATGCATAATGCCTCCCGGCGAAGCAAACGTTTGGAATAATTTTCGAACTAAATGGGTTTGTCACTTTGAACTCTCTGTACACATCACAAGTTAATATGGACATACCATAATCATCAATCGCCTGTTGACGACCCGATAATTGAACAAGCTGAACAAAATCCTTCCATCTGCTAAGCCGCTGCATCTCGTCTGTAACTGGGTCTAACTGTTTGCGTGGATCCATGAAAGAACCCCACGCGTCGTGCCAACAATGATCCTCTTGAAGCAGTGTACTATATCCAGCGTTTTTATATCGTGCAAACATCTCTTCGACTGCATATGTACAGTTGAACATGCTACCATTTGCTTTAAATTCCTCGACAGTATATTTGCAGTTCTCTCCAACGTCTAAGTATTTTCGTCCTGCAAACAGTCTTTGAAGGCTTTGATATGTTTTTGCTGCATAGCTTTGAACTTTTTGAAACTCCAGCAGGGTCGATGGAATTGTTTGATTATAAACAATATCCCTGAAAGTCGACGCAGTTTTTAAAAGAGTTCTGTAAAAATGCGCGCGAGATAACGAATCCTCAACTACGATGTTGATATTGAATGGTCTTCTCTTCTCCAGTCTTTGAGAAGGTTTGGCCCGTTTTAAAATAGTTGGAAAACCTAAGACCTGGGTACCTTCCCCGCATTTTAACAATGCAAACCCAGGCCCAAAGGTTGAAGACAAAATGTGTTGTTTAAGTTGCGCGTTTAAGTTGTCTGTATTATTCAATTTGCGCCATGTAACGTTTCCAATTTGATCATTAAATATTCCAAGAAAAATTGTGTTTCCTCTGCAGTGACTATCATTGCATGATACTTGGACTTGCTCTCTTTTGTAATTTTCCCCACCAGATATGGAACATATTTTAACAGCATTTTTTGTGTTACACTTGCCTGGTGTCATTGTTCCGTGAGGACCGAAATATTTGATCACGTCTTCGCAATCATGAGAAGTTGACTTTCTTCTCCGACACTCTGGAACTAGGGTTTTAGAATCACTCGTTGTCCTTGGCTTTCTAATTCCGCGATATGGGCACGAAGAGTATGCTGGGAAGGCTCTGTTGTTTGACGCATGCGTGTCATCGTGTAGCATTGCTTCAAAGGTGTGATAGGTTGGGTAATCAGAGTGGCTTTGTTGAACCTGCTCGTTTGAACGTTCGTTTACGATGTCTCCAGTGTCATCGTTTTTTACAATGGATAGCCTCAAATCAATTGACCCTGGAGCCTCTTGGAATAGCATTTTGAATGGGGAACGGAATGCTGTAACAAAATGTTAAGTTCTTAGTTTTCGTAATGAATATTACAATATAAGTATTATCAAAATATACCGATTCGTGATTAATGCATTGAACATCTACAATATAATCAATAAAGTAAAGATATTCGATGTAATCAATATCGTGATCCTCACCATTATGTGTGAAATACTTACCAATTCTTTCTTTCATCACAAGAATAATATCCAGCATTTCGTAGTTAAATATAAACACGAATGCTGATAAAACAGCAGCAAAAATCATGAACTGAAATAAAAAATATTGATCAATACAAATATATCTACATAATAAATTGATTGAGATAAATTCTACCTTTGTATTATAGTTTGATTCTACTGTAATTTTTCGAAATATATATCACTGATATATTTATGCATGGGGCGAGAAAGTCATTACCAAGTTTATTGTTTATTATTTTTGCTGTCTTAAATTTAGTGCTCAAGAAATGATAAACACCTTCGCTGTTTACTGTTAAAAATATTATTTTGAACTTCTAATTTAACTCACCAGTTTTGCAAATTTCATCATAAACCTTTAAAAGAACAGTTGTTTTCATCGACATAAAAGATCAGATTTAGACATCGAGTTATATAACCTGCCAGGTAACATGTTTTAAAACTTGTGTACCAGTTGAATTGATCCAATCAGTGTAGAACTCAGCTATCTGAATACAATTCCGGATGTTGATAGCCGACCGGAGGTGCGTAGCACCCAGTTGGTATATATACGACAAAAGCGAGTGGTAGAATTGTTTTATAATTGCGTTCGACGAAAGAGAACGCTTCGTAGCCGTGTCATATCGAGATTCGCGATGTCAGATTTGCCTTGTTTTGATGTGTCGTATAGTAACTGGAGACCATGTGCTCGCTCTATTTTGACATTTTGTTGTTAATTTTTATAGCACATGAGCCATCACTGTTGTTAAATTACTCATTTTGCGGGTAACCTTTTGAATCAAATACGCTGTGAGCCTGTGACGTTATAATGTTAACATTTTTGTTAATGATCGTTAACCAAAATCAACACATTCCGAACGCAAATCACTAATCTGTGATTACTGCTGGTTTAGCTACTTTAAATACCATTTAATTAAATATCAGTGCGTTAAAATACTCTTTTTAAACCTAAATACTGGTTTAGCTCTGTCATTTTTAAGACTGCTTTTAGTCGTGAAAAGGAATGTGACTGTCTTAGGCAGTAGAGTGACATATGCAGGATATTTTAATGAAATCCGAGTGGTATAAGCTTCTTTGAAGAAAATTGTTAAATTGTATGTCACATTTGAACACCGGTTGATCGCTTCGTAAGTCCTAATTTTACTTGGCCAGCGTTCACCAATATTTTGCAATTTAACCAAAAAACAACCAGGAGACACGGTTTTCAAGGAAACGTGTTCGAGGTTTCAAACCGAATTTCGCTTGTGAAATCATCTTCAAAAATAACCTCTTCCTCCACAACGTGTTGTTTGTGTTGTCTGGATGACACGCGCAAAGCTTTGGATCAACGCCCGTATCCGAGCACGTTTCGTACTCATTAAACCGCGTCACACGGACCAGGTTGCTCAAAGTTAGGGCCAGGTTCGGTTTTTTTTATAGGAAACGTCAATTCGATGTCAAAAATTTCCGCAGTCTTTCGGTCGATGGGTTTTGCCAGTAAAGTGAACAATAGCTTTTGGTCGATGCCGACGACCACGTGCCGCGCATTCTTCACACCTGTGGCTACGTACCGCTGACATGCGCCGTAACCAAAGAAGTCTGACGTAGCCATTCTTCCTTGTTTAGACTTTGTGTACTGTTCCTGAATTCTGTTATTTAAGGTTCCCACAGCAAATTCAGCCGCCCATATAGCCAATGGAGAATTGCTCGACACAGTTTTATCCATACCATCGCACAGGCATAATGCAATTGGAATTATTTTCATTTCCTCGCAAGTGCGGTTCAAAGGTACCGGTTTAAACAAACCTCGCAGTTGTGATTTCATAAGAGGACCATCAAGTCCTTCGTCTTCTTCCGCAATTTGAGGAATTGGGCCTGGGTACGGAGCCAAATGTTTTGCGTTAGGATCTGTGTCCAGGTTGGAGTTTTCTGGATTAAAGGCTGCGTTTTCCGCCTGTTTTTTCACGCGAGGTTCTATAATCGAGACCAATGAATTGTACAGATCTTCAACGCCTACCAAACGATTTTGGTTGAGCACCAATGCATTCATTGCTTCTGAACCAAGCAACTTGCTGACTTTGTGTGGAATGATCATAAACAACAAAGGTTGGAAGACCTCTTCTCTTCCTTGTGTTGAATATGCTGAAAAATCAGTCCCTTTTGCGCCATGGTCTGAGGCAAAGATCGTCAAAGTGTTTCGTAAATGTGCTGCGTGTCGAAATAACTCTGACAGACTTTCGTCATCATTGACTATACGTCTTCCATTAGTATCGTGTGATGTCAACACATGTGTATACGCTATGAACGGCTGATCGGCCATATCATTGAGCTCTGTGTACTTTTTCACATACTCCAAGAAGAATGATGCATAATACCTCCCGGCGAAGCAAACGTTTGGAACAGTTTTCGAACTGTATGGGTTTGTCACTTTAAACTCTCCATACACATCACAAGATAATATGGACATCCCATAATCATCAACCACCTTTCCACGACCCGATAGTTGAACAAGCTGAACAAAATCCTTCCATCTGCTAAGCCGCTCCATGTCGTTTTTAATTGGGTCTAAGAATCTGCGTGGATCCATGAGCGAGCCCCACGCGTCGCGCCAACAGCTATCCTCTTGAAGCAGTGTGCTATATCCAGCGTTTTTATATCGAGCAAACATCTCTTCGACTCCGTATGTACAATTGAACATGCTAGCATTTGCTTTAAATTCCTCGACAGTATATTTGCAGTTGTCGATAACTTTGTTGTATTTCTGTCCTGTGAAAAGTCTCTTGAGGTTGTTAAACGTGGTAGACCCATAAGCTTGAACTTTTTCAAACTCCAGCAGAGTCGATGGAATTGTTTGATTAGAAACAATATCTCTAAAAGTCGACGCAGTTTTTAACAGAGTTCTGTAAAAGTGCGCGCGAGATAACGAGTCTTCAAGTACGATGTTGATATTGAATGGTCTTCTCTTCTTCAGCCTTTGAAAAGGTTTGGCCCGTTTTAAAATATTTGGAAAACTTAAGATCTGGGTACCTTCCCCGCATTTTAACAATGCAAATCCGGGCCCAAAGGTTGAAGACAGAATGTGTTGTTTAAGTTGCGCATTTAAGTTGTCTGTATCATTCAATTTGCGCCATGTAACGTTTCCCATCTGGTCATTAAACAGTCCAAGTAAAATAGTTTTTCCTCTGCAGTGACTATCATTGCATGATACTTGGACTTGCTCTCTTTTGTAATTTTCCCCACCAGATATGGAACATATTTTAACAGCATTACTTTTGTTGTTACAATTCCCTGGTGTCATTGTTCCGTGAGGACCGAAATATTTGATCACGTCTTCGCAATCACGAGAAGTTGACTTTCTTCTATGACACTCTGGAACCAGGGTTTTAGAATCGCTCATTGTCATTGGCTTTCTAATTCCCCGATATGGGCACGAAGAGTATGCTGGGAAGGCTCTGTTGTTTGACGCATGCGTGTCATCGTGTAGCATTGCTTCAAAGGTGTGATAGGTTGGGTAATCAAAGTGGATTGGTTGAACTTGCTCGTTTGAACGTTCGTTTACGATGTCTCCAGTGTCATCTTTTTTTAGAATGGATAGGGTCAAATCAATTGACCCTGGAGCCTCTTGGAAAAGTATTTTGAATGGAGAACGGAATGCTGTAACACAAGTTAAATTTTTTTTATGATTATTACAGTATTAACATTAGGGAATATTTTCAGTATTAATACTAACGCGTGATTACTATATTTAATGTCTAAAATATGATCAATAAAGTAAATATAATCGATGTAATCAATATTGTGAGGGTTGCGATCGTGTGTGAAATACTTACCTATGTTTTCTTTCACTCTCAGAATAATATCCAACATTTCGTAGTTAAATATAAACACGAATGTGGCAGACAGAGCAGATAAAATTATGACCTAAAAATAATAAACATTGCATTGATATCTTCATAATAAATCGATTATAGAATGATATCTACCGTTTATTGTAGGTTAATCCTAGTGTAATTTTGCAAAATGTCGACATATAGGGCTCAGTGGAAAGTTATTACCCATTGTTTATCATTAACTTTGCCATCCTCAAATTTCTGCCCAAGAAATGATAAACACGTTCGCTACATACTGTATGAAAGTATTATTATTTAGGTATTTTCCTTGGACTGTTAAATAAACTCACCAGTTTTGCGAATTTCATGTTAACTTTTTAACTTATTGTTGCTTTCATCTCCATAAATGTCAGAATTTGACTCAGAGCTATTATATAACCTGCCAGGTGACATTTGGTAAAACTTGTGTACCAGTTCATTTATCCAATCAGTGTTGAATTCAGCTATCCGAATCCGAATACAAGTCCGGATATGTGTAAAAACGTTTGATTTGTAAATAAATGAAAAATAGTAATAACTAAAATTTGCAGTCTAAGAGTGCAAGATATAAAATTGAATGAAAATTGTCAAATTATTGATCGCCATATCAGCTCATATCCCCAGGTTGATCAAAGACATGGTTCAACGGATTACTGAACAAAGTGTCTTTGTATTTGAAGTTCTCATTTACACGGCAAACGCAAAATATCAATGTAGTAAAAATCAAACGTCTCACTTTATATTTTATGCATCCGTTGGTTAGAAAAATAAAAAGGCATCCAAATTCTAACAAAAGCTTGATTTCAAAAAGGAGTAGTACAGTCTGTTTAAAAAAACGCAAAAACGTTTGAAAGCACCTATTGCATGCGGTTAATTCGATATCATTCGATATCTTTGTCAACACGAGAAATGAATTCCATATTTCAAAGCATCCATGCATTATTCTCTTTATTATAAAATAAAAAACTGGGTTTTTTGAAGAAGTTTTTTATCCTCCTTCCTGATTCCAGATCGGTGGATCAAACACGATAATAGAACATGTGTTATTATCATGAATAACCGCACATGTGTTATTATCGCTTTTCAAAATGGCGGATTCGTCAATAAAACACTGCATATTAATGATATTATATGATAAAAAATAATATGACATTTAATATCGTTGAATAAAAATAATATAACATTCGTTAATGTATATATAATCTGGGTGATAGTTACTTTCATTGTGTAAACTAGAGTTGCGATGATTGCTATGTATTATATACTTGCAATGGTGCCGTAAACTTATTAACCTCAATTCGTGTGTCCTATCAGTGCGTTAAAATACTCTTCATGTACCTAAATACTGGTATAGTTTGGTCATTTTTAAGATCGTTTTTAGTCGTGAAAAGGAATGTGACTGTCTTAGGCAGTAGGGTAACATATGCAGGATATTTTAATGAAATCCGAGTGGTATGAGCTTCTTTGAAGAAAATTGTTAAATTGTATTTCACATTTGAACACCGGTTGATCGCTTCGTACGTCCTAATTTTACTTGGCCAGCGTTCACCAATATTTTGCAATTTAACCCAAAAAACAACCAGGAGACACGGTTTTCGAAGGAAACGTGTTCGAGGTTTCAAACCGAATTTTGCTTGTGAAATCATCTTCGAAAATAATCTCTTCCTCCACAACGTGTTGTTTGTGTTGTCTGGATGACATGCGCAGAGCTTTGGTTCAACGCCCGTATCCGAGCACGTTTCGTACTCATTAAACCGCGTCACACGGACCAGGTTGCTCAAAGTTAGGCCAGGTTCGTTTTTTTTTATAGGAAACGTCAATTCGATGTCAAAAATTTCCGCGGTCTCTCGGTCGATAGGTTTTGCCAGTAAAGTGAACAATAGCTTTTGGTCGATGCCGACGACCACGTGCCTTGCATTCGTCACACCCGTGGCTACGTACCGCTGACATGCGCCGTAACCAAAGAATTCTGAAGTAGCCATTGTTCCTAGTTTAGACTTTGTGTACTGTTCCTGAATTCTGTTATTTATGGTTCCCACAGCAAATTCAGCCGCCCATGTAGCCAATGGAGAATCGCTCGACACAGTTTTATCCATACCATCGCACAGGCATAATGCAATTGGAAGTATTTTCATTTCTTCGCAAATGCGGTTCAAAGGTACCGGTTTAAACAAACCTCGCAGTTGTGATTTCATAAGAGGACTATCAAGTCCTTCGTCTTCTTCCGCAATTTGAGGAATTGGGCCTGCGTACGGAGCCAAATGTTTTGCGTTAGAATCTGTGTCCAGGTTGGAGTTTTCGGGATTAAAGGCTGCGTTTTCCGTCTGTTTTTTCACGCGAGGTTCTATAATCGAGACCAATGAATTGTACAAATCTTCAACGCCTACCAAACGATTTTGGTTGAGCACCAATGCATTCATTGCTTCTGAACCAAGCAACTTGCTGACTTCGTGTGGAATGATCATAAACAACAAAGGTTGGAAGACCTCTTCTCTTCCTTTTGTTGAATATGCTGAAAAATCAGTCGCTTTTGAGCCATGGTCTGAGGCAAAGATCGTCAAAGTGTTTCGTAAATGTGCTGCGTGTCGAAACAACTCTGACAGACTTTCGTCATCATTGACTATACGTCTTCCATTAGTATCGTGTGATGTCAACACATGTGTATACGCTATGAACGGCTGATCGGCCATATCATTGAGCTCTGTGTACTTTTTCACATACTCCAAGAAGAATGATGCATAATACCTCCCGGCGAAGCAAACGTTTGGAACAGTTTTCGAACTGAATGGGTTTGTCACTCTTAACCTTCTATACGCATCACAAGTTAATATGGACATACCATAATCATCAACCACCTTTCCACGACCCGATAGTTGAACAAGCTGAACAAAATCCTTCCATCTGCTAAGCCGCTCCATCTTGTTCTTAATTGGGTCTAAGAATCTGCGTGGATCCATGAACGAACCCACGCGTCGCGCCAACAATGATCCTCTTGAAGCAGTGTACTATATCCAGCGTTTTTATATCGAGCAAACATCTCTTCGACTCCATATGTACAGTTAGACATTCTACCATTTGCTTTAAATTCCTCGACAGTATATTTGCAGTTGTTGATAACTTGGTTGTATTTCTGTCCTGTGAAAAGTCTCTTGAGGTTGTTAAACGTGGTAGATCCATAGGCTTGAACTTTTTCAAACTCCAGCAGGGTCGACGGAATTGTTTGATTATAAACAATATCTCTGAAAGTTGACGCAGTTTTTAACAGAGTTCTGTAAAAGTGCGCGCGAGATAACGAGTCTTCAAGGACGATGTTTATATTGAATGGTCTTCTCTTCTTCAGCCTTTGAAAAGGTTTGGCCCGTTTTAAAATATTTGGGAAACTTAAGACCTGGGTACCTTCCCCGCATTTTAACAATGCAAACCCAGGCGCAAAGGCTGAGGTCAGAATGTGGTGTTGAAGTCGCGCACCTAAAGCATCTGTATTACTCAATCTGCGCCATGCAACTTTTCCTATCTGTTCATTAAACAGTCCAAGTAAAATTGTTTTTCCTCTGCAGTGACTATCATTGCATGATACTTGGACTTGCTCTCTTTTGTAATTTTCCCCACCAGATATGGAACATATTTTAATGGATTTTTTGGTGTCACACTTCCCTGGGGTCATTGTTCCGTGAGGACCGAAATATTTGATCACGTCTTCGCAATCACGAAGAGTTGACTTTCTTCTACGACACTCTGGAACCAGGGTTTTAGAATCACTCGTTGTCGTGGGCTTTCTAATTCCTTGATATGAGCACGAGGAGTTGGCTGGGAAGGCTCTGTTGTTTGACGCATGCGTGTCATCGTGTAGCATCGCTTCAAAGGTGTGATAGGTTGGGTAATCAGAGTGGATTGGTTGATCTTTTATCTCTTCTCTATTGACATCTTCATTTGCATCCTTTTTAACTATGAAAGGCTTCGCATCAGTTGACTCTAGCGTTTTTTTGTAAAATACATTCAATGAGGAAGGGATTCCTACAAAACAACAACGATTACAATTATGAAAATAATCACCATTACAATCTTACTTAAATTACATCTTAATTAACAAATCTTACTTAAATAATCACAATTATAATCTTTCTCGTATAAATTCGTTTATAATTGATAATATATTGATGTGTATAGATACGTGATCAATTTGATATGGCTCTAATCAATAAATATCATCAATAGCGTAATGGTTGTGATGTATTTTATTTTCCCGTATTACTTACCAGTCCTTTTTCTCACCACAAAGATAATACTTAGCATTTCGTAGTTGAATATAAAAATGTACGTACATAGCAAAGCAGCCAAAAACATGAACTAAAAAACAAAATTACAGTCACATACACGTAGCTTGATATTTCACGCGATTGAAATGTGGTAGTATGATTTGGGTGGAGGGAACATGCGCATATGAAATGGTGTGGATACGCAATAACATTTGATAAAGGGTTAAGAGCATTGAGATGAATAAACCTCAATTTTATTCATCTCAACGGTTAAGAGTCATTTCAGTGAAGTTGAGAGTATAGTGAGGTTCATTTGTCACAGACATGTGATAAGGGGAGGTGAAGAAAAACTATAGTTATCGTGCAGTAATACTATATGAAGGGATAAGAAGAAGATGTGATCCAGTAGACATTCCAGTGAAAATGAGTGTGTAGGGAAGTTCATTTGTCTTAGACATGTGATAAGGGGAGGTGAAGAAAAACTAGTTACATGCAGACTGTAATACTACATGAAGGGATAAGAAGAAGATGTGAGGTTGTAGACATCGCATTGAAGATGAAAGTATATAGCAAGGTTAATTTTTCATAGATATTTGATAAGGAGAGATGAAGGAAAACTGGTCATTAGGCTAGATCTGAGGTAAAAGTGGCGAAGCTGAGGGAACAAGTTTAAACACAAACACCTATGAAGAGATGAAAGAAAGTTCACCTGGAGTGCCATGAAATCAGTTGATTGAAAGAACATGGAAGAGGTGGTAAAAGAAAGTTTGTAAAGGATAATGTTGAGTGAGGCAGTGAATTAAGAAAACATAGGTAAAGCGGGGAAACGTATATTAATAGAAAGTACGCTAGCTGTACTGGGTGTATAAAGAAATGCAACCTTGATAATTCTCAACGGGCCCACGATCTTAGTTTGTTATTAAAAAGAAGCGATTATTTATAAAATTTAGTCTTGCTTTTTTATACCCTGTATAATCCTTGAGAAATTATTCTATTATTACCGCATCAGAGCAGTTAATTCCTCTAAATACATGCAATATACCTTGTTTAAACGAAAATATAGAGACGTCGTGATTGTTTTAAATTATATTTTGAAACAGTCAAACAGTATATACGTTACATTGCATGTATCAGAAACAAGTTTATTGCCATTAAAAGTCACGCTCGTAAACAAAATGTCATTCGCTAACGTGCATGCTCATTGATGCACGAGCTCGTCTACTTACTAATATCAGTACTTACCAATTTAAAGAGTTTCATTATTTGTTAAATCATTTGACTGCGGTACCGAACATATGAAATATCTCGCTGTATATGACTACGTTTATATCTATGTATACATAAACGCGAATTTCTTTTGCCTTTGTTCTACAACCTGTCATTATATATCAACCCACTGATGGGCCTGATTCATTTTGTTGCCGGTATACCTGTTTTTTAAATCAGTTGCATGCGATTGTCAATGTTAGCTTTAGAGAACCTTATATATAGCCTTAATGATAAACTTGCTTTAGTGCTGGTCCCGATAAAGTTGCTGCTCACTTACATGTATAGAGAGATCAATTTTTCAGTGAGGTGGGCTCAATGATTAAAAAGTTTTCGCATATATACAGGCACTGCTCTAGAAAGATATTCAGTCTTCTTGTACGTCTTACTGCAATGGCAATCGCCAATTCTTAGGAAAAAGCAGGCTTCAGCTTTTGGGTGACAATGGAAGAGATTCTGGCAATCATAAACAAGCATTGGAATGAATGAATGAATGAATGTGGTTGAAAAATAATCAAGGCCGCGCTTCAGTTATTCCGTCCAGTACGGAGGCTAGTCGGGCCGCTATAAATTCTTCTTATCACACGAAACCAAATCAATTTTACACTGAAAAACTTCAATCCAATCCAATTCAGAGTTGCCCGCAGACAGCCGAGGTCGATCTTGGATAGGACGATTCCCTGATAGTTTATCAGCGATGAAACGTCTGTTGTTTTTCCTTTTCTTGTACTCTGCCCTTGTTTGCGGTCAAGTCAGAGCCGCATAAAGTTTAATTATGTATGCTTATATATACTAGTAATCTAGTATAAAGTGGTATCCTGGGTTTAAGCGTAGACAATCTAAAAGAGGATTGTCTATGGTTTAAGCTAGGCGCACACGACGCCATTTTCGTCTAAATCCTTGCGTGTGTGATTTCATTTTTAAGCGATTTCAGTCGACAGACTGCAATCGGAAAACATCAAAACAGTTTGATATTGGCCAATTAAAATCGGTCGACTAAAATCCTACGACAAAAATCGCGTCTTGTAGCGAGGATCGGTTTTGCTGAGTGTACGTAAAACGATGTTTTTTGGCATAACCTTGAAGGGAATTTAATTTCTCGAAATCGGGTGAATTTGGCAAACATTTGCGCATGTCATAGTAAATTCTACGAAAAGCCCGCCTTTTATCGCGCATATTCAACACAGGTGGTGTCAAGACGCGTCGTATTTCATCGCTTGTAAACAATCGTCTTTAGACGGTTTAAGAAGCGATGGATCGTATATTATTTTATGGCGTTTTGGCCCTTATCTTCCTTGCTAAAGAATCACATCACACACACTATCCGACAATCTTTTGGACTCCAACGAACTGCAAGTAAGTTGCCGTAAATGTTATCATAATGGCAATGTTTAAGAGACGCCATCAGGCAATATCTACTGTTGTTAGTTGTTACTACGGCAAATCACTGATACTCTAGTATTTCAATATCGTTTTATAATATTATACACATTGAGTTCACTTACAGTTGTTTCACTTACAGTAAACACGTATATTTCCTGTTTTTTCTCATACTAATTTTTCCCATATTATATTACTGTGTGTATTAAAGACATGAAATAGCTTTTACATCAACTAGACAACTACGTTTCACTTTAAGATTCTGGAGTGGAAAGTCCGATATTTGTGATAAACGAACTTAGAGTTGTTAAGATAGAACTCTCCTCTAAGTTCAGTACACTTAAAGGTTTATACAAACTTGAGATGTACTACTCTTATGGTTTTATTTAAGACAGAAATCATTTTAAAAACAGACCACCATTTTATCAAGCCAAGTTTGGCTATAGAAATACTGGTAGTACAATATCTGGTTCAAGTGTCATCAATTTTAGAAACTAGAGACTTGAAATTAAAAAACTGTACTGAACAAGGGAAATGCATGAATAGAGAGGAAATCATGCACTTTAGTATTTAAATTTGAAAAATATGGATATATTTTTGTCAATTAATTGAATAAATTGTATGAAAACTTGTGGCAGTAAGTATCCACTTTAGTCAAGTCTTACTTAGTTCCGTGTAAAATAAGCCATATTCCAGTTCAGGCTATTAAATTATATGTATCTTAAAGTACGTAAACTATTTCTTAATCTAAGAATTAACTACTTTGTAATGCACTATATGTACAGCTTTGGGATAGTCTTGAATATCTTTGTATGAAATATTTATTATTAAAAGTGAAACATGATTAGTTCAAAGTCAGGTGATCAAACACTATTATTATTTTGTCTTAAAATAGGACATGACTGCATGCACAAGAGGACATGTGGTTTTAATTCTTGCATTATGCATATCATTTGGTTAGCCACATACAGTAATAGAGCATCATTTAAATTGACTATTTAAACAGTTTAACTGACATTATTGTTTTACTGACAAGATTATCTGACACGAGACACAGTACTTAAAATATCAAAATAAGAATATAATATGGGATCTTTGCCAGTTAGTATGTTAACAATAGACAAAAGCGAGCCAACCATAGGATACTACTGCCAAATATATTTTACTCTGATAGTGAAATCAAACAATTACGAATATGATAGATGGGTTGATGTACATTTTGCTAGAATTAATGCATGTAGTTGGAAGTTTTTTAGTAAATCAAGCTCAGTCCATTGAAGAACAGATAATATGTACAATGTTGCAAATGGTCATTTTTTCCAGTTGTGCATAGTTCTAAACTGTACACCCACTGGTCAGCTTAATTCTGTAGTCATGAATTGTTTTACATATAATCCTGTTACTGTGGAATGAAATCAGTTACTTTTCTTGTTTTTTCAGGTTCAAGCTAAACAAATTTCCTGCAAAAGGTTATTCAATAAATGTTAAATACATGAGCAACATTATATTCATGTGCCCTCATATTTCTATCTGGGGAGATGTGAGCAATATGATGCCAGACAGAAGAATGATGCATGAGAATGTCTTGCTAGTGGATAAGGAAAGTTATGACACTTGTACTATAAAGAAAGGAGCGAAGGTCAAAAAACTTTTAATTTGTGATGAAGACCCAATGAGCAAAGAAGTAAAATATTCCTTGGAGACAATTGCGAAAAATCAGGCTGATCCAGAAAAACAATGTTATGATGAGGGACAGAATTACTACTTCATATGTAAGTATAAAGATTAGCTAAAATGACTTTCTTTGTGGCCAGTTCTCTGGATTTGCATTAGCTAAACAATCACACATTTCTTGTTTTTTTTCAGCCACTGCAAGTGGGTCGATGGAAAGTTTAAACAATACAGAAGGTGGCCATTGTAAAACTCACCATATGAAACTACATATACATGTTTGCAATAACACTGGTAAGATTACGTGAGTTGTGGATGTGTATACGTATTTTTTGTCATTTTGCAGATAATATTAAACTGAACTATTGTATGTTTTTATTCTGTAGAACCATGTGAGTTTGTGATGCCTGAGTGCCCAAGGAATAAACCAGAAGCACAAGGGAACAATATAACCTCCACCAAATCACCCAAGTGTAACAATGACAGTATGTGTTTTTAATCCAAAAGTGTCAAAAACAGCAATGATAATGCAAATTAATGGGACGGGAAGAGTCCACTGTAATTTCACGTTGGTGTTACTGTTAGATAACCGTTGTCATATAATATATTCCATTTAGCTGTGTCATCACTTCGCCAGACTGGTGTGAAAGGATGGTTCTCAGATAACCGTCATAATGTTATCTATGCTGTGTTGGGATTGTTTATATTATTCCTTATTGTTATCATAATCTGGCTTGTTTATTCTAAAAGGTAATGAATCCTTATATAATTTAAGCATTTTTGGTCATTTAGCCACGGTTGATGCATGGGGCAAACTGCAAAGGGGGGGAGTTAGTATAGAAAGATGTGACTTTTTTGTTGTTTTGGTTTCCTTAATTTTTTCTTTGTTATGTGAAATGTAGGAGTTCTAAAGATATGCAAAAGAATTCAGTTACTGATGAAAGGGAAAGAATTCGCATCTAAAAATTTAATTTCTACAATGTTTTGTATACAAGTGTGCAAGCCAGGGGCATAGCAGACTCAAATAATTGAGGGTCCAACAGTCAGCACTTACAGAATTGATCTGAGTGAAATGTGGGGGTCCAGATTTTCCCTCTCCCCCTCTTGGCTATGCTGCTGGAATGAGCTGTATTAGGTCACATGGATAAGGTTTTGGTTAGAACTAAGGTTATAGTTTTGGTAATGATCTAAACTTTAAGATGCTATGTAACGAGGGTGTAAATATAGAAATCCTATAAAAGTGGCAGATCCATAAAGTGTGTCTGGATTGTGTCTTGGCCTGCATTACAGATGGTAGAGAGAATACTGGATGCAAAGTAGCTAGCTTCTGTACCAAACATGAATACCACCTGTAATGCAGGCTAACACATAACTTTGTGTGGTCAGATGAATGTCTATGAGTATTTTAAGCTTTTATTTACTGTAATTAGATAATTTGAGCTATATTACTGTAATATACTATGATATAGTTTTGGTAAATTTCACATGGTTGAAGTCTTGAAGATCAGATACTTTTTGAAAGAAAGTTACACAGATCATTGTAAAACAATCCATGTTTTAAAAATATTTTAATAAAGTTGTTATATATAGTGGTATCTAGGCTAAAGTCTCATAATATACTCCTTGAGGTAAAAAATTGACGATGAGATCAATTGATCAAAGAACTTTGGCTAGTTTTCTAGTCCAGATACAACCTCGTACCCAGGGTCTTTACTCGTGGGGAGAAAATACAACTGTGTCTACGACATTACGGGCACAGTCAAGGAAGGTAGTACCCTGTAAATAGGAATCGTCTATGTAACCAGAGGATATGTGCCCCTTTTTTCGTAAAGCTGTATAAACAGGTTTAAGCAATTTTGTGAACTTTCTGGGACAACTGGAGAGACCATTGGGAAGGCATGTGTATTGATATAATTGACCTTTCCAACAAAATTTTAGATATTTTTGACTTGAGTATGCCACAGGTACAGAGTAATAGGCATCTTTAAGGTCTATGCAGGCCATAAAACAAAATGGAGTCATCAATTTTATAACAGACCACAAGGTATCCATCTTAAAATGGTAATTATCAACAAAGGCATTTAAATGCTTTAAATTTAAAATCATGCGATGTGTACCATCCTTTTTTGGACATAGAAAAATTGGTGACATGAATTCACCCACCTCATGTTGAGAAGGGATTATAACCCTCTTTGTAACAAGTTTGGATATCTCAAGTTCAATAACTTGTTCCTCAGTGGTACTAAATTGATAATTTGATCGAGTGCCATTAGGAGGAGGTTCCTCAAGCAACTCAATAGTATCCTTTAACCATATTCAAAATCTCTTTGTCAGATGTAAGTTTTGTCCATTCGGACAGACAAAAGGAAATTTGTCCCGCCTGAAAACAACTAACCTGTTTATGTAAATCAGATATCAGCTTGCTTATGTATTGTTTGTGAGAACTCACCGTAAAATGTGAATTATTTTCCAGGCTTACTGTTGCTGTTTTTGGCCTTTGGATGCTGACTTTGGAAACCATGGCTTGTTGTTTCGCCATGGTTTCCTTTGGGATAAAAAAGGCTGCCGTGGAGATTCGCTGGTATTGCGTGAAGGATATGGAGTAGCGGTATATCTTCGTCTATCCATTTTATCTCGGCCTTTGCTAGCTGATTGGCTGAGTTTATGTGAGGTTTTAATATTGTTGCACTCAGCTTGTAGGTCATCGCCAAATAAATTGGCGGTGACCGGCACTTTTTCAGAACAAAGGGCCACAAACTCCTTGTTGAGATTTGGCTTTATGGCATCTCTCCTATGATGGGATAGTTCGACGAAGGCATGGCCAAGAATGGCAATAATATCCATGTTGGATTTAATAATCTCAGTGGGGTCCACCTCAATGGTCTGCTGCCGAGCGGCAAGAAGCTTATTTGTGGTACAGATTAAGGAGCTGCCGGCTTTCGACAAATTCCGCTGAATATTCGCAGTACGAAGGTCCTTCCGTTTAACAAATTTGGGAAGGTTTGACCAAATTTCTGGATTTACACGAGGCACCACCAGAGCCGAGCAATTATCAGGGCGATGAATTGAATCAAGTTTCCCGGTTAGTTTCTTGTCGGACAATTTCTCCGCCCAACGCTTGTTTAGCATTGCCGCTAAATCGTCATTCACCGCAGGAGAAGTAGGTTCCTGTTCGGTAAGTTCTTGAGCAAGGTCTGACAACAACGTATCAGCGTCTCCCAAATTTTTGGGATCGTTAGAGCTTGTATTTGATGCTTTTTCTGCTGGGTCAGCAGTGTCAGCTAAAACTTTAGATAGTAACGCATCCTCATCATCTGAGTCGATGGTTTCCTGGTGCAAAATATGGGCGGCCGTTACCACCAAAAATGTTACACGTGTGAAATGAATGGACATAAACAGAAATCATTCATAACAAACACGAATGATTCAATGTGTTTAGAAATGCTTGAACATATTGTAGTAATATGACTGGACAAAACAAGAAATGACTCGTTCAAAGTTGAAACGATTCACTTCACTGTGTATTAATTCGGCTATTATTGAACTGATTCGTATGGACCAAGTGAAATGACTTGATGTATTTTGCAGTGACGCAACAAGTCGTATAAGAGTGACCCAGTAAGCTGTCAAATAATTCATGCTTTTTTACAGCCATCCGATGTGTTTTAAAATAGCTCAACTAAATTCGACACCATTCAACCAGATGAGACGCGATTCGATCTAATATGCGACAATGTAACTCAATGTGAAACGGCCCAGTTAAAGGCGGCGTCGTTCAGCTAGATGTGAACAGATTCAAAATCATGTGAAATCACTCAAATAAATGTGAAATCACTCAACAAGATGTGAAATGGCTTCACCAAAGGTGGAACGATTCGCGTCCAAGTGAAATGACACGGCATATTTTGATTTGACGTAACTTGTGCGTTCTTGACACGTCTTGTTGTAAGTTGATTCATCATGTTGTGAAGTGAATCAACAAGATGCTTCCATCTTGTTATTTATACTTCCTTGAAAGAAATTTTACGGAAATAAAATCAAAATATGGAAATTTGCCGCATGTTTATTGAAATGAGATATCGTTCAAAGTCCTTTCCGCAACTCACACTTCGACGTTCGCACACCGTTATTTTGTATCGCGACATTTTCCAAGCTTTTTTGCATTTTGTTGGCAAATATTTTTCCCCTGGAAGATCTCAGTATAAAGGTATGTGTTCAAAGATTTATACTCTGTTCTTGAACAATATCTCCTTGTTATTTAGAGTAAATTATTTATAGAAAACGGCCGGGTAAAGGGCAAAGGGCCATGTGTGCGTTTGCGCTTTCAGGAGAAAGAAAGTGCGAATTGTTTATTCGGGAAAATATGGCCGGAAAATATGGCTTAAAAATATAAGTTATACGTTAAAGAATTGTCACTGATTTTTCCATGTAACATTTGAAATAATTGTATTTAGGCTGACAGGGCTAGCCGGGTTAACCATGTGGCAGATGCGGAATATGCCGCGGGCCTCGCGCTTATGGGGGCATCGCGCTTTACTGTGCCGAGCTCGTTTTAACGAAAACACACCCATTTTATATCCTTTGCGCACTTAAGGTACTCGCGCATTTAGGGTCTTCATGACTAACGCATTCAGGGCTCCTACACTCTTTAGTTAACCCAGGAAAATATAGATCCCCGTTAGTATTTAATCTCTTGTTGCGCTGTTATATGATCCTGTTTACACGTGTTGCCGACCTGGTCCTGTATCGGACCATTGTCTCCTGTATCATGTTGCAGCTACAGTGTTACTTCTGATTTACTTCTTTTACACTCAAGAATGCATTAAACAATTCCTAAGACGTAATTACATCCAAAAAAATGAATAACAGATAAAACAAAAAACAATTACCAAATTTGTGTGTCTTTGAATTTAAAAGTTTTCATACCAGGGGATGGGGGCCCCGCGCCAAAAACCTGCCACGGGACTCGCGCGATGTTAATCCGGCCCTGTTTAGGCTCCCTAGCAGATGATAATGAAATAATTTCAACTTTGTGTTACGTTTCAGCTGTTGGTAAAATCCTTAAAGTGTATGCAACAATGGTGGGAATATTACATTCAATATTCATTTAAAATTATGTTAATTGCTTGAATATTCTCAAAATTATACAATTGTACATTATGGTGTCACCAAAATTTTATTTTAAAGATTTTTTTTATTTTTTAGAGTAATAATGTGGACACAGTAAATGCATTAATGCAGGTTGTGCAGATGCTGCATCCTATAATAGGGCTTATCCTCCGTTGCGCTTTTCTGGTGGCTTTCAAATTTTGGTGAGTCAGGAAAAGGAAAGAAAGAAGTTGAAAGTAGTTTCGCATGGCTCATGCAGTACGGAGCAACTGAGATGCTTTGGCAATGGCCGAATATACATACGACCGCTTCAAAGAAGTATTCCTTTGACGGAAACTGTGCGTTTTCATGAAGAAAAAGAAATATGCTTATCATGCGGTGAAAGCGTTTCAGTTAGTGAAATGAGTGAGCATCTACAAGCTTGCGAGGTAAGTTTAGATATTTCAGATAATCCACCGCTCCCATTGTAAATGCTAAGACAAATTACATCGGCCGAAGGAAAATGACAAACATGTTTTTGTTTAACAAACTATTTAACAATTTCGACAGCATTATCATTCTGCAAATGAGCATGAAACTGAAGAGGGAGACGAGAATAGCCGATATGGAATTAACAGTGAAAGGTATCAATTCTTCATAGCATGTTAAAACCTAATAAGACTATAGTTTGCAACTCTATGTGTACGAACTGTTTACAATAAAACATTGGAAATTCAATTAAAGCAATAGTAATGGAACTTCATTTTTAAAAAATCATGCTTTATACGGTATTTGGCTACAGGTGGTACACCATCTCATTTGTTCTTGAATTTATCTTTAGAAACGACGTCGTTCAAGTTACGGATGATGACACGTTAATTTCAAATACAACCTCTTTGCCGCTAAACGAACAGATCGCCCCGACACAATTAGTCTCTAATACTGACGCGAGAGACAGTGACCTGGATTCATTAGCACCAGTTCCTCAACCAAATGAAACGTTGGAAATCGAGGACAGCAATCGCGCTGAACTTGAAAACAGGTATTACCCAAATAGAAAATTTCAATGATACACGGAATCAATATCCACACCGATGCAATCAAAACCAATATATATTTCTTTCATATTTAAACATTTTTAATTCTGTTCTTAGCGTGGAAGTAGATCCTATGGCTCTGCCATACGAAGAACACCTACGAAACGCCATCGACGCAACACTAAAAGCAACGTACGTATTATTGCAAAGCTTGCTTGTAATCATCAATGAACGATATTTTTATGAGCGGAATTTTTTTATAATATTATTGCAGAACTGCAAATGATGACCCTGTCCAAGTTCTGCGAACCTTCTCTTGCCACTTTCTGCGGGGTCGTCCCCTCGATGTTATGGACCCAACGGTGCAACTTGAAGGTGAAACAACAGATGTTTTCGTTACGCGGGAAAACATTTACGAAGATGGCATGGAAAATTTCTTTCAAGGAAGTATAAATAACAAGATGGAAGCATCTTGTTGATTCACTTCACAACATGATGAATCAACTTACAACAAGACGTGTCAAGAACGCACAAGTTACGTCAAATCAAAATATGCCGTGTCATTTCACTTGGACGCGAATCGTTCCACCTTTGGTGAAGCCATTTCACATCTTGTTGAGTGATTTCACATTTATTTGAGTGATTTCACATGATTTTGAATCTGTTCACATCTAGCTGAACGACGCCGCCTTTAACTGGGCCGTTTCACATTGAGTTACATTGTCGCATATTAGATCGAATCGCGTCTCATCTGGTTGAATGGTGTCGAATTTAGTTGAGCTATTTTAAAACACATCGGATGGCTGTAAAAAAGCATGAATTATTTGACAGCTTACTGGGTCACTCTTATACGACTTGTTGCGTCACTGCAAAATACATCAAGTCATTTCACTTGGTCCATACGAATCAGTTCAATAATAGCCGAATTAATACACAGTGAAGTGAATCGTTTCAACTTTGAACGAGTCATTTCTTGTTTTGTCCAGTCATATTACTACAATATGTTCAAGCATTTCTAAACACATTGAATCATTCGTGTTTGTTATGAATGATTTCTGTTTATGTCCATTCATTTCACACGTGTAACATTTTTGGTGGTAACGGCCGCCCATAGCAAAACACTCAGGCTTTTGGTCGCCTTCCGTTTACGACTGCCATGGTCAGAGCCATGTTTTGGCGCCAAATTCGCCACGTTTATATTTTCAACTTGCTCAAGACGGGAATCTATGTTCTGCATATTAACATGCATCATTTTTAAGAAGGCAAGGATCTCGTCATTGGTAGTATTGACCTCGTCACCTGGTGTGTCCTCAAGTAGTCGCTTTGCATATTCGTCAGAGACGTCAACCGCATCGTCGTGCGCTTCGTCTACATGTCCATCTCGCTCAAAATCATTTCCGATGGCGATGTTGCCCTCAGACATGGCAATTATGAAGTTTGTAATTCGTCTACGGTCTTGTGCACCACAAAAGCGTCTTTTGTGGAATAACTGCCGTATCAAAGTGTAGATATACTTATATATCTAATCTTTGCCGTTATTGAACAACCGACGTGAAACAAAAGCTGGCGTACACTGTAATATTTTCTCCCCACGAGTAAAGACCCTGGGTATGAGGTTGGTCCAGATACTTCCTTTGAGATCAAGCGTGTCGCGCTCCAGGGACCGGTATATTGCCAGAGGTCAAATGTGAATCATTTATCAGGGGGGCGTGTATTGGAAATACATGTTGCCTCTACATACCATATATGGTCATATCCTGCTGTTAGATCGAGCATTGAAATGTAAAACGCAGCAGCCTTTTGATCAGAAGAGTTTGTTTCATATATTGCTAGAATACTTGGTTTCAGACGAACGGATTCTGTCTGAGTTTCAACCGCAGTGTAAAGAAGAGTTTCGCCAGAACAACAGCTTCCTGTTGCCGTGAATGACAACCATCTGAAATCGTGTCATATTCCGTGAACATTGAGGATATCGAATTTACTTTCGTGTAGCAATTTAACCCAGACGATTTTATGTAAAAGTAAACAGCGCTTGGTTACTGTCGAAGTATGGCTGCAATATTCTGTGTTTTGGAACAAATCTAAAATGTGAAATTGCTTGTTTAAAGCGCCTGTGTGCTCTAGCAGGGAAGCTTTATATTTCGCCAACTGTTCAACGACAAAGAGCTTTCAAAGACGAAGAACTATCATTTTCTGTACAATCGTCGACTTCAATACAAACATTGGAAAGTGTTCGACAATTGCTACAGCATTCGGAATGTTCAGTATTATTAATTAATTTGCTACAATGGGTGAGTCATTCTTTATTTCGTCTTCCATGTGGGTGAACTCTTTTTGTATGTTTAAAATCCGGTCCCCGCATAGTGTGCATGTTCTTTCGACCAGCGCAATGAGCGCATACCAAAGTTTGTGAAAACAATAGCAGAGGGATTACTCACTCACTCCGTATAGCTTCTCTTTATTGTTTGTGAAACTAAAAAGCTATTTTAAGTTCATTCATCGCTTCATACGGATAAACAGACCCGCTTACGAACGCCACACGACAAGATATAGGAATTATAAAATGCCATCCATAGTCGTCTACAAAAGCAAGAACTGATTTTATCTATATTGTGCAGGATCGTTTCTTATTCGTATGCATATTCGATTACACGTTTATTTTGCTGGTACTTTCTAAGCATATGGGTGCTTGTTTGGAAAAACCCTTTCGAGTTACAAAGTACTTGCCACTAATTTGTATTATCGATGTATGTAATACACATTTTGCGCTATTGTTTCGAAAATTATGACAGCTTGTTGACACGGTTCTATCACAACAATTTAGAATAGATTTTTCTGTGTTGTTTATTTCAATACGTTTTACTGCGTCACCGACTTACAAAAGCTATTGTAGGGAATGGTTTTACAAAATTCTTTATAACCGTTTACTTATAACTGTTCAAAAAATATGCATTGATCCGTTTTGATGAAATTGAAACATCCAGTCAATTTGTGTACCTTATCTGGTACATTTAATTAGAAAGTATATGTTTAGACATGTTACAATTAACAGGATGATTGGATGCTCTGTGTGTTGTAAGAAACAAGTTCTAGTGGCAATGATATTTCAAAATGCACCCTTTATCTTAACCAATTTATAATTAGTCTGTAATTGCCACCAAAACAATTATATAGTGAGTTATTGAATGCCTGAGGCCAAGATTTGTTTGACTGCTGTAAAAGGTATTTCTCCAACTTTACAGTTTTGGTGCTTTCTAACAGAGGTTGCCGAATGTAGGCTAAGTTGTACAAGTGATAGCTGGTTTTATGATCTTGATGAAGAACTTCAGTTTAACATTGTAAAATTTTTCAAAAAACTTTATAAGGTCCTGACAGTTGTTTTTAAAAATTTACTGCAATCAGCCAAGCATTAATGAAACTAATACTGAAATTTATTAATAAGACCAGAAATGTTCTTCATCTACCTCTACACATCAACTAAAATTTGTGTTGTTTTTTATTTTAGATAATTGTTTTATTGATGAAGGTTACTCAGGAGTTTTTACCCAGCATATGGTCTTGTCACCCATTAATGTGGGTGCCCATGAGAAAATACATCCATCTCAGGTTTGTAAAAAGGAGCTGTTTTGTAATGACATTGTCTTGTGTATTTTGAGCGGTTGATGGGCCCATTTGTCTTTAAAATTTATGCTAAGAAGCAGCCATGCAGCTACATATTTGGCCTTGGTTGTACCATTTAAATATTGTGTAAATTTTAGCAGGTGGAACTGAATTCTCTAATACATATAATGCAAACTTTGTTAATAATTTAAATATCCATAGTAACATCAGGAGAATAGATTGCAGGTGGCAGTCTTGATACGTTCTTACCTACAAACTTTATGAGGCCCTTTTTAACATACAAACTTTATGAGGCCCTTTTTTGGTGAAATAATGAGGTTTAGAGAGAAGTTTAACAAATTTACCAAAGACACATGAATCCATTATATTATATATATTTTGGTCTGAATCACTGAAAGTTGATTGATGCAGTATTGGTGATTCTTATCAACCTATATTTTTTTAGAATGATATTAGGGTAAAATTTGAGTACAAGGGTGAGAAAAGGTATGGTAATTGTCCATTGCTGAGTTTGAATATTTGCATCAACCTGGCTTCACAAAATTGCATTGTTTGAACTGTCCAATATTTTTTAGAATTATTCCTGTGTCTCGTCCTGTTCTCTTGGACGATATCAAGAGGAGGATAAGAAATGCCTACGGACATGACCTGACCATGAGTTATATCAACAATGACATCACAATACCGATAAAGAAACAAATGGATTTGGACAATGCTGTTGCCTTGCTGGATTTCAGCCCACAGTTAACCAGCCTGCGGATATATCTTTCTAACGAGGCGGGAGGGAATTTGAGCCTGGTGAAGAACAACAAATCGTTCAAATACAGTCATAGTAATAACAATGGTTTTTGGGGAGAGAGGAATTCCAGAGTAAGTTGGGAATTAAATTTTTGAGAGCAGCCACAGTTAATCTAACGAGCATAAAACATATGCTTGTATTGTTTGCTCATCTTATAGAGTTTGTTCTAAAGTATATGGTTTTGCAGTAACATTAATTTTACTTATTGCTTATAATCTGATGTGTGTTTTCCTTTTTCAATATAGCGAAGATTGCCAAGGTAAGATTTAAACTATATATTTTGATCCACAAGTGAATTACTTCTGTCTAAATACTGTGGAATATATACTATGCTATTGTATTTCTATTTATATAGGTCCAACTCTGACACCCTACCTCCCTCCTCGTACGTAGCTCATGATCCCCTTAATACCCCCATTCTGATATCATCAAATTTTGGTCATCACAGACATTCCTCAAGCATCTCATTAGGCTCCAAGGTCAGGCATTCACCACCCCCTGGTTTTGTGCCTGATCCAGATTTCAGAGAGAACCACCCTTTTGTTTTCACCAAGGTTAGTATAGTGAATGGTAGGCATTGTAAATGGAAACATGGATTTAGTGTTGAAAATGCTAAACAATATTGTTGAAAACGAATGGAAAACCATGAACAATATGAGCAGAACAATAACTGTAAGGCCCTCTCTTCGCTATACGGACGATTTTTGACAGCGATTTTCATCTTTAGGTGTATGCTATTATGTACATTTAATGGTTAAATGGGTTAAATTTAGGTCCAATATTGAAAATAAATACACTGGGTAAAAGATAGGTGTATCATGTTCTGCTCAAAAGATGAATTGAAAGACATTTCTGAATCAATTCAGTCGCATTCTTGAGTAGCAAGTTTGAATATTCAATGTTTATATTCAATGTTTTTAGAGTGAAGGTGAATTCGTTCCTGAAAGAGACGGCGTTGGTGTACAGGTACAGTAAAGATTTAATCGTCAGGACGTTGTTGTTTACCCTGATCAGTAGGGCACCGGAACTCCATTATTAATTGCAATTAATTAATCTTTT